AAAGCTCACACACCCTCTGCCCTCCCTCATAGCCTTGCTGTCCCTCCACATTTTCACCCACCACATCACATACATCTGCTTCAGGCACATATTGGCACATATATTCATTCAGCCCCCTCTCGCTGGAAGGCTTTTCCCATACATTTTCACAGGACACATTTGACCCCCCTTGATCAGATACAGAATTTTGCACACACTCGCATAATTTCTTCTCCAAGGCAGGCCATCCTCTCGCAATCTCACATAGCCCCTCAGACTCTGCAGCCGTGACCCACTGCTGACTTGTTACCACTGCTGACTTGTTACCCTGGCTCTCACCTTCCTCCTCTCCCTTACTCTCTGACATCCCAGCCTCACAGTATTTTAATACAGGCACATCACTACTCACCCCTATCTCACATTTGGTAGACATCACTGGTTCAGTTACAGGTAGATATTTATCCACACCCTGCTCTCCCTCCCAGCAATCACACTTCACAATGTCTCCCAAAGTTTCACACAATACCTTAGGTGGAGCAGTCAGCCCTTCTGGCTCACAAACAGTGTCCGCTGGAGCATAGTGACAGAGCATCCTGCCCAAATCATTCCCCAACAGAACATTAACAGGGATATCCTCTGAAATCCCCACTTCCCGCAAACCTTTGCCCGCACCCCAATCAAGGTACACACGTGCCAAGGGCACAGCGGGGCGTACACCCCCAATTCCTTTGATGGACATGGTTCTTCCAGGGATTATGTCCTCCATATTCACCACTTCAGGTCGCACCAGGGTGAAGGAAGCTCCAGAATCTCTCAGTCCCATGGTCACTCGGTCACCCACAATTACACTCTGCAGGTTATCCTCTCGTTTCCCCACAGACCCACCCACAAGCAAAACTGATGGTGCCCCTCCACGGGCTGGTGAGGGCATATTCCTAGTGGGGCAAGTCCTGCTCAGATGACCAATCTGGTTGCATCGAAAACAACGGCGGGCATCTGACTCACTTGACATAGCCCCGGCTACGCTGGCAGTCGGCGGTGAAGTTCTCACTGCAGATCTTACAGGTGGTGATTGAACTGTAGCTTCTCTCCAGGTCGAAGTAGCAGCTGACACAAGTCCACGCCTGGATGTGGGTGCATGGATGTCGGCATAGTCATCTGCCAGTTCTGCAGCAGCCCTAGCATTTTTTGGCTTTCTTTCCAAAATCCACTCTCGTACATTAGGGCTCCGGGTCTGCAAGAACTGCTCCAGGACCAGTAAGTCATTAAGGGCTTCATAGGTAGTAGCTTGTACTCCTGTTACCCATTGCCGGAACGTGGTTTCTAATTGTGCAACATATAGAATGCAGCTGGATGATGGGCATTGCTGCATACTCCTAAACTTTTTCCTGTAAGACTCAGGAGTAAGGTTAAAAGTTTTTTGCAATGCAGATTTGATTGCCTCATAGTTGTTATCAGTCTCTGGGAGAAGGGACACAAACACATCCAAGGCTTTCCCTTTCAATTGTGGAGTTAAATATCTGCCCCACTGGTCTGAGGGTAGTTGATGCTGCCTGCATACTTTCTCAAAACTTTTAAAAAATACATCCAAATCTGTCCCTTCTTCGAGGGAAGGAAAATCATCCTTACGGAGCCTACGTGTGCTGGACTCTGATGCATTGCTGTTCAGTGAGGACTGAAGGGTAAATTGCAGTTTAGCAAGTTCCAGCTCATGTCTCCTTTGTGCCTCCCTTTCTGCAGCATGCCTTTGCGCTTCCCTTTCGGCTAGCCTCTCTGCAGATTCCCTTTCTGCAGCATGCCTTTGCGCTTCCTTTCGGCTAGCCTCTCTGCAGATTCCCTTTCTGCAGCGTGCTGTTGGATCATCACATGCAGGGCCTCCTGAGGATTTGCAGCCATCAGTTGCCGAAATAAATCAGTTGAGCAAATGTCCTTAATGTTTTGAGGGGTACAACCACCAGGCATTTCAGTAAGCAACACTCCTGCAGTAGTAGGGAGCTCGGTAACCCTTTCAGTATCCGTTTCTGGCTGGAAAATATGGCTGTCAGCCTCCACAAGGTCAGCAATAAGTTGTGCCTTATTTTTGCCAAAAGTTGGTAAATTCTTTTCTTGGCACAACAATTCCAAGGCCTCTTTCGATTGTTTGCGATAGGCCTCCATATTCACAAATAGGATAGAGAAAGAAAAACAAAAGATGGGAGGGGAGAACTGTTTTGCACTTTGTATGTATTTTAAATCAGCACTGAGCTTGGTCTCTGGAAATTACACAAAAACAAGTATGCAATTTCTTTTAGTGCTAAGACCCCCTTTACAGGTAAAATCTAGCAAGCACTAAAAATCTCTAAATATATCCCACTAGCTGCCGCCAGTTTGTCACGTGCGTGGGCTATAGGCCCAGCCGAGACAGTGGGGAGAGTGTGGAAGTGACAGGGTTAATGACACCAGACCCCTGGTTACCTGTTGCTAGTCCCAGCAACCACTCAATTAACCCCTGCAATCCCTTCTACACTAACCCCCTTAATACACTTTCTACTGCCACCACCAAGACTTTTAAACCCGGGCGTCTTAGGTTACCCCACACACAGGAGAATTATAGTATCACAGTTCTACTTTTACTGATAAAACATATATAGTTAACCCTTTTGGTAACGTGTTTACCTGAGCTTTCCTCTGGAGAGTGAAGCTCATAGAGAACAGAGACACAAGCTGATTAAGTAAACATTTAATCTGACAAAAAGGATTCACAGTGCTGAGTACAAAATACAGAAATAAATGACATACAGATAACAAATTGCAAAACAGTACATAAAATAAAATAGGAGAAAACACAAGAAATTCCTTACATATATTTACCCCATATAGAATTCTTGTGGGAGTCTTAGATGGTATAGATCTCCTAGAAGTTACTGACAAAAAGAAAAATGAATAACTGACTTCCCTGGATAGTCCAACACCCTCATATATCTAAACTAGTTGTTTCTCAGTGGGCAGACCCCTGGGGGGGGGGGATCAGAGGGGGCTGGTCTGGCAGTCTATTGCCCACTCTATGAAATTCCTTGTGTCCAGCTCTGGTGATGGCTATCTAGATGTTTTATGGTCTAGGCCTGGTGCAAGATCAAAGACCACAATAAATGTCATCCCAAGGTTTACAAAAACAACTCTTAACATATATAAACACACATCAAACACCAACTCATGCTTTTGGCATGACAATATATAAATATGTTAAATAGAAGTGGTCCCAGAACAAAACTCTGAGGGACACCACTTGTCACTTTTGTCTAGCTTGAGAATTTACCATTGATGACAACTCTCTGCACTCTATGACATAATGTGAATATTGTGTATGTAAGGAGTGTATGAACTATTAAAGGACCACTATAGTGCCAGGAAAACAAACTCGTTTGGAGGAAGTGGGTTAAGCACTTACCTTTCTCCAGCGCCAGCTCCCTCGGCGCTGGGAACTCTCCTCCCTCTTCTGATGTCATCGGCTGAATGTGCATACGTGGCAAGAGCCGTGCGCGCATTCAGCCAGTTCATAGGAAAGCATTCTCGATGCTTTCCTATGCGACCGGCTGAATGCGCGCAAGCTCTTGCCGCGCGTGCGTATTCAGCCGACGGGGAGGAACGGAGGAGGATCAGAGGAGGAGAGCTCCCCGCCCAGCGCTGGAATAAAGGTACGTTTTTTCCCCCTTCCAGAGCCGGGCGGGAGGGGGTCTCTGAGGGTGGGGGCACCCTCAGGGCACTATAGTGCCAGGAAAACGAGTATGTTTTCCTGGCACTATAGTGGTCCTTTAAGACGCACTGATAGAAACACACAGAAACACAGGCACACACACTCACTGCCATACATTCACTGATTTGACACACTAACAGACATAATCTCTCATTGATTTGACACTCACTGATACACACTCTCACTGATTGACACATACTGACATTCTCTCACAAATTATTTTTATTTAAGCCCACCCAGCCTCCCTATCTTTGAGAGAGTTGGACTGGATCCTGTTCCTGGGGTCCCGTGTGGGGCTTGTGTAATCTTTGTACTCTTCCAGCACTGCTCCTTCCCATGTTGTTTAGTGATGCCGCTGTGATGTCATGACCTGGCTCCTGTCATCACTTCAGTGCGCGCAAGGGAGAAGTGTTGGAAGAGCACAGAGATTACAGCTCTCTCGCCACCTGTCTCTGTTCTCCCTAAACTGGCCACCTCCTGGGGGTCACTAAGGTAGCCAGCTTTTGGTGTACCCCAAGCGTTTGCTATGCCTACCCCCTGGAGTATGTGTACTATGGGTTTAGAAAAGGGTGTAAAATATACCTTAACTATATGCATATATTTGTTATGAAAGGCTGTTCCCACATATGTTATTTGGTTCCTTTGCTCATGTGTGCTTTTTAAAAATCAAAGTGGCAAAATGTAGGCTAAACTGGAAGCACAGCCGACTTCGAGAATGTTTCCAATATAGCTATTTTTACCCTAAATTTGAAACTCACTTTGAATTCTCACTTTAGTGAATAGCCTGAATGCAGTGCATTATACAGCTGCCAGCCATTTCTATAACTAAACAGGGACATGCAGTACAATGCAGTGTGTCTCCTTCACTGGAAGACATCACTACCTGCTGTAAGAGGTTTCTAACACATTTATTGATAGCTACAGTGACGTCATTACAGGTTACTGACACTGTACGCGTCACTCTGGAGGGTGACGTCATTATCAGTAAGCAGAGTTAACTATAGGTTGCGGGAGCAGAAAACGGTGAGTGCTCCTTATTCTAAATGAATAAAAAAAAAAAAAAACAACTCCAAAATGGCCGCCCTACACCTACAGAGGCAAGTGACGTAAATAAAGAATTGACTAGCAACTACAGTCTGATTGGATAGAGAGCCGCGTGACGTCACGTGAGTAGACGATAAGTTAAAGGTTCCCCCTATCCCTAGGACACCTCCGCTTCCCTATGCCCCGCCCCTTTAAGGTTTTTCCCCCTGTCAGTGGTGATTTGTCATTGAGTCTCCTGGTTCCGCCCCCGTCACCTCTACGCGCTCCACGATTGGCTGCCCGCATCTGTCTGTCACAGTGTATCATCGGGGTGGGCGTGGCCTCGCGGTGGGTTGCGTAGCAGCGGTAGAGGAGCTGTGAGAAACCGGTGGTGGCGTCAGTTTGTGTCAGGGAGAAGCTCAGAGACGGAGTGTCCGGCGGACAGAGTCTCCCTGCCCCGGGGGGGAGGCGGCGTCCGCTCCGTTGGGGTCGGGGCGCGTCACGGTGAGTTTATTACCAGCGGTGTATGATGGGAGGGCAGCTGGAGGGCCCTGAGTGCAGTCAATGAGTGGGGGCAGGTGTGAGGAAGTGTCTGCACTGTGTGAGTGGAGGGTGACTGGGGAATGGGGGGTAAACTACTTGTGGAACTACAGCTCTTCTAATGTCCAGCCTCCTGTGCTAGGGAATTATGGGAAATGTATTGCATGGCCAATGGAATGCCAAAGGTTGGCAATCTCAGCTGTACAGGTCATGGTGTATGTTAAGCATAGTTTTAGGCTTTTTTAAAATTTGAATTATGGTCTTTGAGGAGCTTGTTAACCAGATTCACCATATTTTCCTGATAAACTTGGTCATGCTGTGTATGACAAATTCTGCCTAGTATTGATTGTCAATTTACATCATATTAATTAATTAATGTACGAGGGATCACAAAGTAACAGCAATGACAGCATGTTTTCCCAACTGCAGGGCAGCACTTTTCATTTGTTGCCAACTAGAATAAAGGCATTGTGTGTGTCCAGAAGACACAATGTGCATCTGTAATTTAGGCATGAACTGAAAGGGTATATAGAGGGTAACTGCGTAATTTGTGTCCAATGGGTGTTTAATAGACAGTATTGTGCTGCTGTGTGTCAGTGTAATTCCACTGGAAAATATATTGGACTTCATTAGTGATTGTGACTTTCTCGGGACTCTCTCAGCCAATGACTAATGTCCAAACTTCGTATGTGTTGGCAACAATGTCTACTTTTGCAAAGCTGTGTAGACTGGAAGGAATGTTGAAGCCTGATATAGCCAAGTTCGTGTCAAAGCATTCGTAAGTGGATTGGCATCTTACCCTGGGATGGCAGCAGGGGATGTGTGACACCATTATGGATGCTTACTTAGCATTTTTTTTTTTTTTTGGTAGTAAAAATTCTGTCATTGCCACATGATTGTATTTTGATTGTTGGATTTACTTGGTGAATTGTCCATGCAGGTGAGCAGTTTATGGAGCAATGATAAGCTGTAAACGCATTTCTTCCTGAATGAGTTAGGGCAATTTTTGAGCAGCTAAGATTTTCCCGTTTATCCTCAAAAGATAAGTATTTTGCATCTATACATGGTGCCAGGAAAATCTTAAGCAAGTTCCAAGATTGACCTCCCTCTCCATATTTGCTCTATGCTTTGGGGAAAGCCATGTGGTGTAATTTGATGACGGAGTATGCAGCTACTAGTTCTATTTCTGCTGGCAGTTTAATATTGCGTGTAGGTACACATATAGCTTATTGTAGTAGTCATGGTGTAATGGATTTTTATGCTATTCATTTGTGTTTAAACTGATTTTACTCGCCTCTTCGACTGTTGGTCAATTTTATTGCTACTCATGGCTGCCTTCGTGCGAGGCAGTATTGAAAAACACAGATGCAAATAGGATCCTAAATTAATTTTATTCTTTTCATCTTGTATTTCCTTGTTTTTTATAATAAGTAACAAAAACTCATGTTGAAAGGCATTCACATGACATCAGACATCTTGGAAGTACAATTATACAGTTCTCGATATACATTCGTTATTGCGCCTGTGAGCTTCAGGTACATTGATTATCCAATGTAATTGTTAACAATCGTGTTCTGGTAATCTGCTGCCCTATATCTACAATAATTGGCCTCTACGCCATAACTCATATGTACATTCCTGCATATTATAGAAAAATATAAATATGACAACCTGCAAAATGCTGTCTTGGTTTGAAAATACAATTTTAGATTAATTTTGTCAGCATATCGGCTACTGAAACATCCTCTGTAGATACATTTGTACAGGTCATGTGAGGACAGTATACAGATTGAAAGCTCTGCAGTATTTTCAGCTTCCATTTAGGAGTTGTTTCTTGACAGATCACATAAAATACCATCCTGGATTATTTTACATCTGATATGAATCTGTATCGGTAAGCTTGTTAGAGCAGATCCCTCACCCAATCTGTATGCTGAATTTGTTAAAATTCCTTTTATATTGTGTATTTATTGTTCAGCACCTTTGAAAGTGACACAGCATTGCAAATAAAATGTTAATGTACGTGGTTTTTTTTTTTGGGGGGGGGGGTTCTTGGTGACTAAGTTCAGAGAGCAAGAGAGAGAATAAAAAAAATCTCTCCCTCTCTCGAAAAAAACCTCGATATTATTTAATAACAGGTAACATACATCTGAAACGTCGATCAGATGTATGTTACCTGTTATTAAATAATATCGAGGTGCTTTTTTTTTTCCTACAAAGACCTGAGAGTGCATCTCTTTCCTTTTTGCTTTACATATCCAGCGTGGGATTGCACCAAGGCAGTCTTTTACTGATTCATTGAAAGGGTGAGTGCCACTATACACTGTGTGTGTGTGTACACACACCCCCCCCCCACCCCCCCCGTGGTGTAAAGTTGCACCAATCCCCTGGTATGCTAAAAATTTAGTTTTTTTTAACAAGTGAGAGGCGGTCTTATGGTGCATATCTTGGCAATGTCAGGCAGAATTGGAATTACTGAATCTGCTGAGCTACTGGAATGTGCTGAAGCTGGTAAATTCATATGCTGTATGAAATGACAGTCCTGCTTGTTTCCTGTTGTCTGTAGAATGCTGCATCTAAAATTTACAGTATAGTAATAAAGTGTACACTTTTTCTTCATGTCATATTTAAGATTTTTTTTTTTTTATGATTCTTCTTGTACTGTCTGAGTTAATAAATCTATAATGAATGTGGCGGCGAGGCTCATTTTCCTGTCCGTTTGCGCCTCCCCGCTCTCAGTCCCTGCATTGGCTTCCAGTTCGATTATAGGGCTCAATTTAAAATTCTGGTGCTTGCTTACAAGTCCCTACATAATGCTGCTCCAACCTACCTATCCTCCCTAATACACAAGTATGTCCCGTCGAGGCCCCTGTGTATTTCCTCTGTCTGTACTCCCACCTCTGATGCTCGCCTCCAAGATTTCTCCAGGGCTGCACTTCTTCTGTGGAACTCCCTTCCCTTCTCCGTTAGACTTTCACCCAGTCTCCACTCTTTCAAAAAATCATTGAAAACTCACTTCTTTCTTTTTTTTTTTTCTCTTTAAAGGATAAATATCATTCTGCCCTGATATAGAATACTTGTATGTATGCAGTACATTTATGTAAGGTTTGTCATTGTGTCTTGTTTTTATGATTGTTATAGTACGATGATGTGATCTTGAATTTTGTATGTAAAATTGTATTTGTTAAAATCAAATAAAGAAATATGAGGGAAAAGAGAACTCACTTCAAGAAAGCATATCAATTAAACTGTTAGCAGGTTTTTATCCCTCACTCACATGACTCCAATCCTGCAACTGTCAAAAATTACATTCTAAGCTCTCAATGAATACTTTTCTAATAACCTACTTTGTACCCTTACTTTTACCCTTTTTGTCACTATACCCCACTCCCTCTCGAATGTAAGCTCATTGAGCATGGCCCTCCACCTCTCTTTCTGTATGACTGGTTACAATTACATGTCTGTTTGTCCACCCATTGTACAGCACTACGGAATCTGATAGCACTATATAAATAATAATTGAAGGGGCAATTCTAGTGGGCTGCAGGCACTATGACCAATTCTATTGAATTAAATGGTTATAGTGCCGTTTAAGTTGTGATAATGGTGGGATTGTCTGGGTGCCTTCTTACCCTTGGAGTTAAAGGGTTACTCGAAACCTCTTGGGGAGGCCTTTCCTGTGTAAATGGCCCTTCTGGGTGCCATGAAGGTGGTCTCCTTCCTCGTTTAAAAAAAAAAAAAAAAATTTCAGTAAATGATTGTGGGTGGGTGGGGATTTATTAATTTGGAATCCAACGCTGGGCAAAGGTTCTGGCACTGATCTTCCATGTCTCCTCCAACATCACAGGCTTTTGATAGAAAAGCTAGTGATTGGAGAATTTCGCCAACTTAGAATGCATGTGCATGGTCTGGGCCGATAAGGGGAGGGAAGAGTTCAAAGAAACACAAAAAAAAAAGGTAGGAGGGAGAACACAGTTGGTGGGATAGAAACATAGAATGTGACGGCAGATAAGAACCATTCGGCCCATCTAGTCTGTCTGGTTTTCTAAAGACTTTCATTAGTCCCTGGCCTTATCTTATAGTTAGGATAGCCTTATGCCTATCCCACGCATGCTTAAACTCCTTTACTGTGTTTATCTCTACCACTTCAGCTGGAAGGCTATTCCATGCATCCACTACCCTCTCAGTAAAGTAATACCTCCTGATATTATTGTTAAACCTTTGTCCCTCAAATTTAAGACTGTCCTCTTGTTGTGGTAGTTTTTCTTCTTTTAAATATAGTCTCCTCCTTTACTGTGTTGATTCCCTTTTATATATTTAAATGTTTGTCATATCCCCCCTGTCTCGTCTTTCCTCCAAGCTATACATGTTAAGATCCTTTAATCATTCCTGGTAAGTTTTATCCCGCAATCCATGAACCAGTTTAGTAGCCCTTCTCTGAACCCTCTCTAAGGTATCAATATCCTTCTGAAGATACGGTCTCCAGTACTGTGTACAATACTCCAAGTGAGGTCTCACCAGTGTTCTGTACAATGGCATGAGCACTTCCCTCTTTCTACTGCTAATACCTCTCCCTATACAACCAAGCATTCTGCTAGCATTTCCTGCTGCTCTATTACATTGTCTGCCTACCTTTAACTCATCATTATCTTGCACTTATCCACATTAAATGTTAGTTGCTACAATTCTGACCATTTTTCTAGTTTACCTAAATCATTTGCCATTTGGCTTATCCCTCCTGGAACATCAACCCTGTTACATATCTTAGTATCATCAGCAAAAATACGTACCTTACCATCAAGACCTTCTGCAATATCACTAATAAAAATATTAAAGAGAATGGGTCCAAGTACAGATCCCTGAGGTACCCCACTGGTGACAAGTCCAAGCTTCGAATATATTCCATTAACTACAACCCTCTGTTGCCTGTCACTCAGCCACTGCCTTACCCATTCAACAATATTGGAATCCAAACTTAAAGATTGCAGTTTATTGATAAGCCTTCTATGTGCAAGAGTGTCAAAAGCCTTACTGAAATCTAGGTAAGCAATGTCTACTGCACCACCCTGATCTATAATTTTAGTTACCCAATCAAAAAAATTAATAAGATTAGTTTGGCATGATCTCCCTGAAGTAAACCCATGTTGTCTCTGATCTTGAAATCCATGTGTTTTTAGATGTCCAACAATCCTATCCTTTAACATGGTTTCCATCACTTTCCCCACTACTGAAGTAAGGCTTACTGGCCTATAGTTGCCCGACTCCTCCCTATTACCTTTCTTGTAAATTGGCACAACATTCGCTAACTTCCAATCTTCTGGGACTACTCCTGTTAACAATGATTGGTTAAATAAATCTGTTAATGGTTTTGCTAGTACACCACTAAGCTCTTTTAATAGCTTTGAGTGTATTCCATCAGGTCCCATTGACTTATTTGTCTTTACTTTTGACAGTTGAAATAGAACCTCTTCCTCTGTAAACTCACGTGTAATAAATGACTCATTTATCCTTTTTCTTAACTGAGGTCCCTTTCCTTCATTTTCATCTGTAAATACAGAACAAAAATATTCATTGAGTCAGTCAGCTAGACCTTTAATCCTCTTCTACATACCTTCCTTATTTTGTTTTTAATCTAACTAATCCTTGTTTTACTTTTCTTTTCTCATTTATGTATCTAAAAAAGGTTTTGTCCCCCTTTTTTACTGACTGATAGAGATCAAGATCATCACGTCTGTCTGCAGCGTGCAGTGCTGTCTGTTCCAGGTTGCCAATGTCAGTTCTGTGCATAAAATATGCCTGTTTTTTGCCTAGGTGAGGTGCTTTTTAAATAAAACTTAAAATTGCTCTTTAGTGGTTGAACGAGTGTGCTGGATCTTATATCTTGTATGTTGTATGAATTGGCCCCAGCAGCACCCTATTATATATTTTGGAGTCCAGGCCAACTTCGCACCCCTCCCTGTCACAGGTGCCTCATTCAAGGGCTCTATTTAACTTTGACCTGCAGAGAGTCCCAGAAAAAAGTATTTCCCAAGTAAATGGATTAATGTCATAAGAGCAGGCATTAAGTTCTAGAGTAGGACCTGCCGAGAATGGGGTACAGTGACGTTGTGTAACTAAACCCCATTCTTTTTTTGCCTTGGTTAGCTGTTTTGAAATTAAAACTATTACATTCTGTGAAACTTGAAATTGCTGTTTAGTGGATGAGCTAGTGCACTGGATCTTGTATCTTATATGTTGTCAGCGCTCTGTCTTGCCAATGTCACGTGTTGAGGGGTGCAAAGAGCCCCCAGCATACAATTCTAAATTTATCAGTATGGTTTTACTTCACTGACGCTTTCAACAGTCTGGCAATGGTTTTACTCTGAAGTTAGGTCTTCGTCACTGGCCATCCATTGAGAGAAATGGTACAGTGTGATATTGTCAGTTTACACTTTCAGATTGTCTATGCCGCCCCCTCTAAATCATACTGCAGCACATAGAGGAAGGTAGCTGGGGAATCTGTACTAGACAATCATGCACCCATAACAACTTAAATGAACTTTAAGGAACATTCTAGAATTAATCGGTTGCACTTATACTTTGTTGATAAGTAGAGTGACTAGAGAGTCCTTTTAAATTATGTGGGTCAGTGTGTTCCTCTTACGTTTTCTTCTGATTATTTAGATCAGTTGCACGAACTTCCCTCGGCAGTAATTATGCATGTAGATATGTGAATAGAAATAGCATTTTTGGTTAAACTTAACAATCCATGTGAAGCGATATAAAATGTTTGCTAAAAACATTTTGACTCACAACTACGATGCACAATAGCTGAGGTGTTTTTGTGGGAAAAACATCAGAATTGTTCTAGTTAAAGCGGCATTGTCACGCAGCTTAAAGGGACACTCCAGGCACCCATACCACTTCTGCCCATTGGAGTGGTCTGGGTGCCAACTCCCACTACCCTTAACCCTGCAAGTGTAATTATTGCAGTTTTTATGAGCTGCAATAATTACCTGGCAGGGTTAAGTCCTCCTCTAGTGGCTGTCTGAGAGACAGCCACTAGAGGGACTAACGTGTTTTAAAAGTGTTTAAAGCGGCGCTAGACGTCCTCACGCTATGTGAGGACCTCCAGTGTCGCCGAAATCCCCATAGGAAAGAAATAATGCTTTCCTATGTGGAGGTCTAATGCGCTTGTGCGGCCTGACCAAGCGCCGAGGAACATCGTTAAGTCACTGAATCGGTTTCGGGGTGGGAAACTGTTTTCCTGGCACTGGAGGGCCCCTTTAAGGTCAGCTTGAGTCCTTTCCATTTCCTGTATCAAAGAAAGATTTCCCACAATACTCTTCCTCCTCCTTGACACTGGAAATAGAGCTGGATTAAGCTCCTCTTTGTGTCAGAGAAAGTCTGGTATAGAAAAAAAGCTTAAGACAAAATAGCCCCTTCTTTGTCTTATGGTTTAACCCCTTAAGGATCAAACTTCTGGAATAAAAGGGAATCATGACATGTCCTACATGTCATGTGTCCTTAAGGGGTTAAAGAAAACTAGGTCACAAATAAAGAACAGTTTCTGAGTGAGGAAGAGAAGAGGAAACAATAGGAGAAAGGTAAGTTCGACGTTACAGTGCTGCTTTAAATGCTCAGGTTTTTTTTTTTTTTTCTCAAAATGCATTGTGAGATGTATGCATAAATGTCTGTCTCTGTAATGTAAACATCATATAGTTTCTTATGACCATGGCTATGAAATTAAAACTAGAAAAGCTACAATTTCTGGGGAAATTGTGTGAAGTGTTCTTTCCTCCACCAGTTGTGTACAACTGGAGTGGGCGGAGTAACTTTTATTTATTTATATAGCACATTTAATTGCAACGTTGATGCTTCACAGTTACATTAAAACATACATTTATAAAAACATTAGCAGGTGTACAAAGGTCCCTGTCTATTACATCACTTGCTGCTCCAGCCTGGCACAGGTCAGAGTATTTTGGCGCTTGCCATCTTCAATCGGTCGTATTTTAAAAACTATACATCCTACAGCGAAGAGCTTTATATTGTGAGAATCACAAGACCCAGACCTACATTTTGATGCATAGTATGTCTCTCAAATATTAAAAATGAAGGCAAAGTCGCAGTTTAGAAATTGCTCTTCAAATTTGAGCTGGCTAGAGTGGAGTTTCAATGAATGTCAATGGACGGCGTGAGTTGCAAACAAATGGTCATATTGTGAAAACTATCAGGACTGTGGCTTAGCCGTGGACCTTTTTAGTGCAGCAGGGATAGCTGAATGTTTTGATATAAGATTTGTGTAGGTGGGCTTGAAAATTTTATAGCTTTTGCCAGCTCCCATTCTAGTTTTGAACATTTTGCGTGGTGTAGGAACGAGCGGTAATGTCCAGAGCTCTGATGTCGGAAACCCTCTTGCAAGATATGAGGCAGAGGAGCATGTCTAGCATTGCTGACTGCTGTTTCTGAGAGAGAGGTATTGTTTGGCCATGATTTGAGAAAATTGATCATGATGGAGACGTCCCATAGTACTGAATAGCGTGGTAGTAGGGGAAGTGCAAATCTGATGCCGCGTAGGAGTTTACATACCAGCGGGTGGCGTCCCATCGGAGCTCCATCTACACCTTGGTGTGCAGCCGAAATTGCAGATGGGTAGAGGTTTATTGTACGGTAGGCTTTGCCATCCTCAAATGAGGTTAGGAAGTGGAGAATCTAAGTCAAAGGAGCCCATATGGGATCCAAATCTTGTTCCAGGCACCAATCACGCCATCTGTTCCAAGTAGACTTATAAGCCTGTCTCATGCCGGGTGCCCATGCGCCCTCGAATGTGGAGAGTTGATTCCGAAACTCCCTCGATTGACCAGGGTCCCCCAAAACCAGCCACGCTGTGAGATGTCGTAGGCCTTGCTGGACCAGGGGGTGAGGGTCCTGAAGCAGGTACTCGAGGTGTGGGAGGATGCGGGGTACATCTATCGTCATCTCTAGGAGGGGAGGAAACCATGTTTGGGAAGGCCATAATGGTGCCACAATCACCAGAGTTCCCGTCTTGCGTCGTAATTGTAGTAGGCAACGGGGAATCAGCGCAAATGGTAGAAAGGCATTGTTCCTTGTGGACGACCAGTCTTAGCATCTGTTGCCAGTGCTGATGGGTCCGGTCTCCAGCTGAAAAATCTGGCAAGTTGTGTATTCAAGCGGGAAGCGAAAAGGTCTTTGTCCATAGGGCCCCATAAGGACTGGATGTCCTGGAAGACCCTGGGGTCCAGATGCCAGTCGCTGGGGTCCCTGAGGTGTTGTCAGTACCAATCTGCCGTTGTGTTCCAGAGACCCGGGATATATTCCACCATGACAGAGATGCCGTGTGTCAGGCAGAATTGCCAAAAATCGCGTGCCATGTTTGCCAGGACCTTCGATTTCGTGCCCCCTAGGTGGCTGATATATTGGACAGCTGATAAATTGTCCATCTTCAGAAGGATAGAGCACTGGGCTTGTGTTGGCGAGAAACTGCGGATTGCAAAGGATCCGGCCAGGAGTTCCAAGCAATTGATGTGGAGGGATGATTCCACGTCGGACCATCTGCCACCTGTAGATACATTTCCACAGCGAGCACCCCAACCGTGCAAGCTTGCGTCGGATTCTATTATTAGATCTGGTGCGGTGCCGAAAATGGCGCTACCATTCCAGGCTTCCATATGGAAGAGCCACAATTTCAGTTCGTCTTTCGCTTCCGAGTTCAGAGTGATCATGTCTGTGTAGGAGACCCCGTCCTTCAAGAGGGAGACTTGTAGGCATTTTAAAGCTCTATAGTGGATCACTGGGCGGACACCACCGCCTTTGTTGGCAACCAGGAATAGGTTGCTCACATAGCCCGGTGTGGCCAGAGGGATTTCTGAGATGGCTTGTTTGTGTTCCAAATCCAGGACCTCCTTGGTGACAAGTGTTGCATCTTGTTGGGAACAAATAATTTCCTGCGGTGGGGAATATTGTATTGGTAGGGACAGGAAATCTATGACATACCCTTTTCCAGTGTTCAATACCCAAGCATCTGATGAAATGTGGGACCATACATGGGAAAAAATGTAGGAGTCTGCCCCCCATTGCCCATACGGAAGAATGAAAATTGAGAGGACTTACCATAAGGTCGTCGTCCTGAGTGAGCGCTTCATGGTCCACGAGCAACCCATGGCCGCCCACGCTGTGGGAAGAAAGCTGGAGTGTATTCCGTGAAACTAGCTCGTCCTGTATAGGAGCCTCGGTTCTGTCTAAATTAACTCCTGTTAACACGACCGGACAGACGGCTCCTGGTTCGTCCGGCCCCTCCAAAATCCTTAGGGTGAAACACCTTGCGCATGTTTGATTGGGCTTTGTCTAGTGCAGTAAATGTATGTACTCTTTGACAAAACTGTCTCTGAATAGGAGACATTTGGCTTGGGTGCACGGTTTGTTCAGAGCCATATTTACCAGCTTAAGTTCTATTTTTAATAGTATTGATTTGCGACGCTCCTGACCGTTGCGCAGGGAAAAGTCTAAGCCTTTATTAGGCTGCCAGCCTGTCTTTCCCAAGAATTGGATAATTTTCGGGTCAACTGCAGGTGTTCTGCAGGCATCATCTGGGACTGTGGGGCGTGGGCATTCTGCCCGTAGTTTATTCCACGTCGCCTTATCTAAAGGCTTGCGTACTGTTGATGCTATATACCTGGCCACATGGTCCGAGGGGGACCATTCCGCTGACCGTGGGTGACACAGTTCATCGGGGTCGAATAGGGGTTCCCCATGGTGGGCCAAAACTTTATCTGTGTCCCCTGGGGCCTTATGCTCCATGTTATGTTTATAGGATTGAAGTAAATTACAGTCTCGGGAGGGATCGTATTCCTCGTATCCTCCGAATCCATATAGGCCTCCTCCTCAATATCGCTGAGATCCGACTCAGAATCTAGTTGGGCTTTTGCCCTTTTCCATAATCTAGACTATTTTTGCCCGGCTAGTGGCTCTTTTGCGCGGTGGCAGATTAGTCGCGCCATCTGTGACAGGTGTATAGCTGTCCATCTGTGACATTGAGGAGTGTTTTACCTTAGCCAAGGCCTAGCGGCCAGCGTGAGGTTGCATAGGGGTTGTGACAGGCAAAACCTAGGCAACAGTCTGCTGAGCAGATTTCTGAATCAAGGCATGGGTAAATGTCTGTGATAGTGAGTCAGACATCAATCCCATGGCCAACATAAGGACTTTAGTCATGGCCTGTGACATAGTGTTGTCCATCAGTCTGCATATCAGCAGAGGTGTCAAACTCAGCGGGAGAACCCGCTCCATCGTCTCACACCTGAAGGTGTCTTAAAACCACCTTGTTTGGGGATATTAGACACAGAGGGTGTGGGAGCATCTTTGTCAGAAGGCATAGTGGCTATGCTATTAAACTGACAGGCGTAATAAAGTATTATGAGAATAATAAACCTAGAGAGGAGGGCTGATTAACCCAAAAAAGGGGTTATGTAATGGGATAAGCAAAATTACTCACGATATAATGCAGTAATATCAGGAGAGACGGAGAGCCATCCGACCGCCACTAAAACGAAACCCCAACCCCAACTCAGAGTTCCGGCCGTTGGGGGGCAGTACTAGATTTAGAACGCGGGAAAGGCAATAAAATGGCTGCCGCGTGCGGCAAAATCCCCAAGCGGGGAGAGCAGAAGAGTTCGTGTAGAGGAACGCCAGGTTACAAGTGCGTACGCGGTAAAACATCAGAACATAAAGGGTCGAATGAGGCAACCTAAGCGTTCAAATGAAATTAGACGAACAGGTACACTGAAGAAAGTGCACGTCTGAATTCAGTAGAACGGCGATCGGACAGATAACGGGTAAAAAGGCGCGAAAGTGCCGTGACAGGGCACCAGCAGTTCCTGCAGACGTGTCCGAGCCCTGTTAATTGTACTGGGCTCAGGGGGTCAAGGGTACCAAGGAAGAGGAGAATATCACAGCAAAGACAATAGACTAGTAATGTTATAGAACTGTTAACTGACAGGATGGAAGTCCATGAATGAAACAAAACTAGAATACTAATGATATATTAAATAGGAATAATTATTTAACTAATAATTAAATAATAGTTACACTAATAATTACAGTAATAATACATATAAAAGATGATCCCACAGTTAAGAAACAGTGGGACCTGATGTTACTTAACTGAGGGAGCAGCAAAGAAAGAGGAAACAGATTGCTTGACAGAGCCTATTATGCTGGAGAGTGGAATCCGATTGGCTGTCCTGTTGCTAGGAGGATGTACCACTCAGACTACTTACTGTTCTATACTGGTTATGTTTAAAAAAATAAATAAAATAAATAAAAATAAAAATAATTAAAGAGTGCAGCATAATAGGAGCCTCCATGTCTTAATAAAATGCAGGGATATCATGGTTAATTTAGAGGCATAAACTTGACACATCATGGCAATCCGTTTTGGAGACATACAATTAGTTACTCGCAGAGTCAGAAGCGCCGTGTACTTCTTTCATCCAGGCACCTCATGTTGAGTATCCCAGTGGTAGATATCGGTCAGAGAACTCCAACAATGCTATGCCAACTGGGGATCTACCATTTGCCCACCTATGCAGGGTTTGTCCGCAGTGTTTGAATGTAAGCATGGTTTTTGTATAAAGTACATGTGTGGATGTATGGGCGTATTTATATGTACTGTTGCCATTGGAATGTAGTGTTTGCATCTGAATGCAGGGGTTTTTGTATGTAGTGATACATTTTAAATACAGGTGTGCAAATGTGTGTAGTGTTGGTGTTTGAAGGGGTGTTTCTATATAATTTTAGTGTTTTAATACAGGGGTGTGTTGTTGCGTTTGTCTGCATGTGTAGTGGATGCTTTGTGTGTGTGTGTGTGTGTAATTAAAAATGTTTTTTTTTTTTTACATAATTAAGTACTGTCCCAGTCTGAGATAATCAGTGTATAAAACAATTCCTACTAGGCGCTACTCTTGATTAACCTGTTGGCCAACATACAAATGGATCTGAAACAATATGGATGTTTATATCATAGATGGCTGATGTTCTGTTATTTTACCCTTGACAGTCTTGACAGGCTATAGTGCATGTGTTTCAAAATACTGTGCCAATCAAATGCTTTATAGGAGAGTCCTTTTGATCAATAACAATTTAATGCGATTATAGCTGCTAGAGTCACCCCTCCCCCCCCTTCTTGACAGCCACTTGAGGCATGTTAGCCCTGAAATAAAACATTGCAATTCTTGCAAAACCACAGTAATTTTAGGTGCAACATTAAAAAGACCAGGACATGACACCCATACCACTTCATTGAGATTTTAAAGGACACTTGTCATGCCCCAAGTAACTTTGCTCATTCAAATGAGCATACAATTTTATCTATACATTGTGCTAGAGTTTTGCTAGCAAATGTACAGATTAGAAGAAAAACCTATTTGCCCTGAATCTGGTTGTCTCAAGCAGTACAAATAAAAGAAGACTTCTGGAGGAGCTGAGGATGGCCAGGAGGTGGTTGTTACACAAAGAGTAACACCTATGAAGAAACATTGGAACAGAGGAAAGATGAATACATTTCTATATTTTACATTAAATACACTATGTATCTTGATGATATATAGGAGCGATTTCAGGTAAGTGAAATTTTTATTATAGGTTTAGTTTATGTGGTTTGGGTGCCTAGAGTACCTTTATTATTTTCATTGAAATAGCAACTACCCGTTGCACATAGAAAAGAGAATGCAGGTAAACGGTCACCATTTCTTTTCCGCTTTGTTTATTTGATTTTCTGGCCCATTTCCTAGCTCCTGTAATATTGATGCTGATCATAAATATGTTGTGTCTAGTATTTTCTGTTTAATTATGCTTAATTACTTCTGAAAGTGTATTGGGTGCCAGATAGCTTCACCACAAACCTTGTGCTTATGGGTGGAGGAGCAAGGGTAGATTTATCTCCCACATCCCTTGGCACAGAGGTTTTGGCATACTTTCTTGGCTACACTGACTTGGATTAGAAGAAATATCATGTTTTGACAGAATTTCAAGTTCTTTAGAATACATAACTGTAAAGTGCCAAGTGGTGAATATCTGCAGATATGCAGAAAAGAATTTCTGACGTGATGTAAAAAGTGCTGGCGCTCCCCTCGTCTCTCTTGTGCTTTAAGACAAAAGGTAGCCAAAAAGCTATTCCCTTGCTGTTAAAGAAACATAACTTTATGTTATTGCTGTCCTGCCAGTTTATTGTCTGGGTGTTTTTTTTTTTTTTTTGTTCTTAACAGCTAGTAATTTACCTCTTTGTTTTGGCCTCTCCTCTTTTTAAACAACTGTTTTGTTTTGTCCTAATTTTTCGTTTTATGTAAATCTGTCATGCATACCTTTTGTATAGTGTGATGACTTTCTTCAAATGGATCCTGTAAGCTAAAATTTTTTAACCTAAATGAAGTGGTTTTGATGTATAGATCATGCTCATCTTGTCTCACTGCTAAAAAATGTGGCTCAGACTCCCCACCAGTCCTGGTTCCAAAGGACTGTCATGATTTGAGGGTTTTGTCCTGCAATAATTTAGTTCTTTGCTGTTTTTGCATCCAGGTACACCAGGGAACTGTCCTCAAACAGCACCAAGTGAGCAAATGATGACACGCTTGCACTGTGCATGGGCACAAGGACCTGGCAGAGAGCAGGGCGGGGGGCTTGGGGAGACAGCAGCGTGTTCCATTTCTTGGTGATACGACTAATTACGGGCATTGCATCACTGGTGATGCTCCCCCTTGTTCTGTCCATTAGCCCTGAGCTCTTAACTCCTAAAGTTGGGAGATATGCTGATTCCCAAGTTGATTCCCTCACTTTTAATACATCAGACCACTTTTTAAAACTTTTTTTTTTTTAAAGAAATAACCCCAATGTGAAACCAGAAACTCCTGCGAGGCCTTCAGTACAATTATGGTTAATTGACTGAGAGCTTCAGCTCCGTTAAACTTTAGGCAGCATAGGATAAGGTGACAGGTGAATAGCTGACCCTAGGTAAGTTGTCAAAACATTATCAAGTGGTTTGACGTGTTAATAAAATATACAAGTGGCATTGCAAAATAAAGTACCCAGCTTGACTAAACTATATAGGTACAGATAAGGCTGTTTCCACTCCTACACAACTTGAATTGAACTACAACTCATTTAGGCCCCTGATATGCTGAGAAAGATGTGCATGGATTTATGGTGTAAGCTGAATGCTATAAGTTATGAGCACTTTACAATTGGCTTACACAATACCTGGTCTAAATGAATTAGATTACACTTATAGATCTGCACACACATATACGCCTAAATAAACCTAAGTATTGAAAAGCGCATGACTACACATTTTTATTAGATCTGCATATCATTAGAGTTTATGGTTTCATATGATAGAATGGTGAGATAATGATGGGAAAGGAGGTTCATGTAAAACACTGGTAGTGGGACTGAAAATACAAATCAACCTCTATTCTTGTGGTTAAATGAAATTAATCATTTTGGGATGAAAAGTGTGCATTGTTCACTCTCCCCTTGGGCATTTCTGAAATTCCATCTGAGCACTCTGATTTATACACCCTTGATTGAGTGGTCAGGCTGGGTAAAATGGTGTCCCACATGAGTGCAGTAAGATTTATTTTTATTTGTGATGTTTAATGAAGTGTCTGTACATATTTATTCTGCCACTTAATTGCATTGTTTTCCCTAATTTAGCAACCTAAGTTACATTTAATCACATATACTGTATTGCTGGATGTGCAGGAGCATGATCCTTTATAGGGACACTATACGCATCAATACAACATTGACTTAGTGGTTTTGGTGTATAGACCAAGCCCTACTCAATTCTCTCCCATTTAGAAATTGATTTACTTTGTTTATGCAGCCCTTGCCACACCTTCCCTGCATGTGACGGACAAATGTCCTGTAAAGAGAGATCTAATTATTAAATTTTCTTTATTGCACAGTCTGTTTTAATTTGTTATTCATTCTTATTCACTGCTCTGTTAACCCCTTAAGGACACAGCTTCAGAAGCTTGTCTTACCCTTAAAGGGACACTGTAGGCGCACTGTATCTGCTTCATTTCATTAAACTGATTAGTGTCCAGAGTTCCCAAGTTCCATAATTTCATTCAGCATTAAACAGTTTTTTTCATATTTTTTTTGTTTCAATGCTAAATTAGAGTCCCCAGCAGCCCCTCCCCTCTGTGCTGCTTCGACGAATGAGGAAGTACTAGCATGATCAGCAATGGGCAGCTATGATTGGCTGAGAGTGTCAGCTGCCTGTTTTTAGCCTATCAGAGCTCCAACTAACGGTATGAAGGGTATGACTTCAAGGAAGTGTGTAATCTCTGCCTTGGCCACACCTCCAGAAGAGGCCAGACTGTGGGTGGTCTTGATCCCTTATTTAGTGTTAAACTGCTCTAAAATGGTTTAACATAGTATGGAGATACAGTGCCAGGAGATTCCAGGCATCAGAACCAATTCAAAGCGATGAAATGATTATAGTGAGTACAGTGTCCGTTTAAGGACACAAGCCATTTTTGCATTTTTTGCTGTTTGTGTTCGAACGCAATTTGCATCTGTCATTTATTGCACCAACACATATTGTATCCTTTTTTTTTTTTTTTTTTTTAAGAGGGCAAACAGGGCTTTAATTTGATGTCACATATACATAGATACTCTCATTAATTAATTATAAAAAAATAACTAGTGTGTGCATAGTATGTCCAGCTTAGAAAAAGTAATTCAAAATAAATTCATTTGTGTCTTTATTTATAGAGTACATAATATGTATATGATTTCAGCTTATTTTGAAAGTTGCCACACAAGTATATATTTATGTAAAGTAGACATCACAGGCTATCTACCTAAGGTTAGTTTGACACTTGTTTTACGTAGCCATTTCATCGCCAATCTCTGCTAAATATTGGTGTAAAATTGTGTGGTTTTTTTCTCTATTTTGGCATATACACATATAACAAGATTTTTATAATGTGTATTTCACAAAGCTGATGTTTGCTATTCCTGCACAGAACCCCATATTGTGTTCAGCTGAGTATGACGATACCCCCATTATATGCCTTTGGCACTATTCTGTAAAGCTACAATGCCATATAAGAGACCAGGCTATTTCAGTTTCTATAGTTAGAATTTTCGTAGATGGATTTGACGGGCCTATCTCTCATTTTAGGGTATTACAGTAGTGTGTTCAAATAACCCCACAAAGGGCTTTCCTTTGATAAAGCAGACACCCCAGGGTATCTTATATGGTGTATATTGTGCCTTAACTTGTCACCATTTTTTTCAGCAAATTAATGTCAATGTTTGTGGTGAGGGGAAAGAGAAATTGCATTTTTACATGTATGTTGCCTTTTTGCTGAGCATTTTACACTTGATTTGTACCACTGTCATAAAATCCCTCAAATTATGCTCCATAAAGGCATACCATTTCTTAAAGAAGACATCCCAGGGTATTTCAAAAGGCATATTTTGAACCTTAGCATGGGATAATTTTTCCGCTAGCTTGTACCAAATGTAGTGGTAATAAGCATTTTTTTTTCTGCCTTTTTGACACACAAATTGAGTTTGTGCAGTATATTTCGCAAACCTTATGTGTGTTACGACTGTATAATACTACATATGTTGCTCAGCTATGTCATCGGAGTACAGCAATACCCCCGTATGTACCTTTGCCAGGTATATGTGGATGTTGAAGGGGCACATTTTAGATGCAGCCATTCAGTTTTTCTTCTAACTTTGAAGTTTTATGCTATGTCCATGTTCCATTTTGGAGTAGTTTAGCTGGTTGGTTATTCAAACTTCCCCACAAACACATACTATTTATTAAAGAATACACCCTGGGGTAATTCAAAAGGCTTATTTTGAACCACACACACACACACACACACACACAGACACACACGCAGGCAGGCAGTCACAGACACACGCACGCAGGCAGTCACAGACACACGCACGCAGGCAGTCACAGACGCACGCACGCACGCAGGCAGTCACAGACACGCACGCACGCAGGCAGTCACAGACACACGCACGCAGGCAGGCAGTCACAGACACACGCACGCAGGCAGGCAGTCACAGACGCACGCACGCAGGCAGTCACAGACACAGACGACGCACCAGGCAGTCACAGACACAGACGCACGCACGCAGGCAGTCACAGACACAGACGCACGCACGCAGGCAGTCACAGCCACAGACGCACGCGACGGCGTAGGCAGTCACAGACGCGACGCGACGCAGGCAGTCACAGACGCACGCACGCAGGCAGTCACAGACACAGACGCACGCAGGCAGTCACTCACAGACACATACGCACGCAGGCAGTCAGTCAGAGACACATACGCACGCAGGCAGTCAGTCAGAGACACATACGCACGCAGGCAGTCAGTCAGAGACACATACGCACGCAGGCAGGCAGTCAGAGACACATACGCACGCAGGCAGGCAGTCAGACACATACGCGACGCAGGCAGGCAGTCAGACACACATACGCACGCAGGCAGGCAGTCAGAGACACATAATGCAAGACGCAGGCAGGCAGTCAGAGACACATACGCGACGCAGGCAGGCAGGCAGCTATATCACACGACGCAGGCAGGCAGGCAGCTCACAGACACATACGCGCGCAGGCAGGCAGTCACAGACACATACGCGCGCAGGCAGGCAGTCACAGACACATGCGCGCGCAGGCAGGCAGTCACAGACACATACGCGCGCAGGCAGGCAGTCACAGACACATGCGCAGGCAGGCAGTCACAGACACATGCGCGCGCAGGCAGTCACAGACACATGCGCAGGCAGGCAGTCACAGACACATGCGCGCGCAGGCAGTCACAGACACATGCGCGCGCAGGCAGTCACAGACACATGCGCGCGCAGGCAGTCACAGACACATGCGCGCGCAGGCAGTCACAGACACATGCGCGCGCAGGCAGGCAGTCACAGACACATGCGCGCGCAGGCAGGCAGTCACAGACACATGCGCGCGCAGGCAGGCAGTCACAGACACATGCGCACGCAGGCAGGCAGTCACAGACACATGCGCACGCAGGCAGGCAGGCAGTCACAGACACATGCGCACGCAGGCAGGCAGGCAGTCACAGACACATGCGCGCGCAGGCAGGCAGTCACAGACACATGCGCGCGCAGGCAGGCAGTCACAGACACATGCGCACGCAGGCAGGCAGTCACAGACACATGCGCACGCAGGCAGGCAGGCAGTCACAGACACATGCGCACGCAGGCAGGCAGGCAGTCACAGACATTACGCGCTATCGCAGGTGTCATACATTGCCGCGCGCGACGCGAGGCAGTCACAGACATTACGCGCACGCAGGCATCACAGCATTACTACGCGCACGCATCGGCAGCTCAGCGACACATACGCGACGCACGCAGGTGCAGTCATTAGCACACATACGCACGCGACGCAGGCAGCCTTCGCCAGACACATACGCACGCACGCAGGCAGCAGTCGTAGACACATACGCACGCACGCAGGCAGGCAGTCATAGACACATACGCGACGCACGCAGGCAGGCAGTCATAGACACATACGCACGCACGCAGGCAGGCAGTCATAGACACATACGCACGCACGCAGGCAGGCAGTCATAGACACATACGCACGCACGCAGGCAGGCAGTCATTTATTTACAGATTAAACGATTTATTTAACCAATCATTGTTAACCGGAGTAGTCCCAGAAGATTGGAAGCTAGCGAATGTTGTGCCCATTTACAAGAAAGGTAATAGGGAGGAGTCGGGCAACTATAGGCCAGTAAACCTTACTTCAGTAGTGGGGAAAGTGATGGAAACCATGTTAAAGGATAGGATTAATGAACATCTAAAACACATGGATTTCAAGATCAGAGACAACATGGGTTTACTTCAGGGAGATCTTGCCAAACTAATCTTATTCATTTTTTTGATTGGGTAACTAAAATTATAGATCAGGGTGGTGCAGTAGACATTGCTTACCTAGATTTCAGTAAGGCTTTTAAGACACTGTTGCACATAGAAGGCTTATCAATAAATGGCAATCCTTTTTAAGTTTGGATTCAAATATTGTTGAATGGGTAAGGCAGTGGCTGAGTGACAGGCAACAGAGGGTTGTAGGTAATGGAATATATTCGAAGCCTGGACTTGTCACCAGTGGGGTACCTCAGGGATCTGTACTTGGACCCATTCTCTTTAATATTTTTATTAGTGATATTGCAGAAGGTCTTGATGGTAAGGTATGTATTTTTGCTGATGATACTAAGATATGTAACAGGGTTGATATTCCAGGAGGGATAAGCCAAATGGCAAATGATTTAGGTAAACTAAACAGAATTGTGGCAACTGACATTTAATGTGGATAAGTGCAAGATAATGCATTTTGGACGTAAAAACCCAAGGGCAGAGTACAGAATATTTGATAGAGTTCTAACCTCAACATATGAGGAAAGGGATTTAGGGGTGATTATTTCTGATGACTTAAAGGTAGGCAGACAATGTAATAGAGCAGCAGGAAATGCTAGCAGAATGCTTGGTTGTATAGGGAGAGGTATTAGCAGTAGAAAGAAGGAAGTGCTCATGCCATTGTACAGAACACTAGTGAGACCTCACTTGGAGTATTGTACACAGTACTGGAGACCGTATCTTCAGAAGGATATTGATACCTTGGAGAGGGTTCAGAGAAGGGCTACTAAACTGGTTCATGGATTGTGGGATAAAACTTACCAGGAATGGTTAAAGGATCTTAACATGTATAGCTTGGAGGAAAGACTGTGATTAGATAAATATAAATCTGTAAATACATAAAAAAATTAAATAGAGTGAAATTACACTTTTTTTTTAATTTTTATTAATTTTAAAATACACGTAGAACGAAAAAAAAAATATATATATATATATATATATATATATATATATATATATATATATATATATATATATATATAATTTATTTATTTATTTATTTATTTATATTATGTGTGGAAAAGAGTAATCCAGGATGCACTCACAGGTCTTTATGCTGGTGAAATGATGCTTTATTAATGAAGGAAGTACATACAGAAATTGATCGACGTTTCGACCTTGCTGGGTCTTTGTCAAGATCTTGAAAAAGACCCGGCAGGGTTGAAATGTTGATCAATATATTTTGGACGCATTTGTATTTGCACCAAGGCAAGATTTGTTTTTATCTGCATAAGGAGAATGCCAAGCTGTATGTATGTGTGTGTGTAATATGTGTGTGTGTATGTATATATATATATGTGTATGTATGTATGTATATGTGTATGTGTGTGTGTGTGTGTGTGTGTGTGTGTATGTATGTATGTATGTATGTATGTGTGTGTATATATTATATGTAATATTTTAAATAATTAGGTCATTTTTAATTACAATTAGCGGGACCTGCCTGACAACCCAGGCCAAAAGACCAGGGAATTTAATTTGCTAGCACTATATTTAACCCTGTAACTTTCCAAGACACCATAAAACCTGTACATGGGGGGTACTTTTTTTTTACTCGAAGAATTTGCTGAACACAAATATTAGTGTTTCAAAACAGTAAAATGTATTACAACGATCTTGTCAGTGAAAGTGAAATTTTTTGCATTTTTCACACACAAATGGTACTTACACTGACGATATTGTTGTGATACGTTTTACTGTTTTGAAACACTAATATTTGTGTTCAGCGTAGTCTCCCGGGTATAACAGTACCCCTCATGTACAGGATTTATGGTGTTTTCAAAAGTTACTGAGTCAAATTATAAGGCTTGCATTTCAGTTTTTCACATTGAAATTCGCTAGGTTGGTCATGTTGCCTTTGAGACCGTACAGTAGCCCAGGAATGAAAATTACTCCCATGATGGCATACCATTTTCAATAGTAGGAACCTAAGGTATTGCAAGTGGGGTATGTCCAGTCTTTTTTAGTAGCTACTTAGTCACAAACACTGGTCAAAATTGGCATTCAAATTAGTTTTTTGCATTTTCAAATATTAACACTAACTTTGGCCAGTGTTTGTGACCAAATGGCTACTAAAAAAGACTGGACGTACCCCATTTGCAATACCTTGAGTTGTCTACTATTTCAAATGGTATGCCATTATGGGTGTAAATTTCATTCCTGGGCTACTATACAGTCTCAAAGGCAACATAACCTATCTGGCGAATTTCAATTTCAAATGTAACGTGTTATATTTGACCCTGTAATTTCCCAAAACGCCATAAAACCTGTACATAGGGGGTACTGTCTTACACGTGAGACTTTGCTGAATACAAATATGTGTATTTTATTGCAGTAAAAGCAAACAGTATTATGACATTGACAGTTAAAATGTCATGTAGAACTAAAAAAAATCAAATCTTTTCTCCCATTTTTTCATATTAAATTATGTTTCATAGCTAAATATTTGATATTAAATGAAAGCCCTGTTTCCCCTGAATAAAATTATATATAATAAGGGTGGGTGTATTTAATATGAAAGAGGTGAATTACTGTTGGACAGACATGTAGCGCAAATGCCAGGTTTTGTTTATTTTGTTTCGTTCACAACGTGTACATTAAGAGTGCATAGCAAGATGTGCTTTAATTGGAAAAGCAAAATTTGTTTGGGTCTTTTCCAAAACCAAAGTACAAATGTGCCTTTAAAATATAATGTGCTGAAACACCCATCTACCAATAAATATTGTAGTGACCTTATCAAACACCTTGCAACAACACAGCACGTGTTTCACCCTCTGATCTCCCCCTGAGGTTTGCATTTAAGGCATAAGTCATTGTATCTAATATTTAAAAATAAAAAAATTAAAAAAAAATTACTTCGGGTATATGGTAGATAAACACTTGTAAAAGCTGCAGATCTAGAGCCTTTGCAAGCTCCCTCCTTTATTACCCAACAGGATGGATTGTTTTGAATCAAACTGATTTAACTTAACCCCTCCAGGACGGAGTCAATAGTACACGTTATGATCAAAACAAAATGTAAACAAAAACTGGAATTCGCGTTATGTCTGTCCAACCGTAATTCACCTCTTTCATATTAAGTGCACCCACACTTATTATATATCATTTTATTCAGGGGAAACGGGGCTTTAATTTGAAACATAATTTATTATGAATAAAATAAAAACTGAGAAATTAATTTTTATTTTATTTTTTTTGAATCATTTGGAGTTCTGCCTGACATTTTAGCTGTAAATGTTAGAAACATAGAAACATAGAATGTGACGGCAGATAAGAACCATTCGGCCCATCTAGTCTGCCCAGTTTTCTAAATACTTTCATTAGTCCCTAGTCTTATCTTATAGTTAGGATAGCCTTATGCCTATCCCACGCATGCTTAAACTCCTTTACTGTGTTAACCTCTACCACTTCAGCTGGAAGGCTATTCCATGCATCCACTACCCTCTCAGTAAAGTAATACTTCCTGATATTATTTTTAAACCTTTGTCCCTTTAATTTAAGACTATGTCCTCTTGTTGTGGTAGTTTTTCTTCTTTTAAATATAGTCTCCTCCTTTACTGTGTTGATTCCTTTTATATATTTAAATGTTTCTATCATATCCTCCCTGTCTCGTCTTTCCTCCAAGCTATACATGTTAAGATCCTTTAACCTTTCCTGGTAAGTTTTAGCCCGCAATCCATGAACCAGTTTAGTAGCCCTTCTCTGAACCCTCTCTAAGGTATCAATATCCTTCTGAAGATACGGTCTCCAGTACTGTGTACAATACTCCAAGTGAGGTCTCACCAGTGTTCTGCACAATGGCATGAGCACTTCCCTTTTTCTACTGCTAATACCTCTCCCTATACAACCAAGCATTCTGATAGCATTTCCTGCTGCTCTATTACATTTTCTGCCTACCTTTAAGTCATCAGAAATAATCACCCCTAAATCCCTTTCCTCATATGTTGAGGTTAGGACTCTATCAAATATTCTGTACTCTGCCCTTGGGTTTTTACGTCCAAGATGCATTATCTTGCACTTATCCACATTAAATGTCAGTTGCTACAATTCTGACCATTTTTCTAGTTTACCTAAATCATTTGTCATTTGGCTTATCCTTCCTGGGACATCAACCCTGTTACATATCTTAGTATCATCAGCAAAAAGACATACCTTACCATCAAGACCTTCTGCAATATCACTAATAAAAATATTAAAGAGAATGGGTCAAGTACAGATCCCTGAGGTACCCCACTAGTGACAAGTCCAAGCTTCGAATATATTCCATTAACTACAACCCTCTGTTGCCTGTCACTCAGCCACTGCCTTACCCATTCAACAATATTTGAATCCAAACATAAATATTGCAGTTTATTGATAAGCCTTCTATGTGCAACAGTGTCAAAAGCCTTACTGAAATCTAGGTAAGCAATGTCTACTGCACCACCCTGATCTATAATTTTAGTTACCCAATCAAAAAAATTAATAAGATTAGTTTGGCATGATCTCCCTGAAGTAAACCCATGTTGTCTCTGATCTTGAAATCCATGTGTTTTTAGATGTTCATCAATCCTATCCTTTAACATGGTTTCCATCACTTTCCCCACTACTGAAGTAAGGCTTACTGGCCTATAGTTGCCCGACTCCTCCCTATTACCTTTCTTGTAAATGGGCACAACATTCGCTAACTTCCAATCTTCTGGGACTACTCCTGTTAACAATGATTGGTTAAATAAATCTGTTAATGGTTTTGCTAGTACACCACTAAGCTCTTTTAATAGCTTTGGGTGTATTCCATCAGGTCCCATTGACTTATTTGTCTTTACTTTTGACAGTTGAAATAGAACCTCTTCCTCTGTAAACTCACGTATAATAAATGACTCATTTATCCTTTTACTCAACTAAGGTCCCTTTCCTTCATTTTCATCTGTAAATACAGAACAAAAATATTCATTGAGTCAGTCAGCTAGACCTTTATCCTCTTCTACATACCTTCCTTATTTTGTTTTTAATCTAACTAATCCTTGTTTTACTTTTCTTTTCTCATTTATGTATCTAAAAAATGTTTTATCCCCCTTTTTTACTGACTGTGCTATTTTCTCTTCTGTGTGTGATTTGGAAGATCTTATAACTTGCTTAGCCTCTTTCTGCCTAATCTTATAGATCATTTTGTCTTCCTCACTCTGGGTTTTTTTTTATAATTCCTAAATGCTAACTTTTAGTTTTTAACTATTTTGGCCACATCTGCGGAGTACCACAGTGGTTTCTTGATTTTTTTTTGCTTTTACCGACAAGCCTAATGCAATTTTCTGTTGCCTTCAATAGTGCAACTTTTAAATAATCCCATGTCTCTTGGACTCCATTTAAATTGCTCCAGTCTGATAATGACTCCTCTACCCATATTCTAATTTTAGAAAAGTCTGTTTTTCTAAAGTCTAAAACTTTTGTTTTTGTGTGGTGTGACTCAGTCACTGTTCTTATATTAAACCACACTGACTGACTGATCACTGGATCCTAAACTTTCACCTACAGTAACATCTGATACCAAATCTCCATTTGTTTACACTAAATCTAGTATGGCCTCTTTACGAGTTGGCTCCTCAACAACTTGTTTTAGAGACAATCCCAGTAGGGAGTTTAGAATATGTGTGCTCCTGGCACAAGTAGCTAATTTTGTTTTCCAATTTACATCAGGAAGATTAAAGTCACCCATGATGATAACTTCCCCCTTCATTGTCATTTTAGCTATTTCCTCAACTAGTAGATTATCTAACTCTTCAATTTGTCCTGGGGGCCTATAAATCACACCTACACGAGTTACTGTGTGATTACCAAGTTCTAACGTAGCCCAAATGGACTCTGTTTGCCTCTCTAACTTTTATTAGGCTAGATTTGATGCTATCCTTCACATACAAGGCCACCCCTCCCCCTTTCTTGCCTTCTCTATCTTTCCTATATAAAGAGTACCCTGGTATTGCTATGTCCCAGTCATTTTTCTCATTGTACCATGTCTCAGTAACAGCGACTAAATCTACACTATCAGTTGCCATTATTGCCACAAGTTCATGGATCTTATTCCCTAAACTGCGAGCATTTGTAGACATGACTCTAAGCTTATCATTTTTTAACACACTTGCTACAGGCACCTTCTGTCCTTCTTTTGGGGGACAATTGGATTGATGTTTTATCACCCTTTTGCCCCCCCCTCCTAGTTTAAATACATCCTAGCAAAACCTCTGAACTGCTCACTGAGAACATTTGTTCCCTTTTGAGAAAGATGCAAACCATCTTTTTTGTACAGCTTATCTCCATTCCAAACAGAGCTACCATGAGAAATAAAGCCAAATCCTTGCTCCCGACACCATTCACCAAGCCACAAATTAAAGTCCCTAATACGCATCCGCCTGTCGTTCTGAGTGTTATGCACAGGCAGAACTTCAGAGAATGACAGTGTGGAAGCAACCTGCCGTATATCATTGGCAAAAACACTAAAAACTTCCTTAACCTCTGAAACCTCATTGCAAGCCAAGTCATTTGTCCCTAGATGGACAAGTACATCCAATTCCCCTTCCTGCTTTGCTTGCTTAACAATATTACAGATACGTCTCCTGTCTCTGTGAGCAGTAGCTCCGGGAAGACACCTCACAAGACCACCATTGTCCATCTCCACACCTATTATAATGGAATCCCCCAACAACAACTGCTTTCTATTAGGCCTCACCATAGTCTCCAAGCCGGTCTCCACAACACCACTAGCCTAAGTGCCTCTCTCCACAACACCACTAGCCTCAGTGCCTCTCTCCACAACACCATTACTCTGAAAGTGCAGAAAATTAATTAATTATGAAGAGCAACAGACTGTGCAAAATGCCTTTTATCCACAACTCTAAGTCTACCAGATCCTACAGTAATCCATCTGCCTTTCCTAGCATGTCTCTGCGGCAGTGGCTTTGCAGCAGTTCCAGTTGGAGTTTCTTCACCAGATAATTTACAAATCTCAGACTTCAAAAATACAATCTCCTGCCGCAAGATAGAGAACTGTCTACAGATTAGACAACAACCAAACCTCCAAAAAGTGGAACGTGAAACAAATGCATAGAAATTGTTACACTGAACTAAGTCTGCCATTCCAATTATGAGAATAATTTAAATCTAACAAATCTTGACTTTTTTCTTTATCCTCCTGAATACCTCAGATTACCTCCAGGTTATCTCCAGAATATCTCCAACTACACACTTAGAAACAGCACTCTCCAGAATATCTCCAACTACACACTTAGAAACAGCACTTAGAAGTAGCACCAAGCTACTGTTGGCTTTTACTGCAATAAAATGCACATTTGTATTCCGCAAAGCCTTAATAGGTTTTAAGGTGTTTTGGTAAGTTACAGGGTCAAATATAGCACATTCAATTTTTATTTTATTTTATTTTTTTCACATTGAAATTTGCCAGATTAGTAATGTTACCTTTGAGACTGCGTGGTAGCCCAGGAATGAGAATTACCCCCATGATGGCATACCATTTGCAAAAGTAGACAGCCCAAGGTATTGCAAATGGGGTATGTCCAGTCTTTTGTAGTAGCCACTTAATCACAAACACTGGCCAAAGTTAGCGTTCATATTTGTTTTTGTGTGAAAAAAGCAAAAATAGATTTGGCCAGTGTTTGTGACTGAGTGGCCTCTAAAAAAGACTGGACATACCCCACTTGCAATACCTTGGGTTGTCTACTATTGCAAATGGTATGCCATCCTGGGGGTAATTCTCATTCCTGGTTTACCACAGAGTCTCAAAGGCAACATTTCCAAACCGGCAAATTTCAATGTGAAAAAAAATCCGTAAAACCTGTTAAGGCTTTGCTGAATACAAATTATATATGTGTATTTTATTGCAGTAAAAGCTAACTGTATTATGACATTTACAGCTAAAATGTTAGGCAGAACTACAAATGATTTTAAAAATCTTAATTTCAGTTTTTTTTTTATTTTGGTGCCCTCATCTTTGTTTATATATTTTGTTCTACATGTATTTTGATCTCCATATATAGTATCAAAATACAGTCAGAACAAGATTATATTTTTTAATGAGCGGGTGAGTACACAGGAAGGTGGGGACGTGCTATGCTGCCCTCTGGCGTTTAGAGCCAGGTCCCCAAGGACGGCATAGCATGCTCGCAGTCCTCCGGGGTTAAACTGTGATATAAAGATTTTAAATCATGACATGTAAAAACCTCATTCTTTCACATTATAATATTAATATTTGCAACCAGATGAAGATTTCATATTTAAAATACTTTCCAGTTTACCTTTAATATCAGAACTAATATCTATAGTTACAGCCTTCTCTGATGATGGGTGATGCTCAACTTATTTCTGCAGAAGCCAGATGCCGATTCTGACAGTCATTCATTGGTTGAGAGCATCAGCGTAATGCTCTCATTCAACAAATGACCCTCCGTTTAAAGAATGTGCACATAATTGATAGTCCACTTGGAATTCTTATTCTGGGCTGGCTAATGATGTACTAATAAAATTACCTGAGGTGTACTTAGACCTCTGAATGAAATGTAAATATATGTGCAGAGTTCACTTAAAAATGTTTCAGAAAGTAGAATGTTTCGGTGAAGCTCTATATTAATGATAATTGGTGGAAAACCATTTGTGGTGATAGTGCAAAAACTGCCCAGTATAAAACAAAGTGCAAAAACTGCCCAGTATAAAACAATATACCTTTTACAATGGTTTTCTCGTTTAAGAGATGTCAATATTTCTGTATAATCCCTTTAAATAAAAACATAGAAATACACATCATAGTGCAAACTGTACAATATTATTAAAATGTGAGAGATAATGCCCAGTACCAATTCACAATTTACTGAGCTAAAAAACTTAGCTCAAGTTCTTGCACTTTAGGGTCTGTTAAAGGACCACTATAGTGCCAGGAAAACATACTCGTTTTCCTGGCGCTATAGTGCCCTGTGGGTGCCCCCACCCTCAGGGTCCCACTCCTGTGGCGCTAAAGGGAGAGGAAGGGGTTAATCCCTTACCTTTTTTCCAGGCTACCTCGGCGCTGGGAATCTCCTCCCCCCTCTTCCGTCCTCGGCTGAATGCGCATGCGCAGCAAGAGCCGCGCGCGCATTCAGCCAGTCTCATAGGAAAGCATTGATAATGAAAATCACAGTGAGAAGCGCGGAAGCTCCTCTAGCGACGGTCAATGAGACAGCCACTGGAAGCTGGATTAACCCGTAGGTAAACATAGCAATTTCTCTGAAACTGCTATGTTTACTGTAAAAAGGGGTTAAACCTAGCTAAACCTGGCACCCAGACCACTTCATTAAGCTGAAGTGGTCTGGGTGCCTATAGTGGTCCTTTAAGGCGACCCTATCCCTCCTTTGGGTCCAGATATTCTTACGCTTCTGTCCTAGGTGATTTGGCATAGAAGAAACATATATAGTGTGATATCGTTTATTTTATAAATGAGTAGTAGTTAAATGTAATTTAGTACTCCCAAACCTAGAACCTTCCAATAGGCTCAAGTCAAATTGAATATGTGGTTAAGGACTTTAAAAAAAACAAAACCATATAGTATAAAACAATAATTTAAAATACACCTATTCAGCTAAAATCCAAACATAGAGTCTTAGTGCTCACTGTTCACCCAGGACGCGTTTCGCCAAGTAGGCTTCCTCAGCTGGAAAATTCTTTGTAGCTGCTTAAAATACCCTTCTAATCAGGGAATAGTATGCTGCCTTAAATTTTCGCGGGCAATCTCCATGGTAACAGGTGCCCTGCGTGTCAAGCCTCCTATTGATACTGTGCATTCCGCATTGCTTGCCGATACGTTACGTCCAGTTTCAGCATATCTGGTTTGTGTGTTCCATTCTGCGTTCCAGCAGCCATTGACTGGATTCTTTTGCCGGATGGCAGATTTTTTTTGTAGCATTTAATACAGGAAATAAATAGCATCAACATTATTCTGCTTAATGTACATCATTTAAATGAAAATAAATCATATTTACATTCTTATGTTCAATGTACATCATATAGATACGTTTATAATGTGCAGGGATGTATGTATAACATAGAAAACTGTTTAATGGACAGATAAAAACATTTGTTTCCTGAAATATCAGTCTATAACAAATTAAATTATTAACCTTTTTCCTTCTCACTGACTACCTATATTATTATTTCCACAATATAAACTTATAGTGTATTCAATTTATTAAAATTAATACAGATATAGTAGGAGAGAATTTCTTTTACTGTATTTTGGTGCTTTATTTCATTGTGGTGCTTTTTCACTGCATTTAAAGGGGAACATACTTAAAATTCTTGATATTATGAAAATTCCTTAAAATAGCATAATTTGAAAGACTTATTAATGGAATTAAATGTAAAAATACAGTATTTAAAAATTATGTAAAAAAGGGAGGTATGTGCAAAAGGGAATTCATTTAATCTCTATCATTAGAGTGCAAATAGTAGTTTGTATAACAGAAGAGGCATAATCTATTTTTTTTTTCTCTCTTTATTGCGTGTTTTCATTATCATGTATAAAGAACAACGATGAGGACTCGCAGGTCCCATGCAACTGAAGAGAAGGAAGGAACGGGAACTCAACTTATGAACGTGCATCAGTGACTTGCAGGTCACAGGCTAACTTAAGAATTGAATGTTTTTATTGTCTTACATAATGAGCATCGATGGGGACTCGCAGGTCCCTTTCAACTTAGAAGAAGAGGAAAAAAAAAGGAAAGAAAACCAACTTATGAATATGCATCAGTGACACGCAGGTCGCACATTGACGTTTATAATAATTCAGTCTCGGACTTGCAGGTCCAGTACTCTTCATTCAGTGGGATAGTGCCTTCGAATAGTATCCGGAGTCTACATAAACTGTTTTGTACGTGCTTTGTTCTACGTGTCTACCTGAGGGGTGAAGGCCGTATTTCCCGGAATTCGTGCGTGCCAGGGAGCCGACCTCGTGTGTTGGGCAGACTCTGCGCGCACCCTCCCTCCTAGAGTGTAGGTCTATGATTCCCTTATCTTGGTAACCCCCTCGATAGTTGGTCTGTGAGCTCGTGGGCCTGTTTCTCCCGGTCGGGTTCGTGCATCTTAAGTATCTTTGTCCTTCTGTTATGTGTCTGTTGCCATTCTTTATATTCTAAGATGTCCATTGTGTCTCTGTAGGCTGTCTAGCCCAGGTGTTTTGCCCTCTTGCCTCTCTGGGGTGCCCAAATTATTTCAATGGGGGATTTTCGTGATTCTCGGTGGGTCTGTATGGACAAGTGTCCTCAGCTGTGTAAAAAACAAACAAACAAAAAACAAAACAAAAAAAACATCTGTGTCTGTGAGTGTCGGCTCCCTTAGTTTGACTAGATTCTTGTTCTCCCTCTCAGGTGTTCCCGCTTCCTTGGATAGCTAGTGTAGGGTGGGTTGGGGAGAGGGGTAAATTCAGGCAAGGGGAAGAGGGAGAGGGTGTGCTGTCTGTCAGTACGTCCATCTGTCTTGGGTTGTGTGGAAAATTCGGGTTGGGCCGTCGTCCTCATCCAATGTGTCCATATGTCTGTTGCTGCGGTCCTGCCGTCCGCATAGTGAGTTCCTCTATTGCCCATAGTTCTTCTATTTGGTTGAACCACCTTTGCATCGATGGGGTCTCATTTTTCTTCCAGTATTGAGGGATGGTCTGCTTTGCTATGTTCAGGATTCAAATTATAAGTGATTTTTTTTTTTTTTAATTTGGTTATGGGGGTGTTTGTATGGTGTAATAACATGGCTGCCGGTTCCAATGGTGGGTTGTTGGAGAATCTAGATAGTATTTTGTGTATGGTTCGCCATTAGGGCTGTATGTTCTCACACTCCCACCATATGTGCAGGGGTGTGCCAATCACCTTCTCGCATCTCCAGCAGAAACTGGATCCGTATGTGGTGTATCGTGTCAGGTGTTTGGTACCAATGTGATAGTAATTTGTATGCAGTCTCCTGACTTTTACTGAAAACTGAGCAGTGGTGAGTGATATGGCAGATCTTTTCCCATTCTGTCTCACTAAAGGTCTGGTGTAGGGCCTCCTGCCATTTTCCCATGAATTTTGGTGGTGCCACTGGTGTTTGTGACTGTAGTGTAGAGTATAGGAGCGACACACTGTGCGGTTGTGGGTCGGTGTCTGCGCACATGTGTTCAAAGACTGTGAGATCTCTACCTAAGTTAGCTCCCTGTGGGAGAATCTTTACAAAGCTGCATAATTGTTCATATTTAAATCGAGTTAGGAAGGATTGGTCTGCGTCTTTACTTATGTCCGTCCAGTCCCTTAGTCCCTGTTTGGTGTATACGTGTCTCAACCTTAGTAACGGGTTTCTGATCAGCGTCTTCAGTGCCCCCGGGTCCATGCCTGGTGGGAAATCTGTATTATGAGTGAGAGGGAGTAGTGGGGATGGGTGTGTAGATAGGGCGTGTTGTCCTGCGCTACTGCGCCACACCTTTAGTGTCGCTTTGGTGTACACCGAGTAATGTCTCTCCACTCCCCCTTCGCGCCTGGGGAGCCACGAGAGGAGCGCGGCCGGGACGCCTGCCCTCGCCTCCTCTATCTTCCAGAGTTTAGTGACCCTGGACCTAGACCACTCCATAATGCGTTGTAGGTGACGTGCTTTATAATAAAGCATGAAGTCTGGCAGGGGTAGGCCACCCCAGTCTTTGAGTTGTGTGAGTAGTGTATATTTCAGTCTGGGTCAGGAGGTCATCCGCGTATGCGGCTATTTTGTGGTGTCTATCGTTTTGACTCCTGTGATGTCTGGGTGGTGTCTTGTGTGTCAGGAAGGGCTCTAATGCTAGGACAAAAAGCAACGGCGACAGGGGACATCCCTGACGCGTTCTGTTGTAGACTGGGAAAGTTTCTGTGAGCGCTCCGTTGACCACCACCTGTGCTGTTGGTTGGGCGTATAAGGCTTTGATCCAGCCCAGTAAGAGTGGTCCCATGCCCATGTGTGCTAGTGTCCGGAACATGTATTCCCAGTAGACCCTATCAAAGGCCTTCTCCACGTCTGTGGACAGCAGAAGGCCCCTGTCGTCCACCGTCCACCCATGCATGACTGTTAGAGCCCGGATAGTATCCCTGGCCTAGTTTCCCGATATGAATCCCACCTGGTCCACGTGGACCAGGGATGGGATGTGCAGCTGGAGCCGGGTCGCCAGAACCTTGGCCAGGCGTTTGAGGTCAGTATTTATGAGGGATATGGGTCGGTAACTCCCACACTGCTCCCGGTCCTTTCCTTCTTTTGGTATTAGAGTTATGTGTGCCATGAGCGCTTGTTTGGGGAGGTCTCGTCCGTCTCTAATGTTATTGAACATGTCCAGTAGCGGAGGATATAAGATGTCTGCGAAACATTTGTACTATTTGATGGGTGGGCCTGGGCACCTGCCTAGTTTAGTGTGTTTAATGGCAATTGCCAACTCCTCAGGTGTAATCGGCTCCTCCAGCTGGTCTTTTGTTTTCGTTGTCAGGGAGGGGAGGTCATGAGTTTGGAGGTATGCATCTATAGAGTCCCTCAGTCTTTGTGTCTGTTTTTCTGTTTGTGGTTGTGGGAGGGAGTATAACTCCGCGTAGTAAGCACGTATGATCTCCTGTATCTTGGTAGGGTGTCTGTGTGAGATGCCTCCCTTATCTCGCATGTGGTTGATATACGTGTCCTGTCTCTGTTTGCTGAGCATGCGTGCTAAGAGTTTGCCGCACTTGTTTCCATGTATAGAGAACAACGCCTTGTGTCGCAGCGCTGCCCTGTGGTGTTGAGTGTGATTAGTTCCCTCCTTAGGTTGAGGAGCGTGGTCTGGTGTGTGGGGAGGTGTAATCGTTTGAGGGTGTCTAGTTGTTGTATGTCTGAAAGGAGCGTGAGCCTGCAGGCCTCCCTCTGCTTTTTAAGGAGCGCGCTTTTCTGTATAAAGTGTCCCCTGATCACGCTTTTGTGCGCCTCCCATCGTATGGTGGAAGAGGTTTGGTCTCGTGTGTTGGCCATAAAGTAGTCTTTTAGCGCCGTTTCTATGTCTGTTGTGACGTCTGGTGTTGTGAGCAGTGATTCGTTTAATCGCCATTTTGGTACTCTAGGCCTGAACAGGGGAGACTGCAGAGCGATGGTCACTGGTGCATGGTCTGACCACATTGCGGTCCCCTGGTCGGCCCCGAGCACCAGAGGCAGGTGGTAGTGAGACACAAAAAGGTAATCGATTCGAGTGTATGAGTTGTGTGGATGGGAGTAATATGTGTAATCCCTCTCATCTGGGTGAAATGCCCTCCAACAGTCCACTAGTTATGCCCTTGTTAGGAGGGTCTTAATTGCTGTGATGTGTTGTGTAGGGAGATGCGACTGCCCCTGCAAGGAATCCCACTTGGGGTCCAAGGTGACATTCAGGTCTCCCCCAGTACCAAGACCCCCTCTGCGAAGCACTTGAGGGCGCAAAGCGTCCTGGTGAGAAACCTATATTGTCTCTGGTTGGGGGCATAAACATTGGCAAAGGTATATGTCGCGTCTGCTATCTTGCCTTTGAGGAACAAGAAGCGGCACTCCTGGTCAGACATGACCCCCATGTCCTCCCAGTCAGTATATCTTGCCCCCGTCTTATGGATCGTTTTGCTATAAATGCTGCCTGTTGTGTAACCTCACCAAATAAGTACCAGTAATTGCGTTAACCTAACAATAAATTGTAGCATATCCGTAAGTAACGGAACCTGTTAGGGTGGGCAGACCAGCCATTTGAAATGGCCGGTGTCCCGGTCATCCCGGCCTCAGGTGGCCATGGCCTTGCCTGCCCGAGGGCGCTTTTCTCAGTAGTATGGGGGTGTGGTGGCCTGTGTCTCGGCCCCCCGTGACCCCCTGTACGAGTTGTTGTTCTTGAGATGTGATCACAATTCTCCATCCTCCCCCCTCCCCCCCATCCCCTCGTTCCTCCACCGCTTGGTTTATGATGTCCCCTGTTAGGATTAAGTCGCTGTCCTCCTCTGTCAGTCCTCCCCCCCCCCCGCGATCTGCAGCGGCCATGTGCTGCCGGCCACGTGGGAGGCAAGCCTGCCCAGGGCGTTCTATGCCGCCCTGTGGCGTTTAGAGCCATCCAAATAGGGACGGCATAGAACACCCGGCGGGCTTAAGGGGTTAACCACCTAGCGCCCTTCTCAGTAACTTGGCTAAACATGTTTGACGCTGACCTTTAAGAGACTTTTTAACAGTGTACTAGTTTCAGTAATGTCAGGGCTCATTCCTTTCCATTACTGTCCTCCCTATTCTAGCTACCCCCCCCCTCTCCTTTTGTGTTCATGGTGCCTTTGTTAGTTTGGTTGTTTTTTTTTTGCCACTATTTGCAGTTTACAGTTACCCCCTGTTTGAAGGTGCCCGGTGACAGGTGACTTTGTGGCAAACCCATTTATTTTTAAATACCTTTCATCAAACATTGAAAGGAAATCTCATTCCTAATTTTAGTAAATGACCAGATCCTTCAGACATATATGTACACCTTGGGTGAGATGGTGTTTGAAAACGGACAGTTAGATTGAGAAGCATGAAAGACCATAGAGACTAACTGCTTTTAAACACGGTCTGAACCAAAGAGTGCATAAAATGGCTGGCTGACTCCACTATATGCTAAAGGTAGTGAGGAGTGTTTTTTTTTTTTTTCTTTTACATATACTTAAAAAATAATAATCTATCCCCCCTACCCCCATTACATTACTTACCTCCAGTCCAGTGCTGTCATGTCTGCAGCTTGTATTACTGTAATATCCACCTTCTGCCTGTGCTCTGCTTCTTCCATGGCAACATGTTGGCTTCATTGCCAGCTGGTTCAGTGTCTTTTCTGAGTGACATCCGTTGCTGTATTCCCATGCTCTTCTAGCCAGTTCTGGCTCAGGAGTAGTAACTGCAACCATTGCGCATGTGCTGCGATTTGTTTTGCAGAGAACTGCCTGTAGAAGGGTTCTCCTGCTCTCCTCTTTTTTTAGTCTTTTGGTGTAAACACTGTTGAATCCTTGCACACGCTGGGGTACCACAACTATCAATTCATACCTGGAGCTCCCCTCTATCACTTTGTGTCATTTTTTGAAAAAAAAATTTTTGGGCCACAGACTGTCAGATGCTCTGCAAAGTGAGCACTATATACAGCTCTCTACATAGCTTTAAAGCGGTCCAGAGATTTTTTTTTATTGATTTTTTTTAAATATATATAGATACAGATTAGATGAAGTTTATTTTTTGTGACCAAGCCAATTTAAATCTTCATTTACCACAATTTGGTGTGAGTTGGGAAAAATCCCTGCTCACACGTGGAGACACTTGTATCAATATATATCTGAGGCTCCTCTGTGTTAGCTGGGGCAATTTTTTTTGTGTCACCAGACTCAGCTGCTCTGTATGCAGTAATCCATTGCAATTTCAATAAGGTATTTAAATGCCTAGTGCTGCAATGCGGTTTGAGTTAAATCCTTGCTTACACCAGGATGCCCCAGGTTTAAATCCAACCATTACATACAGCTGTTTAAATTCCACTCAGACGATGTTTCTGTGCTTGCAGATGCTTAATGGAAGCCCTGACTGTCTCCCAGCATGGTCCCATGTCAGTTGTGGTCAGTGCTGGGCATTGCCATCTGTCCAGCATAGAACACGTTGTAATTGGCATGCTGGAGTTTCAGCTTTACAGTTTTACAATGCTAAAACAAGGAAAGGTTAAAGGATCTTAACACGTATAGCTTGGAGGAAAGACGATACAGTGGGGATATGATAGAAACATTTAAATACATAAAGGGAATCAACACAGTAAAGGAGGGGACTATATTTAAAAGGAAAAACTACCACAACAAGAGGACAAATTAGAGGTGCAAAGGTTTAAAAATATCAGGAAGTATTACTTTACTGAGAGAGTGGTGGATTCATGGAATAGCCATCCAGCTGAAGTGGTAGAGGTTAAAGGACCACTATAGGCACCCAGACCACTTCAGCTTAAAGGACCATTCTAGGCACCCAGACCACTTCAGCTTAATGAAGTGGTCTTGGTGCCAGGTCCAGCTAGGGTTAACCCATTTTTTAATAAACATAGCAGTTTCAGAGAAACTGCTATGTTTGTTAATGGGTTAAGCCTTCCCCCTAATCCTCTAGTGGCTGTCTCATTGACAGCCACTAGAGGCGCTTGCGTGCTTCTCACTGTGATTTTCACAGTGAGAGCACGCCAGCGTCCATAAGAAAGCATTGTAAATGGTTTCCTATGCGACCGGCTGAATGCGCGCGCAGCTCTTGCCGCGCGTGCGCATTCAGCCGGAGGGGAGGAACGGAGGAGGAGAGCTCTCCGCCCAGCGCTGGAAAAAGGTAAGTTTTTAACCCCTTTCCCCTTTCCAGAGCCGGGTGGGAGGGGGTCCCTGAGGGTGGGGGCACCCTCAGGGCACTATAGTGCCAGGAAAACAAGTGTGTTTTCGTGGCACTATAGTGGTCCTTTAATGAAGTGGTCTGGGTGCCAGGTCCAGCTAGGATAAACGGAGAGCTCCCCGCCCGGTGCTGGAGAAAGAGGTAAGTTTAACCCCTTCCTCTCCATCCAGCCCGGCGGGAGGGGGTCCCTGAGGGTGGGGTAACCCTCAGGGCACTATAGTGCCAGGAAAAAGAGTGTTTTCCTGGCACTATAGTAGTCCTTTAACACAGTGAGGGAGTTTAAGCATGTATGGGATAGGCATAAGGCTATCCTAGACTTAAGATAAGGCCAGGGACTAATTCAAAGTGTTTCGAAATTATTGGGCAGACTAGATGGGCTGAATGGTTATCTGCCGTCACAGTCTGTTTCTATTGTAGCCCAGGCTTGGGTGTGCAAATGAGACAGATATTATAGCGTTATTGCAATTAACACACCTCCCACACCTATAAATCCCTTTCGGAGTTGATAACCATGTGTCTCTCTTTATATTGTCTTAATTTGCCCTGGCATGTATTAGATCCTGTCTGAGATTTCTCGAGTTCTTAAGTCATAATTGGAACTATTCCAAAAATATTCCTTAGGTCCGTGTTCTCACGCAACACATGCCGGTTTTTTTATTTTATTTTTTTTTTTATAATTTGTGCAATATAACGGGACTTAGTGGAATAAGTATGTACAAAAGGAATTCGTTTTGGCTTTGTCTCGACTTCAACCCTCGGTCTCTCCTGATTATTGTATTCCAAAACTTTTTTCCTTGGCTGTCCTCAGTGACTCCATGGGATAACCTCTATCCCTAAAGTTCTTCCTCACTTAATCTGCCCTTTGTTCAAAAAGTTGATCATCAGAGATGATCCTTCTCCGATGTTATAACTCTTTCAATTTGGGTGGATGGAATGATTAGAAATGCAGGTATGCATTCCTATCTGTCTGGAGAAGATATCAAAATGAAAAAAATTCTTGACATTCACATCCAGGAAATTAATCTGTGTTGGGCTATATTCAATGGTGAATTTTATGGTGGGGAGCATTAAGTTAATGCTTCCCCAGAATTCGAAAAGGGTCTCCAATGGACCGCTCCATAGAAAACAAATGTCGTCTGAAGCGTAACCATAACTTCACAAAATGAAATTTAGAATGAGTATAGATGTAATCCTCCTCAAAGCAAGCCATAAATCTTTTTTGATACACTTGTGCCCTAGTGTAATGACTACCCATTCCTTCATAAAATACACAGATTTAAAAAAAAATTTAATTTGGTTTTTTTTTTTTTAACCAAAATACGTGACACTGTGGAATTACAGGACGTGACCTTTTTGTATACTATGAATATAAGCAGTCTGTACACCTCCGTACCACATGATGGAGGTGTTCAGGCTGTTAAACGACATCTATTGAAATTAGACATTGATGAGGCTCAGCATGAATTTGCAGTCACTCTTTTGGAAAAGATGTTATATGAAAATGTATTTTCTGTACAAGGACACTTTTTATAAACCATTACAGGGCACGGCGATAGGGTCAAATGTGGCCCCATCGTACTCCAATTTATTAGGGATCGATCGATTATCGGTCTGGCCGATATTCTGTATTTTTGGCAATATTGGTATCGGCCAATTCAGATACCGATATTGCCGATAATATATAACAGGACCGCTGGACCCATTACAAGCCCGGTGGTCCTGAAGGGGCCCGCAGGTAGCGTTTACTTAACTTCCCAGCAGCTCCTTCAGCTCTTCTTTTGTGCCCACACTATGAACACACAATTGGCTATTGCTTGCTCTGTGTCCATGGATTGGATTACATTATACTATTTTGTTTAATATATATATATATTATATATTTTTTTTTTTTTTTTAAGGGTGGTGATGCACACATGCATGAATCTCTGGGAATATCCCCGGGACCTATGAATCTTATCCCACGCTCTTCTTTTATTATTTTTGTTTGTGTATATTCTTCTTTTTTCACCTTTTTATCTTTTCTTCATTTGTCTTATTCTTTGATTATTTAGTATATTTTTATATATATATGTATATTATTTGATTTTATATATATATATATATTTTCACTGTTTTACTCTACTGTTTTGTTTACCTTAATTGGTGGACTATGGAATAATATATTTAGTTTGCAGTCTGTTGAAATCCATGCATATATTTTATTGTTTAGTATTGTACACTGTGTATTGTGGATCCAATGAGGTCAAATGTGTGTTATTATGTGCACTTTTGATTGTTTTAAATTTTGGGTAATTTGAGGTCAGTACCTCTTGATACATGTAAGAATATATTCCATATATTTGTATGCACATCATACTCGTATGATGTACTTCAGGAGATTGACTTGATTTAGATCAAGTTTGGCCACTACGTTTTCCTGTAGTTGCTCTGTGATGCCGGAACACGTGATCACATTTGCACGTAATGACGTCACTGACACACGGAACTATACTCTGGCATTATACATAAGATCTTATACATCACTACATTAATGGAAAGTACCTCCCCATATCCAGCTGACCACTTAGATTTATTAGTTTGAGCTAACGGGCTATCAGTCAGTGAGAGGTCCCCCAGAGGAAGGCTTAAGAGCCGAAACATCTGGGTTTTCATTTCTCCTGCTCTTGGTCACTATAACTAACTTTTTTTTTTTAATTGGTGTATGTAATTAGCACTTTATTACTATTGTGGTATTGGTATTATTGATTGGGTATGCACTATTTTGTGCACTTTTTTTCTGTCAAAGTTACTTGATGTATTTCTTCAAAGCATGAATAAAAAAATTATGTGCAAACCTTGGTGTGCCTTGAGTTCATTACTATATCTGTAGTGATAATGTAATGGCAGGTAATTGTTTAGTGTAAGGTTTAGGTATAGTGTTGGAGGGTGGTATACGGTTAGCGTTAAATACTAATAATATCCTAAACATATGAGCATTTTGTACAATCAGGACTGATATGTGTATCTGTTTTGAGATCTTTTTATGTAGTTGCACTGGATGTAAAAAACATTTTTATCGAATTACCCCACCCACCATATTTTTTTTTTTTTTTAGCATTTTAGTCAAACTCTGTCACTCCCTTATCAAAAAATTTTGTATTTCATAAAGGTCAAAGCTTTATGAAATTATGAGATCCTTTTAAAAAAAACAAAACAAAACAAATTTCAGTGAAATTTCAATCCAGTCAAAAGATATACTGGGTTCCCCCAGCTGTCACCAGTGACCATTGGTAGGGGGGAGGGGGGGATAAAAGTATTTTCTATTCATGTCTTGTGGAATCCTCCATAGATCTTAATGCTGTACTCACTGACATCGGTTCGTAGAAGCTGAAGCGACAGAAGAGGATGGTGGAGCCAGTGAGCGACCATCTCCTCTTTCACTGCACCCCATGGCCACCAGACCCACAGCTGGTGATAGAACCGCTTTAAAGAAAACTCTTAAATTACGTTTAAACACATGGCACAATTTCTAGGTGCTTTTACTTTTAAAAATGTTTTTGTCAGATCTTTGGCAATGTCCTCTGTCCTTTAAGGGGTTAAGAGTGTGTGTGTGTTTCATGAGCTATTTCATGGTCGACTCTGCTTCCTTGTGAAAAACAAGAGCATAATCACAAACTAAGCATGGCTTGCAGGTAATCTAAAACTAGTGCAAGAAAGAAAACTTTGCCTGGGACTATAACTGATCCTATTGCATAACTGTTGATGGTGTTCCAGATCTTAATGTAAGACAAAGCCACATAGGCAATTGGTCAGAAATTCTTCTCTGTAAAGAAAATAAATCCTGTATAAAAGCTACATACTGCTGGGGTGTTTTCTTTCCTTTTGAGAACAAAAATTTGTTTCTTACATTCTTCAGGTAGAGAGCAGAGTTAAAGTGGTTAAATGATACCTCTTATTATGTATGACTTTGAGGAACCTATGCATAAACTTGAATATGCCCTTGGAAGGTGCCCTAGGTTTATTTAGGCTCCAGGTGCTTTACACCCCAGGAACATGGATTAGTATGCTTCTGCATACAGAGCACACTTTGTCCCTCCCATGTCGCTTGTTGCAAGTTATCAGCTGCCTGGTGCCATGTGCAGCAGCACAGTTCACACACCCCAAAGACCTGCCCTGGGCATTGGTGGATGCTCGGGTGAACCATGTCTTTATATTTGTCATGCTCCTTCCGGATGGGGTCTTTTCTAGCGACTGGGCAACAATGGATGCCCAGTAGCTAGTTTTTATATTTAGTATACATGCCCCCATTGACGGATGGCCGATGGGGGCATTTAGAGGTAAAATACCATCATTGTAGCAATCCTATTAACCACCATAAGATTATAACTCATTTAGTTTGTTTAATTTTTTTTTTTTTACTTGTTCTGGCCAGCCACCACATTAACCTTTGCACTATCATGAGGTTTTAAATATTTGCCTGCTGGCGTTATGAGCGGGCAAATTGCAAGTGAATGATAATTTGAGATTCCAGTGCTTTAAATTGGTTCAGATGAGTTTGGAAAAACAGTGGCTTCCTAATCTGAACTATTGTTACAGAATCTGTCAGACCAACCAAATTCTTTCAGCATTTGGCTTTAATAATGTTACTGCTTAGGAATACCTCTAGTGGTAATTGTCACGAACGCGCCCTACTCCAAGAGTGCGTGACGTAGTGTGGTGGTGAAAGGGTTAAAGTTCACTATTTGTCTGCACTAGACCGGAAACAATGACAAAATCCTCCTTTTTAACATCACCCACACGTAAACATAATAATAGAACTATTACAATTTTAACGCTGCCGCCACCAACCCCAAGACCATTTGTAAATGGGGTGCCTTGGTCCCCCACGTAAATCCATAATAAAACCCAACATATTACTTAGCACAATATTTAAGGAATTGCAAAAATACTAATTAGTCTCTTCAGGTAACGTGATTCTTAACCAGACAAAAGCAGAACTTAAATGTTTATTATGAGCAAAAAAATAGTCAGTGCATATAGAGAAAAACAATAAATATATATAACAAATCAGTTATACCAGCAGGTAAAAACAAAAAGGATAAAATACAGAAGTCCTGATTACTCACTTATGTTTTCAAAGTACAACTTTTGCCCAAGGGGTCTCTGGCAAGGAAGTATGATGGTGTACTTGCATGGGGCCAAGATCTAATTTTGAGTGAGACACCAACATCCCTACAAATCTTTGGATATATACCCTGTGGATTATCAAGTCTTGCCCAGGGGTGGAGTTAAGGCATACCTACAGAAAAAAGTGACCACCTCCTTTGTTCCAGACCACCGTCAATCCAAGTGGAACCATTTGGCTCTGTCTTCTCTTATGTACATGCCACAGAAATAATAATTGCATCTACAAATTTGTAATCATTTTCCCATTCCATTGACTTGTCGCACGCCCCACCCGTGATCCAATAGGACTGACCTCACAATTCCTTCTCCTATGGTCGTCAGGCCACTCATGTTTGGACTTGTTTAGAAGATGGCGCTTGTCACATTCCAAATATAACATAAATGAGGCTTAATTTTTATTCTGTGGGATAAGTATGAATGTTTCTCTTTGGATATAATACTGGAACAAGGCTAATGTCCATTAGCATATCAAAGAGATTGCCTCATCAATTTACAAGGTACATGCCAAATGGATGAAGAGACATTCCAACTTTTTCCAAGTGTAGAACCTCACACCTTGAAGAACCTTAATTAATTTACATACATATGGTAAAATACTTTTCACCTCCCTGTGTCATTCAAACTACCACTTCTGTCATCTGACCACAATGGGGGGTCCCAGCTTCAAAAAAATCTAACCTCTTTTGACCTCCATACAATCAAATGAACCCCTTTTGACATTGACAATACCATCTCTGCCATGCCAGCAGGTCCTTAATGCACTACAAAAATTACATTAAAGGACAATATTCCATAGTGCAATAATAAATTATGCACCCTTGCCGTGACAGTCACTCAAACCTGCACGTTCTCCATAGATGCATCTCAATGATGAGATGCTAATTGGTGCAGAGGAGTGTTTTGCCACGCATGCACAAAACCCTCTCAATGCTTTCCAATTGAAAAGCATTGAATTGGCTGAGATCGTAAAGTTTGATCGCAGCCAAGGAGGCTGAGCTTTCAGCGAAGAGACTTGCGCAGCGCTGAAATAAAGGTGAGATTAAATACCTTTTTATTTTGCTGAAAGGGGTGCCGGTGACCTAAATAGCTCTATTATAACTATAGTGGCACTATACTACTTTAAGATACAGGGGACATGAGAGGATAACTGAAGGAAAAAAAAATGACAGAGCCGCTTTAACCTAGCCTGGCATGCTTTTTAATTAGAAATGTGAATAAAGATATCTTTCTTTTATTTTGTAATTAAAGTTTGACTGGAAAACTTTCACTAAAACAAGTATGTCCGTATAAAGAAGTATGCAGAAGTTATGGTGCATAACAAAGATAAGGGAGAAACAAAACCGAATTCAAAGAAAATTAGAGGTTTGGGTCTCCATCCATATCAGGAAGAGCGAAAAGAGAACAAAACAGAAGGAAAGGGAAAAAGCATGGAATAAAGAAAACCTAGACATTTTAACTATTGGTTTGCCATTTTACCTTTGTGTTTTTGTTTTTTGGTAGGTAGCAGGGCTGTAATCTAGTTGAGTTGGGCCACATGTGGCTGTAGCTTGAAGGCCTCAGTATGCTGATGGTCCAGACAGCAAATCGTGCACTCAGGCTGCTGCCAAACTGGGCCAAGAGTGTCTTATCCGCATGGAGTTACCCCTGTCAGGAACTTTGGGTCATTTCTGCAGGCAAAAGTATTTTTTTTAAGTGGGTAATCGCTCAAAGCTGCTGAAGCTACACATCTGTCTGGCCATCTTAGAGGTCAAGCCCCGCCCCCCGACCCGATGACTTTTTGCTTAATAAACCAGAACACTGCAATTTTGCATACAGACATGCCGTCTGTGTGAAATAATTTCTTCCCCCAACTAGTTGCCAGTCAAAGCTCACTGTGACCTGTTCTGCTTGGACCCAGGTGTATGTTGGCCATCAGGTGAAGTACCTCCTGGTAGGAATTTAGTCCTACAAAACAGAATTGATGATACCAACAGTTATAGATAAGTGAATTTCAAGCATTCAGTTCAATTTTTTTATTTTAAGTGATTTCTTTAAGGGGGTATAGATGTTACTGTATCGTTGAAAATTAAAAAAGTACCTTTCTTCTAGGGGCTGCCAGACCCAATTCAGTAATTGAATCTGTTTGATCTTCTCTGTATGCTGACACCGCAGTCTGTGTGCATCCAATGCCTTTCTATAAAAAGCCATAGATTCATTGCTACTGTTAGATGTTCCTTGACTTGTTGGATCATGGCAATTGCTGCACACTCTCCATATGTTCTCTGCTTTTCTATGAGAAGTAAATATACTACATTAAAGTCATAAGGAGTGATGTTTTAGCTGGAGTGAGGTAACTGTCCTCGCAATGGGATAAAGTTAAGTGTGTGTTTTTGTTTTGTATTTTGGGCCCTTTATATTGTATTTTGTTTAATTTAAAACTTTCAGAACTTTTACAGGCCTGAGAGAGGAGGTAAGACAAATTAATGGATGTATCTGACACAATTGGCGTCACAAACCACGTTCTAGTCACATGCTGTCTGGGAGGGCTTCTTATCAGAGCTGTTCATACAATGAGCTCTGATGAAGTGCTTGTGTATTGGCTTAAATGCCTTGAAACTCATCAAAAGTGCAATAAAAGCATGTTTATATGTCACATGCTTGTGCAACACCCTGTTCAGTGTTCTGAAGGACTGAGGAAAAAGTGTCACATTAAAAGATCACTGTAGGGTCAGGAACACAAACATGTATTCCTGACACTATAGTGCTAAACCCACCATATAGGTGGCTTGGCCCCCTATAAAAGTTTCAAACTCTCCTTATTTCCAGCGCTGCTTGGGTCTGCCGGAGCTGGCTCCGCCCCCTTTGTGACATCATCAAAACAGTCGATTTTTAGCCAACCCAATGCTTTCCCTATGGGTGTATGGGAAAGCATTGGATTGGCTAAAATCTGCACGGGGGCAGGGCCAAATGCTGTTTTGGCCAGTCAGGACCTCCTCATAGAGATGCATTGAATCAATGCATCTCTATGAGGAAAAATTCGGCATCTCCATGCAGAGCGTGGGGATGCTGAACGGCAGGGCTGCTTACTGTGCAGCCTTGAGCCAGGTAGCCCCTCCAGTGGCCATCTAAGGAGTGGCCACTTGGAGGTGTCCCTAGGGACAATGTAAATACTGCATTTTCTCTGAAAAGGCAGTGTTTACATGAAAATGCCTGAAAGGAGCTATTATACTCACCAGAACAACTACATTAAGCTGGTCTACACATTGTACTGCAGGAGGAATCCATGAAACATTAGGAGTTTGAAAAATAATTCTTGGGAAAAGTTGTAAAAGCACTGTCACTATGGAAAACAATGGAGTGTGCCTGCTGATTTGACTTGCACAATTACTCCTCCGTGCACCCGTTTGTTTGTTTCCCCCCCCCCCCTCTATTTTTGTACATTTTTATTTTGGCATGCATGGATACATCACCGTGAATGACATGAGTTGGTATTGTCCCCGTCTTGCTAATGGGGAAGTTCTGGATCTAGTTTATCCTGTGTGTTGTCCGTGTTATCCACTTTACTTTGTGAGAATGAAGAGTCCGTTATTTGAGCGGTTTAACCCTTAAGACCGCAGGGCGTTCTATGCCGTCCCTATTTGGATGGCTCTAAACGCCACAGGGTGGCATAGAACGCCCTGCGATCTTATGTACTTACCCGGTCGCCGGCGATCGCGATATGGGTACTTACCTGGGAGCCCAGGAAGTCCCCCTCCGTCCTCTTTGGCCCCCCTGAGGGGACAGGTACTCCCCCCTGCTGTCTGAAAATGAAATAAAATAAGTTAAAACAGTGTAAAAATAAATAAATTCAATAAATATACTGTCTACGGGGCGGTACTGTTTTACTTGGAAGACTTTGCTAAACACACATATTAGTGTTTCAAAACAGTAAAATGTATTACAACGACGATATTGTCAGTGAAAGTGACATTTTTTGCATTTTTCACACACAAATGGCACTTACACTGACTATATAATTGTTGTGATACATTTTACTGGTTTGAAACACTAATATTTGTGTTCAGCAAAGTCTCCGGAGTATAACTGCACCCCTCATGTACAGGTTTTATGGTGTTTTCAAAAGTTACGGAGTCAAATATAAGGCTTGCGTTTCAGTTTTTTCACGTTGAAATTCGCCAGGTTGGTTACGTTGCCTTTGAGACCGTACGGTAGCCCAGGAATGAAAATTCCTATTCCTGGGCTACAATACGGTCTCAAAGGCAACGTAACTAGCCTGGCAAATTTCAATGTGAAAAAAAATGAAAAATGTAACATGTTATATTTGACCCTGTAACTTCCCAAAACACCATAAAACCTATACATAGGGGGTACTGTTTTACACGTGAGACATCGCTGAATACAAATATGTGTATTTTATTGCAGTAAAAGCAAACAGTATTTTGACATACACAGTTAAAATGTCATGTAGAACTAAGAAAATTTTTTAAAAATCTTATTTTCTCCTATTTTTTATATTTTATTCATATTAAATCACGTTCTATACCTAAATATTTGATGTTAAATGAAAGCTCTGTTTCTCCTGAATAAAATGATATATAATAAGTGTGGGTGCATTTAATAGGAAAGAGGTGAATTACCCCTGGACAGACATATAGCGCAAATGTCGGGTTTTGTTTACGTTTTGTTTTGATCACAACTTGTGCATTTGGCTGCGGTTTTAAGGTTAAAGCTTTTGTTGAATTTTTTTATTTACGATAGTTTGTTCTATTTTGGTCGTTTATGTAAGTGTTAATGGCTTTTATTGGTCATTGTTTAAGTACTTGGTTCCTGCATAGTTATATACACTAGGTTTTTGCAGCAACCCTTAACTGATAGTTGGCAAAGAACCTAGTTTTTCCTGTTTTAAAGTGTCCTAATAGAAAACAATTAATGTAAGATATACATGTGGCAGAAGGCTGATCCTGCTAGCTGGAAAACAATTTGGCCCATATCTCCTCTGTATTTCACAGACTGATGTGATCCGGTTTAGTCACGTATAAAGCCCTCAGCAAATTGTCAACTGCTTGGGTAAGGTGTAATGATCTATGCACATATTAGAAGTGAAGTTTTGCACAACTCTTTCTCAGTTAAATGCTTTTTATGGTGTAATTCTGCTGCTGTTGAAAACAGCAATGCATCGGATTTGAATTCATGATTCACTTGATATATCATCAGACAATATCTGCTTTTAATATATGTATGTGAAACTGGATGGTTAAAAAAGCAACTGACTAATGCTTTGGATTACCTTTTACTGTTTCTGTAGTTTGTTTTTATATATAAGTAATTACGACTCGTTTTATTTTAGCGTGGAGACATAGGCCTTAATGTTCAAATGATTAAATAGTGTTAGAAAATTTCCAAAGTGTTTCTCTAAAAAAATTCCCATAGACCTCAATGGCGAATTCTGTTCATAACTCACTTAGAATTTTATTTTAACCACATCGAATCATTTGGAAAGCTTATTAAATAGAGGCCATAATGTTTATAATATCTTGTAATGTTCTGTAAATGGTCTTACTACAGCAATTTCACATACCATACTTACTGCTTTCTTTTTTTCCCCCCTCCTTTCTTTAGTGTTTAGTGTCAGTGATGAGCGATGGGGTATGATGTAACACGTTTCCAGGGTGATGTGGATGAAGATCTCATCTGCCCCATCTGCAGTGGGGTCCTGGAGGAGCCGGTGCAAGTGAGTAATAAACATCCCTGTTTGCACTGCTATAGACTATTAAAGGAACATTGAGGAACTATTTCTTGTTAGATGCGAAACACATTCTGTTCGCTGACTATTTATTGTTCTTAGTGGTACTCTTCCCCTCTCCCCCTTTATGTTTTGCCCGTGTTTGAATCTCACTCCCCTTACACTTATATTTCGCTCTGTACTTTATTGCCTTGTGTAGAACGTCTTCTTACAGTAAATAAGCAATTGCAAGAAACGTTCCTGCTGATTTCCTTGGATATCTTAATATGTGCAGTTAAACTCCTTTTTATCTTTGTTGGCTGAATCATTGTCACTTTCTAACTTGCAGTTCATAATAGGGATAGACCGATAATAGGTTCGGCTGATATTCCGTATTTTGGCAAATATAGGTATTGGCCACTTTTGATACCGATATTGCCGATAATGTGAGAGGCACGTCCATAAGAGTTACTTGCAGGAAGGAAGAGCACAACGCTCCCCCAGTCACTCAGTGTAGCGTGGTTAAGCAGAGCGGACTACGGTACGGAAGCTTCTGTTTCTCACTGAGAGAGCACATACTGTCAGTCCAGCTGGGTACAGGAAACGGAAGCTCCTGTACCGCATTCCACGCTACAAAAGAGATAATGTGGCACACCATAGATGGGAGAGGACCATTAAGGAGGGAGGGAGATGACACACACTAAAGAACAGGGAGGAGGGGAGAGGACCACTGAGGGACAGGGAAGGGAGAGGTACACTAAGAAACAGGAAAGGGAGGGGAGAGGTACAAAAAGGGACGTGGAAGGGAGAGGAACACTAAATATTCTTGAAAACAACAAAAAAAATCTGACTGGCATGTATATTTTGTGCATTTACCACACAAAAAAAATACAGGGTATCGTTAGGTTATCGGCTATCTGCCTAAAAGTTTAGATTATTGGCATCGGTATCTGCTCTAAAAAAAATCCATATCGGTGAATCCCTAGTTCATAATAAATTTAATGTGTCCAAATTTCCTTCTACTTTTCCATTAAGTTGAAGTGATTTTGATGTATAGATTGTCCCATTAGTTGAATATGCTTAAAGGGACACTATAGTAACCAGAACAACTGCAGCTTAATGTCGTTTTTCTTGTGTCTATAACCTGTCCCTGCTGGCATTTTTATGTAAATACTGCCTTTTTAGAGAAAAAGCAGTGTTTACTTTACTGCCTCGGGCATGGGTAGGCAACCTTTGGCCCTCCAGATGTTGTGGACTAAATCTCCCAAAATTCTTACTGCTATAATACTGACAAAGCATCATGGGAGGTGTAGTCCAATACATCTGGAATGCCAAAGGTTGCCTCCCCCTGGCCTAGGCAGTAAAGTAAACACTACTTTTTCTCTAGTGGCAGTCACTCACATTGCCATTAGAGGAGCTTTCGCTGTCAGTGATGCATAGTGTGCAGCACTAACAATCAGCATCTCCACGCTCTTGTGTAGAGTTATTGTACGCTTCTCATAGAGGAGCATTGATTCAGTGCATCTCTATAAGGAGATGCGGATTGGCCAAGCCTGCAGCCCCGTTCGGCGCTGGAATAAAAAGGAAAATTTGCTTCATACTTACCGTAATTTTCTTTTCCTGATAATTTATTCATGGCAGCATTTACTCATGGGGTTAGCTCCTCCCCTCACAGCAGAAAGGACAGGAAACATAACACTGAAACTGGTATAAATAGATCCTCCCCCTTCCCATCAGGCAGTCTTTGTTATCTAGCTTTACAACTCTTATAGTATATGGGTGGGAACGTAATGCTGCCATGAATAAATTATCAGGAAAATAAAATTATGGTAAGTATGATGCAAATTTTCCTTTTTCCTGACCATTATTCATGGCAGCATTTACTCATGTGTAAGACCCAAGCTGAATATATCGAGGGAGGGACAGAGTTCAAAAACAGCTAATAGTTATAAAACCATTATTGGGCTGCATAAACCTTAGACTTTAAAAAAGCCAAACCAGTAATCAATAGGATATTGTTATAAAATCTGTTCAGACACAGTAATTTACCCTAACGGCTCCCAGGTCTGCAACCTCCTGGCATTCAAATGTCTGAAATATCCTGAAAGGGCCAGATAGGAATTAAGGCCATGACAGCCAAACCTAGAGAAGGAACAATGCTAGGCAAACTCTCGTAAGCAATAAGGAACCCATCTTGTGATGGATTTAAAAAAAAAAAAAAAAAATTTTTTAAACCAATGGATGACATCATCAAATCAGAACCTTAATAAAGGCATAACTTCCAGATATCATACTGGAACAAGCAGATATTATTGGATGAGAACAGTCACACCATGCTATTAAACATGGGGAGAATTACACTGAGAATCCTACTACTTTCTGGATGTATTTTACTTACCTGTAGATACAGGAAACAAATCAATATTTGCCTGTCAGAGGCAGAGCGTAATAATGAATATATTACAAAACCAGACTCTCAATACCTCACACTGTGGATGAATTGATACAGCAGTGATCAGTCACAGGAGAGGTATAAACCTAGGCAAAGGCAAGAAGAATCATATACTATTAGTTGAAGACAAAAATAAATATCTGTATGAACCGTAGAAATTGTGGCAACTACTAAATTATAAGTAGGCCAACCACGTCAGTACCTACATTCAAATATAAACATATTGTAAATAGTACAGATTATGCTAAACCGTATAGTCAAATTTATTAGAGACTAATGTGCAATATAATAGGAGATATGGAATAGGCAGGATACTGATGAGAAGGTGGTAACCAGAGGCACATTATACACTGTGGCAACAGACACATAATAAGCAGGATAGTAGGAGATATTCTGTTATCCTTAGAACAAACAACCGCATACTTACTCTTACCTTATCTTCAGATAGTGAAGAAGTACTGTGGCAGAGCCTATGGTGATAATAATCAGTTTGTTTTATTTGCAGGATATCAACACCAATCCAAGCATATAATCCACAGGTATTACCTCCATGCGATGTTAGGAGATACCATAATTTATACCGCTCTAGGTACAGAGACCATGTAAAACATATCAGTCAAATGTTTGTCCTCAACAAGCTGCATTACATTATATTATGCAGGATAAATCAACCACTTAGTCACACATTGGTTGCAAATTCCAGATATAAAGTGTAGCGGATGGCATTGGGCTGTCCTCAAGAATTCGTGGTAAAAATGTAATCGTGCAATTATTAACATGTATAACTATAAGTGTATGTAGCTTTCGTCTGCTTGTTCGGTAGTTTTCCTTCCGTTTTCATACGAATGAAACTACTGAACCATCAGACCACCCCAATGAGAAGTGTGTACCTCGTTAAGCTTTCACACTCTGTAACCGCAGCTTAATTGACCGTGAAATTGCTACTTTATGTGTATCTGTGTGGTCGCCGTTCGGCATACGAACCGCGTTGCAGCGGCCATCTTACGCAAGAACATCTCAGCAGTGTTTGGTCGTCGAGTGTCTGGAACTCAAATCTGACACTCAAACACCCGAACACCACTGAGACCTCCAGAGCTCCATAACTCACGAACGGAGGGGCCAGTCAGCCCCTCGTTCGGTAAAATAAATGTACCAAACAAGGGAATACATACGAATGAGATTAGCTGTGGATGGCAAGTATTACTGTGTGTTTTAACTACCAAACGGAGACCGACCGCAGGGCCAAAACACATCGAGCCCTTTTCGGATACTACCTCGTGTGCGGTTGGTCAAATTTCACCTTCCATCTAACGCCCGAACCCCTGGTCCGATCTGAGTGAATTTTGACAATAGTAAAAATGTAATATAAAATATAAATGAATTGTAAAATAAATAGTTGGCAGTAGTCCAAAACACATAAGTGTTTCGGACTACTGCCAACTATTTATTTTACAATTCATTTATATTTTATATTACATTTTTACTATTTTATACTATTTATTATATACAATTTTTATATGTTTTATTGTATATTTTAGGTGCAACCTTATCTTGTTTTGTATTTCTTCTTACCATTTGGGGACTATAGGGGACTCCCCTTTGAGGTTTGCAGCCTTTCTACTATTATTATTTTCTTGTGTGGCAGCCTAGCGCTGATTTCTCCCTTTCCATTTCATTTCCTTATTGTAGCAGGAGAATTTTACCTGAGATAGTAAACCCGGTAGAATGGTCTGGGGACTGGAAAGATCTTGCAATACACAGCATTAAAGTTACCTGGAGTATGAGCCTAAAAGAATACCTTTTTATTACAGAAAGGAATTATAATGTTGCCCTTCACAACAGGGGAATCTGTCAGAATTGTCTGATCATTAACTCCTTAAGAACCAAAAGAATGCCACCCCTGACATATACTAAACGGGATTGCCAAACTTTTTCAGGTCCCCAAGGTATGAGAGAATACTGAATATAAAATTCAGTACATTCTCCAAATTATAAAGATTGTGCTTTAAGGAGATGTACTCAGTTCTAAAGAATATGTTAAACCAATTCCAGAGAATGGAGCTAAAACTGAATAAAAATATAAACCAGACCAGGAGTAGTGAGTTTTTCAGAGTAGAAGCTTGCAGAAAATACAATGATACTAAAGTTATTACCAGGTGAAAGAAAAGGCCAATATGAACAGCTTTTAAATTCAGTCACCGTATATACTAGAGTATAAGTCAACCCAAATATAAGTGGAGACCCCTAATTTTACCCAAAAAAACTTATTGACTCGAGTATAAGACTAGGGTGGGAAATGCAGCAGCTACTGGTAAATTTCTAAATAAAATTAGATCCCCCCAAAATTATATTAATTGAATATTTATTTACTGTGTGTGATGCAGAGCCTTGGTGGGGGGTGGGCATTTTTATTTTTTAAAATTATTTTAATATTTTTTTTTTTTTTTTATATTTAAATTTTTTTCGTCCCCCCTCCCTGCTTGTTAGCTGGCCAGGGAGGGGGGCTCTCATTCCCTGGTGGTCTAGTGGATGGGCTGTGTAGGAGGGGGGCTGGCAGAGAGCTGTTACTTACCTTTCCTGCAGCTCCTGTCAGCTCACTTCTCTCTCCTCCGGTCCGGTCAGCTCCCCTGCAAGTCTCACGGTGTGAGTGCCGTGCGGAGCGTTGCCACGGTAACCTGTGGCAACGCTCTGACCCTGCAGCTCTCGCAAGACTTACAAGGGAGCTGTCTGGACCGGAGGAGAGAGAAGGGAGCTGACATGACTCTAGTATAAGACGAGTGGGGGGTTTTCAGCACAAAAAATGTGCAGAAAAACTCGTCTTATAATAGAGTATATACGGTAAATTAGATTTTAGAAAGAAAGGAAATATACCAGTGAAAATAGTCAGCTAATTGCTTCAGAGTTACCTACTTGTGAGATCAATAAATAGCCCAATGTGTGCTCCTGCAATCAGCATAAATCCTGTATAAATACATAGATGTGCACACACAAAAGCATTAATTCTGATGAACATTACCATGCTCCCTTTTTGGAAATTCAGGTCTCCTCTCCTGGAAGAGGCACTCAGACAGGTTCAGTAACACCTGCAATCTATTTAAAGTTGTAAAATGTGTTAATTGCTTATCCTGAAACACCTGAAGGAGAAGGAATCTAATACAAAGACAAAAGCAGTATGTTTCCTTATCTACTTCATTTAAAAAACTGAAATAGAAAATCCACAGTAGGCAATGGTTCCTTACCCAGTGTAGCAGTGCATTTGTTTTTGCTAGAATGGGCTGTATTACATTTCCGTGCAAATCCCAGACCTTAGATCATTTGTATTATTAAATCTACCAAGGCTGTGTATAAACCTGCATACAGAATATATGAATCACATACATTGTGGAATCTAGCTTCCAAATCACACACAGAAGAGAAAATAGCACAGTCAGTAAAAAAGGGGGATAAAACATTTTTTAGATACATAAATGAGAAAAGAAAAGTAAAACAAGGATTAGTTAGATTAAAAACAAAAGAAGGAAGGTATGTAGAAGAGGATAAAGGTCAGGCTGACTGCCTCAATGAATATTTTTGTTCTGTATTTACAGAAGAAAATGAAGGAAAGGGACCTCAGTTGAGAAAAAGGATAAATTAGTCATTTATTACACGTGAGTTTACAGAGGAAGAGTTCTATTTCAACTGTCAAAAGTAAAGACAAGTCAATGGGACCTGATGGAATACACCCAAAGCTATTAAAAGAGCTTAGTGGTGTACTAGCAAAACCATTAACAGATTTATTTAACCAATCATTGTTAACAGGAGTAGTCCCAGAAGATTGGAAGTTAGCGAATGTTGTGCCCATTTACAAGAAAGGTAATAGGGAGGAGTCGGGCAACTATAGGCCAGTAAGCCTTACTTCAGTAGTGGGGAAAGTGATGGAAACCATGTTAAAGGATAGGATTGATGAACATCTAAAAACACATGGATTTCAAGATCAGAGACAACATGGGTTTACTTCAGGGAGATCATGCCAAACTAATCTTATTGATTTTTTTGATTGGGTAACTAAAATTATAGATCAGGGTGGTGCAGTAGACATTGCTTACCTAGATTTCAGTAAGGCTTTTGACACTGTTGCACATAGAAGGCTTATCAATAAACTGCAATATTTATGTTTGGATTCAAATATTGTTGAATGGGTAAGGCAGTGGCTGAGTGACAGGCAACAGAGGGTTGTAGTTAATGGAATATATTCGAAGCTTGGACTTGTCACCAGTGGGGTACCTCAGGGATCTGTACTTGGACCCATTCTCTTTAATATTTTTATTAGTGATATTGCAGAAGGTCTTGATGGTAAGGTATGTCTTTTTGCTGATGATACTAAGATATGTAACAGGATTGATGTTCCAGGAGGGATAAGCCAAATGACAAATGATTTAGGTAAACTAGAAAAATGGTCAGAATTGTGGCAACTGACATTTAATGTGGATAAGTGCAAGATAATGCATCTTGGACGTAAAAACCCAAGGGCAGAGTACAGAATATTTGATAGAGTCCTAACCTCAACATATGAGGAAAGGGATTTAGGGGTGATTATTTCTGATGACTTAAAGGTAGGCAGACAATGTAATAGAGCAGCAGGAAATGCTAGCAGAATGCTTGGTTGTATAGGGAGAGGTATTAGCAGTAGAAAGAGGGAAGTGCTCATGCCATTATACAGAACACTAGTGAGACCTCACTTGGAGTATTGTACACAGTACTGGAGACCGTATCTTCAGAAGGATATTGATACCTTAGAGAGGGTTCAGAGAAGGGCTACTAAACTGGTTCATGGATTGCGGGATAAAACTTACCAGGAAAGGTTAAAGGATCTTAACATGTATAGCTTGGAGGAAAGACGAGACAGGGGGGATATAATAGAAACATTTAAATATATAAAGGGAATCAACACAGTAAAGGAGGAGACTATATTTAAAAGAAGAAAAACTACCACAACAAGAGGACATAGTCTTAAATTAGAGGGACAAAGGTTTAAAAATAATATCAGGAAGTATTACTTTACTGAGAGGGTAGTGGATGCATGGAATAGCCTTCCAGCTGAAGTGGTAGAGGTTAACACAGTAAAGGAGTTTAAGCATGCGTGGGATAGGCATAAGGCTATCCTAACTATAAGATAAGGCTAGGGACTAATGAAAGTATTTAGAAAATTGGGCAGACTAGATGGGCCGAATGGTTCTTATCTGCCGTCACATTCTATGTTTCTAACAGCACCTTATGCCCAGATATATCAGTCACATATACGGAGTCTGTTCAAACAGTAATCATACATAGCCTGCATCTGCTATAGAGTGACACGGTGCTTGCACACATATTAAGTTTACATGAGGGAGATAAATTGAGGCCGTGTTGTAACAGGACTTCATTCACATATTCTACCACTCATATATACTGAGGTTGTGACTAACAACCCACACTTAGAGCCAGTATTAGAATAGACTCAGAGGATGTGTCTTATATCATTCACATATATTGTGTTTCCATTAATACATCAAGCATATAGGTAACAGATGCACTATAGTCTATACTTATACTGAGGCGGTGTCCTCACAGCAACTCATACATCATAATAACTCATACATAGAGCATATATAGTGGGTACATATACCGAGGCTGTGTCCTCATAGTAACTCATACATACAGCATATCCACTAATACATCCATACCAATTCATACATTAGAGCCTATAGTGGAAACATACCAAAGCTGTACCACAACCAGTTCATGTACAGATACTGAGGCCCAGAGATCTCATATGCAGAAATTCTACCACTCTCTGGAAAAGCCTGCTTTTTTTGCGATAATTCACAAATAACTGCAATCAATGCCACATGCCTTGATAAAAACAAGTGTGTGGACTTATTTTTAGGTTTTTAAAACCTGTCCTATACATGTGTGTACTTCAGACATCCAGGAAAGATGTCTTACCTTGGATATTACTCTGTCTTCAGGACTGTGGAATTCCAGCAGACTTTTTCCAGCCAGGATATACATTATTAGCACTCTTTTTCAGAATGCCTCCTTGCATTATCAGCACTCTTTTTTGCACCAAGCATGTATAAACTTACCTAAATGCTTACCACACAAACCTCCTTAATGTGACCTATTTGTTAGAAGGAAGCCTAATGTAAGCAGCTGGGAGGGACTGAAAAAAAAGAGACCCAGGTGCCTATACTAGCTTTAATCTAAATTACTAATGCACTTACCTGAACAGTTGCAGGCTTGTGTTTCAGCGGCCAAATGGGGATTTGAACAACTGACAGCCTAAACTGTTTAAACTATAGGCTTCCATCTGTACCCCATATGCCGTTCATCACCACCAGTTGGAGAAGGTGTAAACCAAACCCAAGTAGAATACATAGAATAGGTAGTCCCCTTATGCAAGTGCTGTTTGCTGGGTCTTCAGGGATAAAGGCTTAGACTCGGCTGGGCCTCATGTATGCAGTGAACCGCTGTCATTACTTCTGAGAGAGAGATAAGTTAGACTCCTGGTTGTTGAAGTAGGTACCCAGGCTGGCGACTCTTACAGATGTGCTGTTTGCTGTGTCTTCAGGGATAAGAGGCTGAACCCTGGCATGCAGTGGACCATTTTCATCCCCATAGGGAGAGGTTGGGTCCGACCCCCGGTCACTAAAGGGGGTACCCAGGCTGGCTACCTTACAATAGTGCTTTGCTGGGTCTTCAGGGTTTAGAAGCTGAACCCCGGCAGGGCTACAAAAATATTACCTGGTGAGCATAAAAGAAAATCTAAGCCTGCATAAACAGACTCCTTCCAAACTGCTGTGCAGGACAGGAAAAAAAGACTGCCTGATGGGAAGGGGGAGGATCTATTTATACCAGTTTGAGTTCTGTTTCCTGTACTTTCTGCTGTGAGGGCAGGAGCTAATCCCATGAGTAAATGCTGCCATGAATAAAAAGGTACGTTTATTACCTTTTTAAGAGGGCCGTACACCTAAACTATGTTTAACACTGAGATATACTTTGCCACTTTCTTTTACATCAACATCAATGTAGGGTAATAACTGCTTGATCCAAGGATAAATCTGACTGCCATTCTGGGGTCAAGAAGGAATTTTTTTCCTAGCTTGTTGCAAAATTGTGCTTCAAACTGGGTTTTGTTTTTTTGCCTTCTTTTGGATCAACCGCAAAAACAAATTTGACATAGAACAGGAGAAGGTTGCAACATTTTCAGGTTTACAAATATAGAACAGTTTGTAGTAACAAAAATGAAAAACTGACTTGAGGGATTTTTATTTCTATATTTTACGGTATTTAATAGTCTAATGCTGCAAGTATGCTTAATTTACAACTCTTGCCTGTGCCAGAGGGCAGTAAACTCAGTGAGTGCATATTACAACATCAGCATCTGCAAGAATACTTTGCAATTCTGCCAAGTGGGCATTTTAATACCCCTGTGGGAATATGCAAGTGCCGGTCACATGAGCCAGCCCATCGTATCATTGCTTCCGCCCTACCTGTCTTACTTGTGTCTTGGGGCAGTGGCTAGATCCTTCAATCATTTCAACATTCAGAAAAATACACATCCCAGCTGCATATCGTCAAGGTAATACTGTTATTTTTAAGTAGTATAATATAGCTTACAATGCTATTTTTTTGTCCTATCGGCACTACAAAGTTTACCCATTTAGTTGCTGCTTTCAGTTATCTGCTATTGTCGTTTTTTTTTTTTTTTGTTTTTTTTTTAAGATTTAAATGCGTGATTTGTCAATGTAAGAACCATTTGGTCATATTAATGTATCCGTTTCCTTTTCTGATTGTTATTCTATGAGGTTATTGGTTTCCAGTTTGATACCCAAACCTGATTCTTATAAAATTTTGAGCATGTCTGTTTTGATAAAATTGCGAAATAGAAAGTGCCTAGTATCAATCTTGATTCTATCCTTATTATGATTTCATGTAACATGGACACCTTGTTGGAAAAACATTACAGTGAAAGCTTGTCAGGCAGTAGTCCTACTTAAATAGCCCTGATCCCAACTGTCAAATAGCTGTTATGTCCCAAGTCTTCAGATAAGCATAAGTCAATGTCCGTTACGTATCTAGTAGGCATGACCTGGCACTGTTGACTAAAAAGCTAGTTATTTAAGGTTAATGTTCTCATCCATACTAGTAACTGGCTGTAAGCCATAAATTACTTTGTATGCTTACTACCATAAGCTATATAAGCATAATTTTATTTTCTCGGTAAATAGATCTGCTGTAACATATGATCATATGATAGTTGTTCAATACATCTCGGGATATAGTTTACCTTAGGATAGTTTCTCTAGATAGTTTTGCCAAATTCACACTTTAACCCTTGTTGTACCAACGTTTGAGCACTACATTAAACTTGTAAATTAATTTGAGTATGCATAATCCAATATACAAACATTGTATATTCTATATATATCCCTCTCTCTCCCCCTCTCCCCCTCTCCCCCAAACCTAATTTAATATGAATAAAATATATATATATATTAATTTTTTTTTTATTTTTTTTTTAAGGGGGGACAATCCACCTAAATGGAAGTTTTCACATGATAGTATCAGGAATACGTTGCGCTATAGTGTTTCCTTAAGACCTAAGAATATATTAAACCGGGGTTTAAATTTGAGACTTGTTGTCTGCTAGCCCTCACATATACCTCTCCAGAATGGAAATTACCAATGTACGCTAGCACTCGAGAAGGACTTATGTCTGTCATCGCGTAAGAAAAGATGAGGAAAAAAGTCTAAAGAGGAAAAAGGGGCATTTCCACCCCTATGTATGTATGTATGTATGTATGTATGTATGTATGTATGTATGTATGTATGTAAGTATGTATGTATATATATATATATATATTTGGAAATGGGAAAGGGTGTGTCGTATGACAATTGAGAGGCAGGCTCAAAAACTGTGGAAGCACATGTTATCCTAGACCTCTTTCCTGTACATGTTGATAGACAGTCACACCAAATATATAAAAAAATGTTTGACTAGTTAAAATAGTTGTGTTGCTTTCCCCCCCCATTATATATGTCACTATAGGAACCAGTACCAGCAAAACTTGCTTTGTTCATTTATATGTTAAAAAATAATTCTAAAAGCTGTTCTTCGTTCCACAGGCTCCGCACTGTGAGCACGCCTTCTGCAATGCTTGCATCACTCAGTGGTTCTCCCAGCAGCAGACGTGTCCAGTGGACCGCAGTGTTGTGACTGTTGCCCACCTGCGCCCAGTCCCCCGCATCATGCGGAATATGCTCTCCAAGCTGCAGATTACATGCGACAACGCAATTTTTGGCTGTACAACAATTGTGCGACTTGACAACCTCATGTCTCACCTCAATGACTGTGAACATAATCCAAAGCGGCCAGTGACGTGTGAGCAAGGATGCGGGTAAGGGTTTCTGTTTGTGAAGCAGAATTAATTACATCATGGCTATGAATAAATCCTGCAGCGCACATGCCTATTATTCTATCTTAATGGGTAATATGGGGCAAGGGAGCGTAGGAGTTGTCTGTTTTCATGTATTCTACATTTACCTACACATGTTTTCATCCAATGTGTGTGTTGATTTACAGTCATTAGTTCTGAGGGTTTTTATTATTAAAGGACCACTCTAGGCACCCAGACCACTTCAGCTTAATGAAGTGGTCTGGGTGCCAGTTCCTTCAAGGGTATACCCATTTTTTCATAAACATAGTTTCAGAGAAACTGCTATGTTTATCAATGGGTTAAGCCTTCCCCCATTCCCTCTAGTGGCTGTCTCATTGACAGCCACTAGAGGCGCTTGCGTGCTTCTCACTGTGATTTTCAGTGAGAGCACGCCAGCGTCCATAGGAAAGCATTGAGAATGCTTTCCTATGTGACTGGCTGAATGCGCGCGCAGCTCTTGCCGCGCGTGCGCATTCAGCCGACGGGACGGGACGGGGCGGATCGGAGGAGGAGAGGAGGCAGAGAGCTCTCCGCCCAGCGCTGGAAAAAGGTAAGTTTTACCCCTTTCCAGAGCCGGGCGGGAGGGGGACCCTGAGGGTGGGGGCACCCTCAGGGCACTATAGTGCCAGGAAAACAAGTATGTTTTCCTGGCACTATAGTGGTCCTTTAATCTTTAATTTAAAAGTTGATTTACGCCTTAAAGGGACACTAGTTACCAAAATAACATTAGCTTAATGAAGCAGTTTGTGTATAGATCATGCCTCTAAAGTTTCACTGCTCAGTCCACTGCCATTTAGGGGTTAAATCACTTTTGTTTCTCTTTATGCAGCCCTAGCCACACCTTCCCTGGCTGTGACTGACAGTCTGTATGAAAACAAATGGTTTCACTTTCAATAACACACAATCAGATGTAATTTACTTTAAACATTCTTGCTTTTTAATTCAAAATCCTAGGGTGTAGCTAGCAAGCTATTAACAGAGCAGGAGATATGAAATTCTAAATTAAACAGAATTAGCAATAAAAAAAGTATAAACATTCAATTACTCTTTAAAGGAAATGTTTAGAAAGGCTGTGTAAGTTACGTGCAGGGAGATGTGCCTAGGGCAGCATAAACAAAGTGATTTTCCTCCTAAATACATTTGTTAATGTGTTTCTGGTATCAGATTTGATATAATTCAAAGCTGAAAACAACTGCTCACAAGCATAAGATGACCCAAACAACGAAAGAAGAGCAATTCCAAGTGCTTTCATTGACTTAAAATTATTCTGCAGAGAATTCCACACTTGAAGGATTTCATTTTCAGAACTTTGAACTGTGCTGTCCTTTGTCATCCCTTTACATTCTATCTTCTCAAGTGTGGTACGCAGGGCATAGAATTTATTTTTCCAGTTAGTTTCTTGAAATACTAATGGCTCCATTTCCAGATTTCCTAAAACTAACCAGTGTAAGCAGGAAATATCAAGCTCTTCATATTTGGCTTTATCTAGAGAACTTTCCAGAATTGCATGAATCTGTTACTAAAATTCTCCTTAGCAGCTGCTACAGTGCTAGAAAGTTCCTTGTGGATTTCCTGATGGATTGGAGGATTGTTAATAAATATTGTAGAATTTTCCAAATGTATTTTTAGATTTGGAAAGTATTTTAGCTGCCCACTTTCAATGTCCTTCAAAAACGTGCTGTTTTCCCTACACCTTGCAGTTTTTGTTCAGTTCATGGAAGTGTGCTGTAAAATCTGTAAAAACAAAAACAGGAAGTTGGTAAACCAGGCCGTATCTGTGAGCTGGGGATATTCTTGCCCCTTTTCATTCATAAACAGCCTAATTTAATCCAAGCAAGCCACAAATCTCTCCAGGACTCTCCACCGGACATTATTGTACATAAGTAAAGTATTATACTGTGCATGTACCTCATCAAGAAGTGCTTGAAACTGTCGAAAAATAAGAGCACGAAGAGTAATTCACCATTTTTGTGAGATCTTTGAAGATATCTTGTAATGTTTTGCTGCGGTCACTTTCACAAAGATCTTCTTGGTGTATAATACAATGAAACTAAATGACTGGATGTTTTTGCTTCTTTAACAAAGAACTGTATGAAACCAGATGTTGCCCCCAGCATGCAAGGTGCTCTGTCACTAGTTATTGAAACCACTTTTTCTGGTTTTATTTCTTGTGCCAAAAAGCCTCCATCACAGCATTGTGGATATCTATTCCTTGTGTTCTTCTATTCAAGGACAACAGTTTCAACAGCTCTTCTCTCATGTCACCAACAGCATAACGCAAAATTACTGCTAGCCTTGCATGATTATTTATATCTGTGCTTTCATCCAAGCACATGCAGTAACAGGCTGCCTTTTGTAAATCAGTGGAGAGCTGCTGACTAACTTCACTTCGCAGTACTCGATTTTTAACAGTATTTCTGCTAACGGGCATCTCAGAGATGCGTTGCATAATTTTATCCTTGTTTGAGAAATCATGAAAAGGGAACTACTCCCAGCCAACATGGCCATTTTGATAAAATCCCCATTAGAGAGAGGCTTGCCATGTCTTGCTATGCACAGTGAAATTTGAAAGCTGGCAACTGTCAGATGATTTGATTTAGAAAGATAGTTGGAAAAACTATGCTACTGGGAGTGATATTTCCTCAATGTCTCCTTAAACGCTTTCCTTCAGATTCTCCAAATTCGACAACACTTTTGTTGGTTGGTGTCAAAGTGACATCTAACACTTGATGTGCTGGACACAACACTTTCACTACACAGAATACATAACGCTTTTCTATTGCGTTAAATCACTCCAAATGATTCTGTCCAAGCCTCTTGGAATGATCTTCCACTATCTGTTTTAAGTTTAGCTTTTTTGGCTGTACTAATTTTTTTGGTTTGTGACTCGAGGTCTATACTCATACTTGATACTTGTCATTTATTACCACACTGCAAGGTTTGACAGTTGTAGCAAGCTGGTGAGTGACATGCAACCTCGCAGTGTGGTAATAAGTGATGTCTCTTTTTGTGTTTGGTGGAGTTAGATGCAGAGACAGGGGACTGGAAGCTTCATTTTGGCGGCTGGTAACGGTTAGGATTTTTTTTCTGGTCTATTTCATATGTGGGGCTTGTCACTAAGGCTGCAAAAATTGGCATGTTACAGTGGCTCTTTAAGCCCTTAGTGATCGCTCCCTCCAATGCTCTGCCAGTACTGAGTGCCTAGAGGGGTCGAGGCACTCAGTAATAGTTAAAAAAAAAAAAAAAATTAAAAAAAATTAACCCGATTGGTCTTCTTCTGAGGGGGACTCTCTGGGCTGAGCCAGTCACATGACCAGAATAGGTGTCCACAGTGCTGCCACAAGGGGGACTGCCTGAACTGACCACTGCTGCTGGAGGTGAAAAAGTAAAAATAAAGTTAATAAAAGCTTTTTGTTTTTTAAAAAAATGTAATAAAAAAAAAAAAATATATATATATATATAATTCAATCATACTAAGTGTATTTTTTTATCACCATGCTCACATTGCTGCAATAGGACTCTAGGAGCTGCCAGCAGGGGGACTGTCTGAGCTGTCAGGCTCAGTCTTTTAAAAAGTAAAAACAAAATATACATATATTATATATGTATAATATATGCACATATATGATTTCATTATGTGTACTTTGAGATGTATACACATCTCAAAATACACTTATATAATGCATATATATGATTTCATTATATGTATAATATACTAAAATTAAAGTGTGTGTGTGTATATAATTTTTTTATTTTTTTTATATAGAAAAGCAAATAAAAACGCTAACTTTGTGACTAAGTGGCTACTACAAAAGACTGAACATATCCCATTTTGGATACCCTGGGTTGGGTTATCTACATTTGAAAATGGTATGCCATGATGGGCACAGACCCAGCAAACTGGCGAATCTGGCAAACTGAATTGGGCAAGCTCTGTAACTTTAAAAAACACCATAAAACCTGTACATTGGAGGTATTGTTATTCTCAGGAGACTTTGCTGAACACAAATATGAGTGTTCTAAATCAGTCAACTTATCACGACTGAAATCACCAGTAAAAGTGCAGTTTTGGTGTAAAAAAATAAACACTAACTTTGGTCAGCATTTGTGGCAACTAAAAGACTGGACATACCTCATTTTGAATACCCCTGGTTGTCTACTTTTACAAATGGTATGCCATGATGGGTTCACTTTTTAATTCCTAGGCTGCTATACGGTCTCAAAGGCAACATAGGCCCAGCAAACCAATCTGGCAAATTTCAATGGGCAAACAATTCACCCCTGTAAGTTTGCAAAAACCCATATATACCTTTACTTCGGGGGCACTGTTGTACTCTGGAGATGTTGCTAAACACATATTGGGGTGTTAATTTGTCAGCAACACATAACAGGAACTGAGAATCCATGCCTAAAGTACAATGTGAGAGAAAAATTACACAAGAACGACTACCCAAAAGGTTGACAAAGACTTGTGGTAGACTTAGTGCATGGAAAGTGTTAAAATACCACCATTTGAAATACCCTAGGGCAGGGGTAGGCAACCTTTTAGCAGCACTGTGTCGACATAAGATTGTGATGTACCGTAGCATGCTGGTGTGTATGTTGCCATATTCTGCTTGTTATTTATACTGCAGTTGTTTTGTATCGTTGGATTTGTGCGTATATGAGCGGTTATATTGTACATGTTCACAAGTAGTTTCTTGTGTCGTGTATGATACATATGAATGTGGGCTGTGTATGGGGGCTGCTTGTGAAATTGTGTGTGTGGATGGATATATATCACATTGTGTGTTTTGTGGTTTGTGTATGTGTGGGGCTGTTTGAGGTATTCCATGTGAGAGCCTGCATGTGGGCTTGTGTGCAAATAGGACATGGGTGCGTGATGACCTGGAAAACTGGAATGCGCACCTTCCAAATAAGGTATTTTAGCCCCCAGAGAAATTACACACCTATACATGGGGGTATCACTGTACTCAGGAGATGTTGCTGAACACATATTGGGGTGTTCTTTGGCAGTAACCCTTAAAGGGACACTATAGTCACCAGAACAACTACAGCTTATTGAATTTGTTCTGGTGTGTAGAATCATTACCTTCAGGCCTTTTGCTGTAAGAGAAAATGCAGTGTTTACATTACAGCCTAGTGATAACTTCACTGCCCACTCCTCAGCTGTTAGAGATCCTTCCTGGGTCATGGCTGCCTAAAATGCATCCAAACATTCAGTATCTCCTCCCTCTGCATGCAGACACTGAACTTTCCTCATAGAGATTCATTGATTCAATTCATCTCTATGAGGAGATGCTGATTGGCCAGGGCTGTGTTTGACAAAGAGGGAGATCAGGGGCAGAGCCAGCATGATTCAGTCTCAGCCAATCCTATGGGGAAGCATTGTGATTGGATCAGGCCACCACTTCTGATGTCAGCAGACTGCCTGTTTTTCTGAGGCAAACAGCATGCAGAGTTACAGCTTCAGACTTGAATACAGTAAGATGTTGCTATATTTATGGAGGCATGAGGGGCTCAGGGGGGCTAGATGGTGGTTTTAATACTATAGGGTCAGGAATACATGTTTGTGTTCCTGGCCCTATAGTTATCCTTTAAAGTTCTCTGCACACATATTCTTAAATTGCTTTGTGTGCCAAAAATAAATCACCAATTATTTTTTTAATTTTTTTTTTAATTTGGCATGGATTAGTGGTAAAACAGTTGCATGAAAAGAGTCAAAATACACCAAGGTTAATACCTTTTTATTTATTTATTTTTTAAATTCTTTATTTTTCTCTGTGCATGGAAATAACAGGCATGTATAATGTGCCACAATAGCACACATTTTGTCAGTCAAGATTCACATTTTGGCACTGAAGTCCTGGACTTTTTTTTTTTTTTTTTAGCAGTTAGGTACAAGCCATATACATTTAAAGGCACATGTTGATTGTCGTTGTGATAGTGTATTAGTATTAGAAGATTAGCTTAGTGCATGTTAGGTGTAGCTTGTTGTGTATGAGTGGGTGGTCTGTGCACGACCTGTCGTAGGTGATCCATTCTATGCTTCATTGCCCGGCTGCATTAATGTGATGAGGCATATGGAGTTATTGTGCATCGCTAGATGCAGGCTAAGCTTAGTCTACCTATTAGATATAGCAAATGCCTGTGTGGTTTGTGTATGTAGCAGGTGAGGTATACATTTCTAGTGCTCGGCATGTGGGCTTGTCTCATGAGATGTGCTAAACATAACATGAATAAAAAGCATGGCTAACAAGCAAAAGTAAGGTAAATTGGTCAAACAATGCACAAGATATTAGCAAGCTGAGGTAACGATAGGCATGGGAACAGTGCATCACTTATAGCCTGTACGGTGGGGTTATGCCTTATCACCGCTCTCGGGCTTGAAGGGGCATAGTCCTCCTCCAGTGCAGTCTGTCTGGTTTAACCGATGCCGACTCTGGAGGCTTGATAGGTGGGCCAGGTGCAGTGGTAAAGTTGGTGCTGCGGCCATCCTCCGGCTCCCGCGGGGTCTGGAGGGGCTCTCCACTGATGTCTGGTAGGGAGCTGTGCTGGACTGCGGTAAGCCATGCGGCTGGTGGTGTTGGTCCTTGCGTGCGAGGTCTCGTTTCGTTGGTCTGAGGATTCCAGTGCCACAGAGTGGTGAGTGTGTCGGGCAGGCTTGGTGGACTTGCTCCGGTGTACGCGAGAACGAGTGTCAGAATTTAAGGGGTGTGTTGCCGTTTCCCGCCAGTCTGGTCTCCGGCCTTTTCTCTGTTTGGAGGCCGAGCTGGGTGGATGTCTGCTTAAGGGTGGCCGGGCAAAGCCATGCCGCCATTTCCCTCCAGACCAGGCGGAAGTGCTGATCCTTGGTGCGGAGTTTCGTCCATAGATTGGCACAGAGCCTGTCGAAAAACTCCAGGGTGTGCGTAGGTGGTTCGGTTTGTTGCCGGTCGTGTCCGCGCCGCCATCTTGCTCGGGCCCCCGCTGTCCCGCTTGGTTGCATGCATGTTCGCTTGTGAGTCGTGTTGCAGGGGTGGTTGACCCCCGTGAGGACTGGGATATCCCCCGCCGGTCCAGAAGGGGGGGGAGGGTGGGCTGCAGGGCAGTGTATGATTGCTGCTTGTGAGCAGGTCCCGTGCCGGAGGATTGTCCACTTCCTCCAGGCCTCAGGCTGGTCCTGTTTCATTTTTTGGGCTTCCTGCGTAGCTGACAGTTTGGGTAATCAGGATATTCGTTTTTGTGCCTGCAGGTGCAAGAGCCCTTAGAAAGCACGTCCTGCCATCTTGGGGATATATATATATTCATTCTATTTTCTCTGAAACTGCTATGTTTATAGAAAAAATGGTTAAACCTAGCTGGACCAGGCACCCAGACCACTTCATTAAGCTGAAGTGGTCTGGGTGCCTATAGTGGTCCTTTAAGACACGCAGTATTGTTCTTATTCCTCTAACTTGCACATTATAAAACTCATCTGCTTCTAAGGTAAAGGAAACCTCTAGTGTTGGGTATACAAACATGTGTTCCTAACGCTATAGTAGTCTAGTACTTCTTTAGATACCTGGGCTCACTCAAATTAAATAAAAAGGCTTTAACCTACCTGTTTCAGCTGGCTGAGATAATGAGTTTTGATTAATTTAGATAATCCAATGCTTTTCCATGGAGAAGCATTATGAGACAAGTGCACATGTGCTGCAAATCGCAGCACTGCGCCAATCCGCATTTCCTTGATTAAATATCACTATAGCAATAGATATTTGATGAATTTCTGAACTCATAATGTACTTTATTTTATTTATTTTATTTTTTTCTCCTCCTCCTCCTCCTCCTCCTCCTCCTTCTCCTCCTCCTCCTCTCTCTTAATAGCCTGGAAATGCCCAAAGATGAACTACCAAACCACAATTGCATAAAGCATCTCCGCTCTGTTGTACAGCAACAGCAAACCAGGATAGGAGAACTGGAGAAGGCATCCGCAGAGAGCAAGCATCAGTTGTCTGAGCAGGTAAACATTGCTCAAGAGTACTTGATGGATCTGGTTTACCTATCTTTCTTGGAAATGTTGTCTGCCTTGATATTATGGATATAGAAAAAATACTAAAAAACTACATTTAAAGTGACTCCAAGGGGGACTGCCTACTCTTCTTCCTCATAGAATGTCTATTGGGTTTTACATTTTGTGAACTACTGCGCAAGTATGTCTTGGGCTTCTGGGGGGGAAATGTGCAAATACTCACATGTGCTTTTTGACCCACTGTCAACTTCAGAGGAAATTGTGTGTGTGACACACTAGCTGTGTTTCTAAATTTTGTTTATAAATGTTTTTTTAATTGTTTGGTTTTTTTTTGTTTTTTTTTATGCCATTCAAAAATGTGAAATTAAGTAGTGTGGAATGTGGTTTACCAAGTCAGATTTAATCTTGCAACTTAACTCCTTTACTTTTTACAGAATTGTTGGTTTTGCGACCATTAAGCTAAACAACCCATATACGAGATTCACCTAAAAAAAAAAACAACAAAAAACCTGGCCAATGAACCATTGCTTAAAGCGGCACTGTCATGGCCGCATCCGTGTTTGTTTGGTTTTTTTTTTTGTTTGGTTTTTTTAAAACCCCCCTTCCTACTCAAATACATTTTATTGTGCCCAATTTACCTTTTTTTTTTTTTTTTTTTTTAAATAACTTTAATTTATGCCTGGACCTAGGTCCCGGCACCACCATCTTTTTGTGGGCAGATGAAGTCCCTGTGGGACACATCTTCCCACACTAGATTGCGCTATGAAATTACTGTGCATGCCCAGTTAAACACCCCCAATGAGTGGCAGGTGAGGGCCATAATAACAAAAGGAGGAGGGACCCTCAGGCCCCAACCCAAGAGCGATGAATGGGGGCCAAAAGTAGCAAGAGATGGGGGGACCTATTGTCTAAGAGTGCCCTGATATGTAAATTTGAGCCTTGCAAGTTACCAATCAGACAAGGCTCAAAATTTACCTATCCGAGCACTCCTATTGGTTGGTTTCAACCAACCAATAAAAGAGCTCTGAGTCAAATTGCAGGGTGTGGGAAGGCTTTTATAAGCCTTTCACTGCCCTGTGGAGTTCTGTTACATTTTTGCCTCCACCCGTAACCAATGGCTTGTTACTTTTTGCCCCCACCTGCCGCTGATGTGTGGGGCCCGTGAGTGGAGACAATAGGTGCCCCCTTCCTCTTGTTACATTTGGCCCACATTTGCCGCTCATTGTTGGGGGCCGGGGGGGAGGCAGTACGACCTCTCCTTTTGTTATTACGGCCCTCGTCTGCCGCTCATGGGTGGGACCCGTTCCTTGGAATTGCCCCCACTCGCGAGGGTCGGGTCTGGGGTAGGACACTATATCCTCCCCTGTTATTTTTCTAGATGCCACACCATGGGGGACCTGTACTAGGTCCCCCATTAATTGATTCGGGGGGTGGGGAGCTTATTTGTTAGGACAGTGAGCAGCCACAGGCTTCTCACTGTTTTATTAATGGGAGGAAGTTTGGAACAACTAGGACTCTTCCTAGAACCGGCCAACTGACCAAATTTGGCAATCTGAAGAGACAGGCCTTGGTAAGAGAGAAGACAAAGAACCTGATGGTGCCTCTACATGAGCTCCAGAGATCATGCATGGAGATGGTCAAAATGTTATGGTAAACTGGCAAGATGAAAACCTCTCCTCACTACATTATACATGAATGCCCACTTGGAATTGGCAGGGGGGGGAGAAGCACCCAAAGGAATCTCTGACTGTGAGAATAAGATTGTCTAGTCTAATGAAATGAAAATTGCACCATTTGTACTCCATTCGAAGCGTCCTGTCTGAAGAACACCAGGCACCTCTCATCACCTGCTCAAGAACATCCCAGTGGTTAAGCATGATGATGAATAGCATCGTGGTTTAAGGGTGTTAAGCAGCAGGGACTGGGAAACTGTATTTTGCTGCGTTCAGCTTTCTCTCAACCCCGACCGACCAGAGACATTCTTGGTGAAAACCTTGTCCAGAATTCTTATGACCGGAGATTAGGCCAAAGTCCCTTGTGGCCACCGCCATGCTCTTTCGGCTGGATGAGCCTATATCAACGTTGTACTCTTACGCATGTGTGAAAGTGCATCACTAAGATATATGGAGGATCCTGCGAGACTTCAGAATCCTCCATAGACTGAGCTTCTCCCCCCCTCCCCCCCCCCCGTTCCGTCACTAGTTGTAGCTCTGCCTTTTTGTCAAGCGTAGGAAAAAACTAAAACAAAGTCCCTACTCTGTCTTATATCTTTTTGACTGTGTTAAAATTCCAATATGGTCAGTATGAGTATTTAATAAAGATTAGATTTTTATGAAAAACTAATTTTGGATTTGTGATAGGGGGGGAGAGGGGTGACAGTGCTGCCTTAAGAGTCTAAATACATATGTCAATGTTATATTTAATTGTTTCTATTTAATATATTTGCAAGGTGTAAAGAGAAAATATTTTTTATTTTCTTTATAGTGGTATTGAATGTAGATTGATGTGGGTTAAAAAATTATTTAATTGTAGCATAAGGCTGCAACGTAAAATGTGAAAAAACGATTCTTAGTAATTTTGAAAATGTAGCATTTTTTTAAGACCAGATACAGCAATGGGCAAAATTGCTTCTCTGGATATGTTTTCACAGCTGATTCTAGCTCTTTTAATCCCACAGAAACGTGACATCCAGCTGCTGAAGGCTTATATGAGAGCGATACGTAGTGCCAATCCAAATCTGCAGAACCTAGAGGAGACCATAGAATACAACGAAATACTTGAGTAAGTACTGCAAAAATATGCAAGATAAAAAATACACTCTACAAGGAGGGAAATGTTATGTAATTTCCTTGTTTTGTTAGAAGTGCTAGAGAAATGCACAAATAAAAGACAAATACAATTCTCTTGTATTTCTTATCTAATGATTTGTGACATTTTGTTTTTCTTTCAATTTTAATTATAGAGCATTGCATTTTGATGTGTAATAACTTGAAGTATTTTATTTGTCGTTTTCGTCTCCTCTGACAAAACTCTTCACTTTATTCTTAAAGTTACATTCCCCGTGTAGGGTAGATGGATCTACCGAACTCTGACACTCCCCTCCCCCCCCACCCCCCCCACCCACCCCCCCGGCTCATTAACTTCAAAGAAACCAAGAAAAGTGCTCTCTAACTGAACGCCACAAGCTGGAGTAAACAGTGGTTATCTTGTTGCATGAAAGCAGGACTTGGCTGTTGAGTGTCTGTAACTCTAAGGTTGACACTCGACCTCGTGAACATCAGCTAAACTTCACGAATGCCTGCTTCTTGCCACGACAAGCCAGTAGAACGCTGTTCGATATGTTTGTTCGCACAAAGTAGGCGAACAAACGATACCTATGAGCCAGGGAACCGTTCGTCTGTTTGTGCGATGGCGATTCAGCTGTATTCGTGGTATCTGAGCGTAATGGACAACTTGGACGTTTAGATCCAGGCTATCCGGGAATATAATATTTGTGGGGGTTCTGTCTTATATGTATTTTAAATATTTGTAATTATGTTTTTATGCTAAGTCATGCTGACTCAAAAATGTATGAGTGTTGTGGGACAGTTCTGGGTGTGTTAGACTGTATCCCTGTTGTGTATAAAAGTGGGTCATGAAAAAATATTCCTGTTATACCCATCATCAAGTCTCAACTGAGGTTTGGGTATGTGACTGACGAACCGCTGGATTTACCCTTGGGCAACTTGGATTTTGGGAACGGACGAATCAGCGTTCCAAGTGAACAGGCTATAATCACTGAAGTCCCTAGCCTTTCGGGAGCATACGAACGAACTGGTATAGGAAATACCAAGTGTTCGTTACACCTCCTCTCCATACTTGGTTCCTTCTACTGCTTTTTTTTTTTAATATTATTCTTCATTTATTTATTTTAAATAATAATGCTGATTAATGCATTAGGTTTTGACTGTCATTTTATGCAGTATAACGTTTCTAAGTTTTCATACAACCAGTAGAACGATTTGGTATGAAAAACTTTATACTAAATTACCATGGCTAAGTTCCTGGTAGCTATTTAATTTTGAATCAATGTTTTGTACCAATGGTAACATGATAAAATATTTGTAAGGGCCTATTCTTCAGATCAAATTCCTTCAGTTTGTTAGAGGGTTATCATGACCATCATAATTCTAGTGGATGCATATCTCCAATCAAATCACCATTTTATTCTATTTTTCTAGATTCCCTTGACCAACATTTCTTAAGTGATGTATTGGTTGTATCACCTCATGTTTCAAGAAGAGATTTGATTATATATCTGACACTACACTTTGATGACACACAAAAATAAAACAGTGCTATTCAACCAAACCAAATTTAAGTAAGTTTGCAGACCTTAATGAGGCTTTCTCACAAACCCCAAAAAGGATAGGACAATACAGCAAAAGGAGAGGAAGTTTGTGCCAATAAAATTGTAATAAAAGATATTTCCAATGGGTGATCGATATAGAAGAATAAAAACCAATAAAATGTCCAAATAAATATGCAAACTTGCAAGGAGAACAGCCAAGTCTTGCAGGAAAGTCACTTCTCTATGGAGAGGCCAGATCAGGAAATGCTTGGGATACGTATCAATATACAAAGAAAACCGAGGAAAACCCAATATTTTAGTATATCACGACAATATATGGCACTAATAATTTGTACATCTACTCACGTTTTCTATAGCTAGAACCAGCTCTAGCATGAATGGCATACAGTAGTATAATCTCACTTGTAGGATACATGCGATAATGTTAGCAGATATCACACTGGTATGGGGACCATAAAACCCAGAATAAATAGAAAACAATAGTACTCTCTGAGTAAACTGAACTAGAAGTAATAAATTAAAAAGATTTACTCAGATTTGATCCCCACCAAGGATTCTTTAGTGAGGTTATCGTTGGAACTGTGAACAATTAGTGCCAAACTGCTAATCCAGCATGCTGCCTGATTAAATCTCACTTTCAATGGATACGGATACAGAGCCAAAGCATTTCCTGATCTGGCAGCTCTATAGAGAAGACTTTCTACAAGGTTAAGCTGTTCTCCTTGCAAGTTTGCACATTTATTTCAACATTTGATTGGTTATTTTTAGCTTTGACCACTTCAAGGGAGCTTGAGTTCAGTCGTCTCCTTGATGTGTTCATAAAACAAGTGTTTTCAGATTACTTGTACTATTTGCATGCATTTACTAGGGTTGATGGTAAATTCCATGGATGCCTGGTTTCACCTCTGGACACTCCAGTTTGTTTCAAGACTTCTTGGTTTCCTCATTTGCTTTCATTGACTGACTTTTTTCCTTTTCATTTCACTATTTGTGTTTCACTCACATTGTCTTTCCCTTTAATACTGGCTGGCTGAATGGTCTGTCTGTTGACTTTTCACTAAGACCAGAGTAGACTGTAGTAATGACCTATCACAGCCTGTTAAGATGAAGTGGTGTTTGGTGGCCACTCAGTAATCTTTGTCATACCAGGAAGGGAGAATGCCAGTGCCCAGTAGCCCAGGAAGGTCTTCTGGCATGGTCCAGTCATAATATGGGGTCATCCATCACATTTTAATTTTCTGGTCCACAGAGCTTCTCGATGAGAAGTTTCTGGTTGTTTCCCAGCACAGATGAAAGAGTGTGTCAGGGAATAAGAGTAGGGGGACTTGCAGTAATTGGAGAAACTAGGTCTGAAGCTACTACAGGCTAAGTTATCCCTAAATACAACATGCAAAATGAACTCTATGCATGAATTTTTTTCTATGGGAGCACATACAGGTTATTTGGGTTTTTTTTTTTCCAATGGAGAGTTCCTTTCCAGTAATATACTAACAGCGATTTATTCAAATCGCACCGGCTTAGAACAAGTCTGAAAAAAATCAAACAGAAGTCAGGGAAATTAAAAGTGGTTAAAAAATGTCAACACATATCGTGAATATGCTGAAATGGCTAGAAAAAGGGAAAGAGGTGCCTGGTGTAAGAATTAAGAAATGTGCTTATTTAAGAATTAAAGGATCACTATAGTGTCAGGAAAACAAAGCAGTTTTCCTGACACTGTAGTGCCCTGAGGGTGCCCCCACCCTCAGGGTACCCCTCACGTGGCGCTGAAGGGGTTAAAACCCCTTCAGCAGCTTACCTTATTCCAGCGCCGGCCTCCCTTGGCGCTGGTGACCTCTCCTCCCCTGCTTTCCTATGGACGCTCTGCCGATGGAGACATAATATGCCCCCAGCGTCGCAGATGCGCCTCTAGTGGCTGTCCGGAAGACAGCCACTAGAAGCTGGCTTAACCCCAAATGTAAACATAGCAGTTTCTCTGAAACTGCTATGTTTGCTTCTGAAGGGTAAAACCTGAGGGACCTGGCACCCAGACCACTTAATTGAGCTGAAATGGTCTGGGTGACTATAGTGTCCCTGTAATGTTTTATTGGGAAATACATTTTGCTTAGTGTCTGAACATTCACCAAATCGAAATCTAAGCAACTTGACTTGAAATCTCTACTGGTCAGAAACCCTCTTCTGATTCATTTGTTTATAATAGTATACTTAAAATTAAGAGGCACAGCTGGTAAACTAAAACTTTTTTTTCTTTTCTTACCAGTGAGTCATCTTAAAAACTGTCAAAAGTGTGTGTGTTTGTGTGGGGGTTTACCCCTTTAATCCTACCAAATCTGCCTTGTGGGCTTCACTATCTAGAACCAAATGGACAATTATGTAAGATGAATTGGTTTCGGAATAGCTCAGTGTGGTAAAAAAGATGATTTATATATACAAACTACAAATCTGATATAAATTGAATAAACATGATCAGCAATGTTAAAAAGTCTAAATAAAATCAATGGTGGAATACTATTATTTCATATGCTCAACACCCCAAATTTGAGTTTACCACTATTGTATTGAAGCTACACAATATTATTTCAGTGGGACATAACAGAAGAAAAATAGACCGTGAAGCAGATTCAGTGTCACAGCAACAAGTTAAACATTTCAGTACTATACTGGACTTTTATCAAGACTTTTATCTTGATATGTATATCTTTCTTTCATTCATTCATACATACATATGTCTTATCCATAACAGGAGTTTATAAACAGTCTGTTTTATCATTATGCAAATGAAGTAATTCAATTATTTTTGCCAGTAGAGGATTTCTAACAAGAAAAGAAAAGAGCCCATAGGATTAAATTTCTCTAGTAGCCTGTCACTATATTACACTGTATAAATGCAGTCTCAAACGTATAAAGAGATTAATTGAAAAATAATTTATTAATAATATAAAAATATTGTGTGTGTGTTGTAGGGAAACCATGCCATTGACCAATTTTGGAGACTTACATTTTTATTTAAATAATTGCTTTGTTTTGATGTTTTGTTCCACAGAAGCTGAAGTACCAGAGGTTGTCTATTCTGACATTCCAGCTGCTGTGAAAAGCAACACACCGTCCGTTTGATACTGTCTTCCTTCCAAACATTAAAATATATATATATATATATATATATATATATATATATATATATATATATATATATATATATATATATATATATATATATATATATATATATACATATATACATATATACATACACACACACAACTGTGCTCAATAAATCCGTTGTAAAGGCAATAATTACATGGCTATTGCTGACTGTGTTCTGCTATTTGAAACACCTTGTCCTTTTAGTATTTTCAAATGAAGTCCAAAAAGCTGCATATACTCTAGGGCTGCATAAAAATTATATATTTTATTTGTTACAACTAAAACAATAGAAAAATAGTGTCTCAGTGGAGCTCCAGCACTTAAAAAAGAAAAAGAAAAAAGCGACAACGACAAAAAAAAACACCCCATGTAATCCATAAAGTAAAAAAAATACACATCACTCTGCAACCTCCTGACATGTTTTGTGTTTAATATATGCACTTATTCACAGGGGGAAATATGAATAAGTGCATATATTAAGCACAAAACATATCAGGAGGTTGCAGAGTGGTGTGTATTTGTCATGGTGTATTTTTCTTGCAATGTTGAAGCCCAAGCAATTCACACAGTTTTCATACTTAGTGCAGCTCCAGAACGTTATTTTCCAAGCTGCTTGAGGTTGATGGGAGTTACACCACCACAGTTGTAGGCATAAGCACATCTGTCCTTTTCCCAGTAGTTTAAGGGACTATAGTCACCCAAAACACTTGAGCTTTATGAAGCAGTTTTGGTGTATAGATGCCACTACAAGCTCACTGCTGAATTCGCTGCCATTTCAACAGTTTTATACCACCGTACTAAACACTTCATGTAAAGTGAGATCTAATGTTTATACTTCCTTTATTGCACACTCTGTTAAATTTAGAATTTATCTCCTGCTCAGTTATTAGACCTTTCAGAATCCTACTGTGTTTGATTTAAAGTAGAATTTACAGATTTGGAGATTAAGTGAACAAAATGAAACCATGCAACTGTGTGAATTACCGCCAGGGGAGGTGGGGATAGGGCTGCATTGACAGAAACAAAAGTGGTTGAACTCCTGAATGGCAGAGAATTGAACAGTGAAATTTTAGATGCATAATCTATACACCAGAACAGCTTCATAACGCTAAAGTTGTTTTGGTGACTAGTTTCCCTTGAGGCCAAGTGAAGGGGAGACCACTGCAATTGCAGCCCATCAAATTCAAGCATACATCTTGTGTAAGAGGGTGTGTGATTGATGAAACTGAAGTGTATAATTTACAAATGATCTAGGCATTAATGTGCACTTATCGTTGAATGTCTTTCAAAGAGAAAGCTCAAAGGCTTTTTTTGGGGGGTAAAGACTAACTCCATCCCAATGTAAGGGCGTGCTATGCGTTCCTACAATATGAAGGCTTTAACGTCATTAGGGCAGTATTACACTCCATAAAGATTTGGCCCTTAATCCAGGATCACAATTAATGACCTGCTTAGGTTGCATCAAGATCACATGACTTGGATCAGCTGCAGGGGAAGTGCTCGGGTTGTCAAGCAGGTCCCCGATATATAAAAGCATATCTAACATAAGCATGCCTAATATGTTATTAAAAAAAATAAAAATACATTAAAATATGTTCTATAATTCATAACAGCCCAGCAAAAATACCAGATAATTTAAAGGGACAGTATAGTCACCAAAATAGCTTTAGCTTAATTAAGCAGTATTGGTGTATAGATCATGCCCCTGCAGTCTCTCTGCTAAATTATCTGCCATTTAGGAGTTAAATCACTTTTTTGCTTCTGTTTATGCAGCCGTAGCCACACTTCCACTGGCTGTGACTCACACAACCTGCATGAAAAGAAATGGTTTCACTTTAAATAAGATGTAACTTTAAAAGTTTATCTCCTGCTCTGTAAATTGAACTTTAATCACATACAGGCGGCTCCTGCAGGGTCTACTAGTAAGCTATTAACAGAGCAGGAGATGAGAAATTCTAAATTAAACATTTTCAACACAGGAAGTGTAAACCTTAGATGACTCTTTGCAGGAGGTGTTGGGAAGGCTTTGTACGTCACATGCAGGGAGGTGTGACTAGGGCTGCATAAACAAATTGATTTAACTCCTAAATGGCAGAGAATTGAGCAGTGAGACGGCAGGGGCATGATCTGTACAACAAAACTGCTTCATTAAGATTAAGTTATTTTGGGGACTATAGTGTCCCTTTAAAGTGAAAGCCATATATTTGACCCTGTAACTGTTCAAAAGCTAATAAAAGTTAACCATACTATGACATTCACAGTTAAAATGTCATGCAAAACTTGGAAAATAAGTCTTAATTTCTCATGCGTTTTTTTTTTTGTTTGTTTTTTATGTTAAAAAATTGTTTCCAGATATTTGATATGAAATGAAAGCGGAAAGCCCTATTTCTCCTGAGCAAAATCATTCATAATGTGTAGGTGCACTTAAATGGACACTGTAGTCACCAAAACAACTTTTGCTTATTTAAACAGTTTTTGTGTATATACCATTCCTCTGAAGTTTCACTGCTATTTAAGAATTCAATCACTTTTTGTTTCCTTTATGCAACCCTAGCCTCACCTCCCCTGGCTGTGACGGACACAGCCTGCATGAAAACAAAATGGTTTCATTTACATTTAGATGTAAGTTACTTTCAAAGTTTTTCTCTTGCTCTGTAAATTGAACTTTACATACAGAAGGCTCCTTCTGGATCTAGCAAGCAGCTGGGCAGGAGAGAAGACATTCTAAATTAAACAGAATTTGCAATAAAAGAAATGTAAACATTAGATGACTCTTTACATGAAGTGTTTAGGAAGGCTTTGTAAGTTACATGCAGGGGTTGTGACTAGTGCTGCATAAACTATGTGATTTAACTCCTAAATAGCATGACATTGAGCAGTGAGATTGCAGGGCATGATATATACACTTCAATTGCTTCATTAAGCTAAAGTTGTTTTGGTGACTATAGTGTCACTTTCATATGAAAGGTAAAGTATGTTTGAAAAGACATATAGCTCAAGTTCTAGGTTTTGGATTTGGTTCAGAACTTGTACAATTGTCTCTTCTTAAGAGGTTAAGCAGAGGGCTGAATGTTCTGTTTCTGTTCATCCCTTTTTGTGTGCAATGTTTCTTCAATAAGAGTTGTTTGTCATTAGGAAGGACAGCAGTGTGTTTCTGGGAGCTTTGGTTCAGCTAACATAATGAAAGCACTTGCCATGGAAAAGTGTGTTTTTATTTTTTTTGCATTATTAGTTGATCATTTCTTTGTTTGGGATTTGTAAAACCTGATCATTTATTGCAAATACAGGAGAGAGAGATTTTTCCAACTGGACTAGTGGCTTGATATCTTTTACTATTTTTCCGATGCATTCGTTTAAAGATGGTGAACATTTAAAAGTTGTTTTTTTTTGTTGTTGTTATCTTTTGTACAGGTGGGTAAATTCCTTGCAACCAGCACGTGTTACCCGATGGGGTGGAATGATCTCTACACCAGATGCAGTTCTGCAAGCTGTCATTAAGCGCTCATTGGTTGAAAGTGGTTGTCCAGCTTCCATAGTGAATGAATTGATAGAGAATGCACATGAGCGCAATTGGCCACAGGGCCTGGCCACTCTTGAAACAAGACAGATGAACAGACGTTATTATGAGAACTATGTGGCAAAAAGGATTCCTGGGAAGCAGGCTGTAGTGGTAATGGCCTGTGAAAATCAACACATGGGCGAGGACATGGTGCTGGAACCTGGTTTGGTGATGATCTTTGCTCATGGAGTTGAAGAAATATAAATGCACATTATTTTATGAATTTACACTCCATTTGTTCCCCTGTGTGCTCTCTACTCCTTGGAAAACAGACTTTTTATCTTAAGAAAAATAAAACCTCCATACTCCACTCTTGCCACTGGTGCCTACTGGTTGAATGCTGGGTTGCTGCTTTACCAGTGTTGGTGTGTAAGAAGAAACTCTCTGGCCAAACTGATAGCATCACTATTTTAACTGGGCTTATGAGGTCAAGTTAGCAAAGTACGTTTTTGTCCTTGCTTCATTTTGTTTTCCTTTTGCCACATTGGTCGGATGTAGATATACATATATATATATATATTTTTTTTTTATGGATCTGGTGCTAATAGACAAAGTCTAGATGCACAAACTGTGTACACCAGGAGCAGTAGATACAGGGGACAAAACAAAGGGCATTTTGAGGAAGTGCTGAGGCACAGGCTCTAATATCACTGGTTTCTACTAAAGAAAAAGCTATATTTCAATTGGAACTTGGATTCGTGTAAGGCAATTTGGACATTGGATCTTGGGAGGGTTTTGTGGTATTGGGCTAGAGGAAAGTAGATATTTTTTTAATCCCAGTATCACCTAGGACTAGTAACAAATGTTCAGGATGAGCTGTCACAATGTATTGGTGGTATGGTAATTCAGTCTTTAAAGCCAGCTCCAGCAGTTCACCCAAAGGCCATATTAATTTTTGTGTAGAGATGTAAAAAGAAGTCCTGAGGCTAACACAAATCTCATCTAGACCAAAACAAATAGAAACATCATATCAAGTGAATGAAGATGATTCTGATTGTGGCATGTAAACCGCTCACACAGTATATTGGCTTTTGATTATTCTCCTTCCTGAAATCTATACACACGGACCTTAATATATTGCGATTCAAGAGCATAAATGAAGAATGCAATCCAATTGTGTCCTTTTCATTCCTTTGTATTGTGTGTGTTCTGCAAATGTTTCATGTTTTGTTCTTTCACACTGGGCTTGTATACAGCACTATCCTTAATTACAGTGCCCAGAAGTCAGACACCTTTTTAGTTTTTGACTAGTCATCTGTCATCATTGTGGGTACTTTCTTTAAGATTTATTTCAAATGAGGCACACGCCCCCTGAACCTTATGTGAATAAATGTAGATTTGTGCAGTTCTCCTATTCCCTCCGTTGCTGAAAGTAAGATTAATGAACAGACAAAACTGACAAATCAGTCTTCCTTGCTATGGAGAATAAGGCAAGTAATTACAGAGATAAAATCACATTTCTTTGTGATCTTCGATCTGTGACTGTTTGTTCATAGACCTTTAAAACTTTATGTAATTGCTTTATTTTAAGATTCCCTCCCCCCCAAATATTCATGTATGACATTTGTGCTTCAATATTTTTGTATTTCTGTTTTGCTCTATTTGTCTGCTTTATTTGCTTTTGTCTTTTTTTTAATAATACATAAACATAAAGTGTGTGTTTGGTTGTTTCTTTTTACATAACGTTTCTTTTTGTTTTCCTTTTTGCCTTGAAAAGGGGTTGTTTATTTTTATTTTTTTAATATTCCGTGGAGTTAATGCATGAAGAAAACCTATTGCCTCTGACTCTGTAGTCAACCCAGCCCTAGTTATTAATGACCTAAAATTGATAGGGAACTGCTTATTACAATGCTTGGAGTACTCATTTTTAGAATTTCATTGTAGATCTGCATTGGTTATATATGTTGGACCATTACAACCACTATATATGCTGCTTACATAGTATTACAGTAAAATGCATAAAAATAATAAATATACATCAAGCATTTGCCTTTAATGAGGTAAAAACAATATTTTCTTGGAAAACTCCTGATATATTTTGTTTTTCTCAAAAATCTATTTTTTCCTCCTAAAGATGTATATTTTTTTTTATTACCAAAAGCATGCTTACCTAATACTTGCATTGGAACACCTGGTGTTATTCATATGACCTATTGCTCATTTCCATAAACATCAGAAGCCTTGTGAAAATATGTTCTCTTCATCTCCTTAGATAACATTCTTTCGAAGTATGCTGATAGTTGTAGCTTGGCAAGTATGTAATTTTACTTCCCTCCCCCTCACCCCCCCTCACCCTTTTTCCTCTCCCACCTTCTCCTCACCCCCTCCCCTCCCACTTCTTTTAAAGGATTAAAAAGCAATGGAAAATTGCCATCAAAAGATCTGATGTCTGCATTGTAGAAAAGAATGGCTAAAATAAATGTTGATCCTATGTGAATGTGCATATTGGCATTATTTAATGTGTGTTAGTTTACATATGAAGAGAACTTACATATATTTCAGCAAACCCTGAGGAACATATGGTGATTGTGCTAGTAATTATCTGGTTATATTATTAAGATACTCTAGGCTGGAGCATGTCAAAACATTAAAAATAATTAATTTTGAATGGCCCACTTTAGAAGCGATTCCTCCTATCTTAAGCTCACAGACTAATGGAGCTTTAATAGGTAAACCTCTGCTCATGGTAAGGATCTTTATCTTTTTTTGGGGGGGGGAAGGGGGTCTGTTTATATTACGGTCTGTTTCCCAAATTGTACAGTGCTGCAGAATATGTTGTCATTTTATAAGTAATATTATTATTTCAGCTATGGTGAAGTATGCAGAGACTAGTATTCTAGTTCCTACCGTTGTTTCCAGAAGGAGTGCTCAATAGAACATCTGTACAACCTGGACTATCCATTTACTGGCTTTTCTCCGATTTCATGTATCTGGTACCAGTGCTTACTTGGCATTTGTGTTTCCACAGTAATTTGAACGGAAAGAAAAGTCACTGTTTAACTACTGCATATCTCTGGGCTCAACAAATCCCAGGTCGCCATGGCGACTAGAAATTTTGCCCTGGTGTCTGGGATTTGAAGTCCTTTGGCTAAAGCGGCAGATTAGGAGGCTGGGTGGATTAAAATGGAAAATATCAATTTGGGTGTCTCTCTGTCAGTGTGTCTCTGTGTGTGTGTCTCTCTGTCAGTGTGTCTGTTTTGGTACCTGCAACACCCCAATCATGAGAGAGGTGTTTCTCACCTTCTTTCCCACACTGTGCTGGTTTTGCTGCAGTTTGTCCTGCCTTCATGGCTGAGATAATCTTTAGGATCTCAGCTAAACCAGCTAAAAGGCAGCATTTACATTGAAAAGGCTACAGGGACAGGCTGTAGGCACCAGAACTATATTAAGCTGTTGTGGTTCTAGTGACTATAGTGACCCTTTAAGAATTTTTTATTTCTTGTAAATTAAACTTCACTAACTTAAAAAATGTAAAACATTTTTTTTTTTCAAAAGCTGTCTCCTAACTTTTGTTGCTGGCTCCTAGATTCCAAACAAATTTGTCAAGCCCTGACATAACTAGTGCAACTAAAGAAAAATAACTATAAAAATATATTCACTTATTAGCAGTGTCAAAAATGCCCAATATGTATGGGGTTTAAGTTATTTTTTAAAATTTATAGACAAAAATTGCAACAAGTGATTTATGAATTGTCTGCGGAGTCTGAAACTTTAATAGTGGTCACAAATCACTAAACAAAAGTATATATTTTTTTAGGAAGTAGATCTTCCACGGTGTTTACTCAGAGTATTTTGACACTTTTCATTTAACCTTTTTATTAACTCTGCCAAATGTGAGGGTTAAATTTGTAATCTTTGTCATTTTAAAAAAAAATTTTGAATGCATTTTCCTTAGGAATTTTATAGACCATGGGTGTGCCGTTGACTATAGTGTCCCTTTAAGTGCATGTGTGAGCTAAATGGAGACACTACGTATTTAGACACTAAAGGGTTAGGAAAGGTGAAGTAAAGCTGTTTTCTTTTGAGATGTACAGCACACATTGCTGTTTAATAATTTTAATTAGTGATCTTGTTGGTGAGAGGGACACTATAAGCACCCAGACCACTTCATGTCATTGAAGTGGTCTGGGTGCAGTGCCCCTGTCCCCTTAACCCATGATAAAATGCAATAATTACTTTGCTGGGTTAACTCTACCTCTAGTGGCAGTTCCAAGACAGCCACTAGAGGCTCTTCTGGGTCTTTAGTAAACGTTTGGTCTGCTAAATGAATCTGGACGTCCTCACTCTTTACATGAGGACTTCCAGTATCATCTAAAACCCCAAAGGAATACACTGAAGCAATGCTTTCCTATGGGGTAGTCCAAATGCGATTGCCATGCTCAACAGAGGCGGATCCTCATCCAGTGCCAAGGGACATTAGTGCTGGAATCAGGTAAGTGACAAAAGGGTTTTGATCCCTTTCAGTCAGGGGGGTTGGAGTTTCAGGGGAGGGGGGGTGCTCTGTAGGGTAGAACACTGGTTTTCACTTTTTTTTAAAATTTTGTTTTATGCTCGAACAAATACATGCCTGCCTTTTATATACCTAAAATGTCCCTTTAAGACCGCATCCTATGTAAAAGTATGAAGAGTCCTAGTTCCTTTAAACACTTTCTGAAGAAGGGATCAAGATTTCCCCACATTGTCACTGGTGCGCGGTGCATTTGCATTCTTACGAAAAGAATCCTCACAGGCTGATGTCCTCTTGAATGGTGGTAACGTCACAGTACTCCATTATTGGTGAGACTTACACAAATTGTAACATAGGAAACAAACATGCTAACTGCTATACTTACTGCTTAACCTCTCTGGCGGTAATCCCAAGCGTGGCTCAGGGTTAATTTTCCAAAAGCAGTAACCCTGAGCCACGTTCGGGATTACACTGTAGTATCACTTACTTTGTTCCTACGAGCCCTTGGTGTAAAAAAATAAAATAAATAATAATTAAAAAAATACACACAATACTTTGTAAAAACAATGTACCGCTTTTAACATAAAAAAAAAAACTGACATAATCAGACCGTCAGGAAGGTTAAACCACTTCCAGAGGCTCTCCTCAAATTCCTGTGGTCACTTCCAAAGGGGCACCTATAATAGATGAGTGGGGTGCACACACAATAAAAATATACACCTGTTCCGTGTGTAATTCCTAATGACGAAGTTATGGTGCCCAGTGTCATTTTAAATACTCAGGGGTAATGTTTTATTGGTATAACAAGTTAGCACTTTACTGCTTAAATGTTGTTGTTTTTTCTTCTTCTTCAACAACCAAAAATAGGATTTTATATATTTTTCTGCAAAGCCTTTGCAGTTTTTATTTTTTTGTTTAGGGATCAGATACAACACATACAGAATCAGTTTCTTATATCAATCGGTCATGTTTACTTTATCGAATGCCACCATTTGTCTTGCTGATCATATGGCTCAATGTGTTACTCTGTCTGTATATGATCACAGAATTATTACAATCTGACTGTGGTTTGTTAGGTTAGCATTTGTATTTTAATATGTCCTGTCAAGCTGCCCCTATTATAGCACTTGCACAGAAATGTAGCCCTCTCTGTCGTGCAGCATCAAATATCTGAATCTTATGCAAGTTTGAAGTCACAAGGATGAATACTAAAGTATTTAAGGCATTAGCTCTGTTTTTTAATTCACATATTGCAAGATTCTCACATTGATTACTATTTATATTTCCAGTATTTGACAAACCACTGTTACTTGTTCAGACCTTTAGAATGACATTTGTGGCTTTTTAATGTTCTCAATGTTCTTGTATAGCACCACTCCCTGTGTGATTGTTCTTTCCTCCATGCGTGTGTGGTGATAAAAAGTTTTGGTAATGTATAAAAGAGTATTGCTTTGATTGTCACACCTGTTTAGTCATATTATTGTCTTTATCATTATTTAATTGCCTAAATTCATTGTTCACCTTTGAATTCAAGAGCATGCATTACTTTGGCATGCTTTCATTGAACCAAATGTTATGATTTAGTCATCCTTTTCAAATAAATGCTTTTCTAAAACTGTCTAAACTGATATTTGGTTAGGTTTAGAACATCTTTGTCTTTGCAATATCAATATGGAGATTTTTTTTTTTAATTTTTTTTTAGTTCAACATATTCAGTATGTGATGCCAAGAATGTGATTATAGCAGTATTGCAATTAGCCTAGAACACATATCAATGGCTCAGGTACCATATTAAAGAGATGGTTCAGGATGGAGGGGGCAATTTTTTTTTTATTTTTAAAAAATCATTATATAGAATAGTTTTTAAGAAGAAATTAATAGATTTGTCTTTGAATTTCCTGCATATGATTCAATTGAACAGATGTTGCAGCTTCCGGTGTTGAGCTATGTCCAGTCTATGAAGTGGCTGATAACGAGACTTGACTTTTTGAATGATGAACATATCCAATAAACATCTGCAGCAGTTCCATTCATTAGAAAGTGTGAATGAAAACTCTCCCCAAACTGATGGCAGGCTCATTGTAAGAAGTGTTTTGTAAGTGCATACAAGTGAGAAAACATGTTACTATAATTCTTGCTTAGAGTGAAGCTAGGAATGAGGTTTTTTCATGTAGTACAAGATCATCATATACATAAGCCGTTTAGGAAGAAATCTGCTCACTTAACTGGGATGTTTAGTTGTATTCAATAATGCTACATATTTTCAGCAGTAATGTATTGAACATTTTCTACATGGAAGCTTGATCAGGGGAGTTCACATTAAGATAAGATAGATGTATTCCAGTAATTTTCAGCCTGTGGCTTTAATAACCCATTACAGAGATTATTTCACAGATTGCAAATTTAGTTAATGAATGGCTAAAAACTGTGATTGACAGACTGTATTGGGTCTACAGTTCATAGGTCTGATTGCTTCTTGGCCACTGAAACACCAGCTCTTTTTTAAAAGCTCTGAATTATTAAAAAAAAAATTTTTTTTTATTTTTTTTTTTTAAATACAGCACGATGGTTGAATTGTCTGTTGGTTGACCCAGTGCTTTCTAGACAGCGGTCATAGTAAAATTAAAAGCCCTTGGATGTCGGTATTAAACCACCATATAGTTAAGTGTCCTAATTAAATAAAATAAATTTTAAAGTTACCAGCCATTGGCATAAAGTTCTATACACATAAAACAAAAGTTAACAAAAACCCATGAACAAATGGAATCCACTTACAAATCTTTAAAGGAACACTATCTGTGTAGCGAAATGGACCTTGCTACAGTACCCTTAAGCCTGCTCTGGGCTGTCCGTGCCAGTTTTCCCCCTCCCCGTTATTCCCTATCTCTGGGGCTTACAGTCCATGTGTGAGGCATATCCCCCTCTTATTAAAAACACATGCTTTTCCCCTGTTTCACCTAACCGTTCGTTCAATTCTGTTTCCCTAAGTTGTTCCCACGTTTCTGGTAGACAACCGAACAAATTACCGAATGGCAGGCCACCCAGATGTGGAGTGTGCAGCTCATTAACACCATTCACACTTCCACAAACCGCAACTACATGAACATTCCAAGCGGTTGGCTTGGTGGTTGCCGTTCGTATTTGTGAACACGTGGTGGCAGCCATCTTGGAACACAAGCAGAGAGCGGTGTTTGGTCGTCAAGTGTATTGAACTAAAATTGGCCACTCGACGGCGCGAACACCGCTAGGACTTCCACCTTCAGTTACCTTCGTGGAAAATCATATGAACAGAGCGGCATTCAGTGGGAGCAACCTCCCGAATCAGATATTCATGCGAACGGACGCACGAACAGTTGCTGTGCTATTTTGTATGTAATTTGTACTCCCGAAAGAGACCACCTGGCCAGCCTATTTTCATGGAACAGTTTTGGGCAGGCGCTTCGTGTGTGGTTGGTCTAAACTATACCCCAGTGGCGTTTTGGCAACGTTCGTGGAATCGGAGCGCTTTTCGGATATCTTGGGCGCTCAGATCTAGTACGTGAGGGGGTACCTTATGGGGAAATGCATATTTAGGGATGTTAAAGATTTTACATGTCTTGGACCTGAGAGGTAATGTAATTATATTGTGTACTTTGCTTCAGTCTACTCTCAGGTCCAGTGGGGAATGCCCCTGGATTATGTATTTGGAAACACCTTGCATTGGGATTCTCATAAAAGGCCAGCTGTGGCTCCATTAAAATCAGTTATACCCCAGCGCTGAGTGTCATCCAGTTGCTGGGGAGGTGTTGGAAGATTCTTGGATTACTTTGCTGGATTTGGCTGTTCCCTTGGCGTAATTTACTTGTTCCTGAGTGCACCTTGCAGTAACCAGTGGAGGAAAGTCCCTGCTAGGACTAGGGCTCCGCTACAATCTGTATTCTGAACACTGTATTTTTGAATCTGTATTTTTTTTTTCTTCCAGTCCCCCCTTTTCCCAATGTATGCATTTCAGTAGACCTATTTTGATTTTTGGTGTTTGCAGACGAGTCAACACAAGAGGGAGGGGACATGCCTCTCTCGGAAGTTATGCAATGCTGGATGATGATGAGTACAGGTTAGCCAGTCAATGACCAAAGCTGTGGAGCTTGAAGAAAGTTCCACCTCTCTTGTAATTTTGGTCAGCCTGCAAGTTATTAAAAAAAAAAAAAAAGCACCCAAAAACCCCTTTAGTTTAAAAACAAAAACATGCATTTGGGACATACCTGTGTGTGGGAGGGAGGAGATAATAGATCTGCTTTAAAATCTGTTTTATTTTAATGGATAGTATCTGTTCAATCATTCTTACACATTATTTTAATTTTTTAGATGATCCATGGGTTGACTTTTTTTTTTATTTTTATTTTTTTAAGGTTAAAAGCAGCAGTGTTTATCAAATTTCAGTTGGGATCAGGGCTGGACTGGGAAAAAAATTAGGCCCGGGCATTTTTCAATCAGAGCGGCCCCCTAAGAAGGGGGCGGGGCCAGAGAGTGTGTGTTCTGTCATCACTAATGACAACACGCCCCCTCTCAAAGTGAGCATGTTGGTTCAATGCCCAGAGCCCTGCTGAAGAGCTCTGGCATTAGAAAAAGGCCCTGAATTTGTTCTGTGCAGTGAAAGCAAATTTAATAACATACTTGCGCTGTGTTTGCTTTTAAATTGTCTCTGGTGTCTCCACAAGTGGGATACCAGAGGACAAAAGGGCCAGGAAAGTGCATGGTGCATATGTTTGGAGCCTGCTTGTGGAATTGCGTATGTGTAGAGTGTGGTGTGGTATTGTATAAATAGGTCAATTTAATTTGTGTTTGTGGTGTAATATGTGTGGCTAGGGGCTGTAGAGAGTGTGTGTATAAGGGGCATAGTTTTATAGGGGGATGCAGCGAGTGTGTGCATACGGGCTGAAGTGTGTGTGTGTAGGGGTTGCAGAGAGGGTGTGTTTAGAGAATGTTGTATGTGTTTGCTGACAAGGAATGTAGTGTGTGTGTGTAGGAGATCTACTGTGTAAATGACTGTGTGTGTGTGTGTGTGTGTGTGTGTGTGGAGAGGATTAAGAGTGCATATAGGGTAAGGGATCTAGTGTGTATCTGGAGCGTAATATATATATATATATATATATATATATATATAGTGTGTGTGTGTCTGGGTACCTGGGTGCAGTGTGTGTGTCTCTGGGGGTGCTGTGTGTGTGTGTCTGGGGGGTGCTGTGTGTGTGAGTGAATGTATTTTTTATGTAAATTTAAATATATTTTTTTTACTAATAAAAAAAAAATTATTTCCCCCCCTCCCTTCTTACCTTTATCCTGGGAGGGGGGGGGAGGAGATCCGTTCTGCCTGGGGGGTGGGGAGCCATGCTGCCTTCCCTGGTGGTCCAGTGGTGAAAGTGAACTCTAACCTGCAGGTTAGAGTTCACTCTCGCGAGATAAGTTGCTGCGGTAACGCTCAGAATCCCGCGAGAGGACCCGGCGGAGCTGCTTGTTAGAGTTCTGCCGGGTCCTCTCTCCTCCCTCACCCAGCCGGCGGCCGCATCTCCCTGCCTCTGGGCCGGTGAGGGAGATCTTTGATCTCCCCGCTGGCCCTGCACGGGCCGGCCTCGGCCCCACGGCCATCGCGGCCCACCGGGCATTTGCCCGGTATGCCCGATGGCCAGTCCGGGCCTGGTTGGGATAAATAACGAGGACATACCATTGTATCCAATTTCATGTTTTCCAATCTCATGGAAAATGAAGAACTAAAGAATATATATCACACAGATATACTTAACTATTTCTCTGGAAAAACTCCCAGCCTACCTGAGTGATATGTTCACTCCTGCTGCCTCCAAACTAAATATTCACTGTACCACTTTCTTCTGCTCCTCACTTTCCAACCCCATCTCAAAAAATAAATTGGACAAGCAGCCTTCTCCTATAGAGCTCCACATGTATGGAATAACCTCTCAGAGAATATCACATCTGCCACCATTCTCAGCTCCTGAATACATCTACATCAAACTACATTAAAAAAAAAACTGCACTCATTGTTAATGCCTAATTGTATATGTACCATGTGTGTAACAATGGATGTATATTTTTATTATATGTGTACCATTGCTTTTGTGTGTGCTGCCTTGAACATACTACTCAAACAAGAGAAATCTCAATGTATCCTTCTTGACAAACTTTTTTTTTTTTTTTTTTTCTCTCTAAATAAAAATGCTGCTTAAATTCAAATCACTAAATCTAGGTTATATTAGTGTAGAAGTAATATATAATATATATATATATATTTTTTAAACTGACCTATAGTGATTTCATCATGATGTAATTGAAATCTGATATATCTGATCTCAATTAAGTGGTACGGTGGTTCCTTAACAATGCTAATAAAGCATTGCCATTTGGTTAAATACTTCTCTAGTAACTGTTTTCCGGACAGCTGCTCGAGGTGGTTCCAGTGTGAGAGTGAAGTTAAAATCTGATCTCTATTTCTTTTACGAGGAGTATTAGATTGAATGAAAAAGAAGAATCGTTGTGAAGTTGGGAGAGAGGTGGATGGGATCTGTGGGTTGGAAAATAGCATGAAGTGGGGCTGGGCAGTGGAAATAGGGAGAGAGGCCCTGTCTCTGGATTGACTGATTAAATCCACCTGTCATAAATATGTTTTACAAAAAAAAGGGGAGGATGGGAGTTACTTACGTTTATCAAGCACAGAGACTACCTGCATTACTCGCCTCTCTGCCTCCTGAAATGTAATTGAAGAGGCGATGCTGGTCCAATACAATGCGCCTCATACAGGAGCATTTGGGATCTGATGTGTATGCATGGCGAGTGAGCTTTACTCTGTTGTTGCCACTAGTGGCTGTCTGTGTTGAACATCAATTTTGTTTACCCTATAGGGTTAAATCCACAGGACCAATGCACCCAGAGTGGTCCGAATTCGCAAAAGCCCCCGATGGTGACATTGTCGCCGGGAGGCTGGGTTGGGCAGGCAAAGGTGAGTTATGCTTACCTGAAGTTGTCTCTCGCGGGCGCAGACCTATTCCTCTAGTGGGTCTTCAGGTAAAGTGAAAGGAGCAGATGTTGTAACATTGTGGTCTATGGAGGATCCCATAAGACTGCAGGATCCTTCATAGACAGCCAATTACCTGTGACAGTCTAAAAAAAAATCAGGTGGAGGAAATATACAGAGACAAAGTGGTAACTACTTTGTCTCAGTAAATCTCCTGACAAGGTTGCAATTTCAGTGAAATGCCATCATAGTAAAAAGGAGTACATCATTAGGATTCCATCTTCATGAAATACTCATTTTACAGGGAGGGTGGGGATGATAGTGATATGCTGAGAGTGTCAGTTTATGCTCCCAGACTATCACCACCTCCCTGGCTAAACCATATTCATACTATTGTTATGGTGCTTGGAGCAGGGCTTGACAAATTTGTTTGGAATCTAGGAGCCAGCTAAAGTTAGGAGCCAGTCTTTTTTTTAAACTAAGTTTTTTTGGGTTTTTTTGCAAACAAAAAGAAATGCAACTCTTAAAGGGACGCTAGAGTCACCAGAACTACTGCAGCTAAATGTAGTTGTTCTGGTGTCTGTTGCATATTCCTGCAGGCTTTTAAATGCCCCTCTACCCTGTGACCGCAACGGACATTGTGCCCCATGTTTGTGTCATCTCTTGGTGTTTACCAAGGATGGAGTACAATTTTTCATCCTCTATGTTCAACATTTCTGTCTCTACACTCACAAATAACCTGTGCCATAATCACAATTTAATGTAGCATCTTCCTGACTTAATAAGCTTTATTCAAATCGCACATTAAACTACTCCAGTAAATGGAACCACAACTCTCTGACATAACACTAAGAATGAAAGAGTTCATTCATAGTTAAACCTTAGGGCAACATGCAATAAAAGTAGTACTTTGGGAAGTCACTGGGGGACTCTGATGACAAGCCTTATATTCTTTATTACCAAAGTTACCAGTCATGCAAAGAGCATCACCATATTTAACTGACGGAGAATAAATTGTTTTGCCTGTGCAATACTTAGTGAATATTCCCCTAGACATACATGGCTACAATTAGATATCTATTAACCTATGGATGTATTGCATAATGAGACGTGGATTTAATAACACATATTATCCTGTATTTACAAATAACTGTACAAGCCTTCCTTGATGGTTCTGTTGTTGGTGGAAGAGGGTAAAGGGAATAGAGGTGAAGTGATAATGAAAGAGGCTATGCTACTATACTGTGTATATATAAAGGATGCCATAATTCACTATAGTGTGCACTGCATATTGCTACTGGTTGTAAACTTTCATTCATGCTTTCCATTATTGTTTCTCTTGTGTCAGTTTTGCAGGCCAAGTTTAGTGGGCTGTTATCGCCACCTAGTGGCTTTTTATGGTATTTGCTGGTTTATTATGTATTCTATGTAGCTTGCCTGCACTAAACTCTAGCAGCAGCTGCAATCTTACTTACTTGGAGGTTTTACCGTAAAATTACACAATTCTATACCATTCATTTATGTGCAAGTTAATCTTAGCTCTGTTAAAAAATTTCTTTGATCTCCACAGATCGCCCATTTTATCATACATTATGGCTAAATTGCAAACCCCTGGTTCTTGTCCTTTAATCCAGGTATAGTATTTATTTTACTTCAGTTTCTGTTTTGTCAAGGCCTCAGGCAGCCTTCACTCTACACTTATTACTCTGTCTCGTATCACTCGTTCAGACCCCCCAGGAATTCATGTTGCGCTCACACGCCACACTCACACAGATCTACATCTGTCTCAAACCCCTTAGGCTTCTTCTACGATATCACCAACTGCTGGGCCTCTCTTCCAAAAAATACTCGAAGGTTCAAGTTCCCGGGTATAACCACTATCAAGGTTCGTATCCACCCATTGCATAATTTGCCAATTTATCCCATAGATGATACGTGAACTGGCTCACAGGGTCTGGGCTCCAGACCTAGCTCACCGAGGCATTTACAGGCCCCGCAAAGCCATCTCCCACCTCAACACAGAGGTACGGCCCCACGTCCAAATCATAGTTAAACACCTCATTCGCTCTTCTACAGGGCCGTAGTCAGGACCTCACTTTCCACGGCCACACATTTTGAATCTTTTAAATGTCATAGAGAGGCCAACATCCCAACATCTGTGGCAACGTACATACCTCGGCCAAATCATAGATAGAGCCTCTCACCGCCACTTGGCACTAGTAGGGCCACTAGTCAAAGTTAAGTTTTTCGCTTCGGCAATAGCCTTACAGTCCAGTTCACCTGAGGAACCCCCCCCTTTTCCTCCCCCTTTTGTGTCAATTTCCCAGATGCCCCTAGTAAATCAAATTCATTGATTAGTTTCTAGAATGTCTCAAGATACAGCTCCCATTGACTAGTTGCCTAACGATGAGATACTATTCACTCCTATCAGACCCGAGTCTCCAGGCGAATCTTTTGCCCCTTCTACCCCTACGTCTTTGAGAGCATGGACTATTCCAAAAATTACAACCGAACTTAGGCTTAGGGGCATCCCCTTTCCTGCTACGGCTCGTAAGGCGGAACTCTACAGACTTTTGACCAACTAGGCCCCTGAGCCTAGGCCTGGCACTAGCTCTCAAGGTCAACCATCTGGCACTGGCACAGCCACCCAGGACACCCTTGCGGCAATCCTGGCCAACCTGCAGACCTTGAACAGCAGGTTAAGCAAGGTGGAGAGTGCCATCGCCTCCCCAGGTAACCTTCCTGACCTTTCAGCCCTCATCCCGGCAGTACCTATGGCACCAACATCCGCCCCTATACTTCCCCCTTCAGCTCCTGCCTCAGATACGTCTCCTTTTGTGTCACCAGCTCACTCCGTCCCAGACTCCATTAGGAAAGAAATCCTGGATGGGAATGACGTGTGTCTGATGTCATTGCTTATAGCCTCCCAAGACATGTTGGAGAACAGGGCTTATAACTTTGGGGATATTTCTGACCCTAGGCTCAACAAAAAATGATCTATTCCCAATTTCGTTTTGGCTTTCGGGATATAACGTGATGTCATCTGCTCGGTATATCCCCACAGGAGAGATGAACTGGACCTCTATCTCCATAAAGTGGTGGATTTGGGCGTCAAGTACGGGGGCTCATCTTTTTATGACTATCATAAATCGATATCAGCGAAAGCGGCGACACATCTGAAACAATTTAACATAAGAATTAACTGGTGTCAGGTGGATACAGAATTATTCTGTCGCCACTTCGCTGGTCTGAGGCCCCAGTCTTGTGCCATATGTAATTCTTCTACTCACTTGGCTGATTTGTGCCCTTCTGTGGCTGAACCATCCACCCCCACTCCCACCCCACAATCCACTTCCACTCCTCACAATAAACATGAGGGTGGTCAGCGGGATAAACTGGGTAGGCCCATCTCCTTTCTAGGGAAAGCTCAGGTGTGCAACAATTTCAATGCAGGTTCCTGCAGCTTCAGCGTCCTGTAGATTGTTGCACATCTGCTCTATCTGCTTCAGGGCACACACTAAGACCATGTACCCGGCCAGGTTGTCCCTTAGCAAGTGACTAACCGACATTAATATCGACAACCTGTTTTTTTACTTGAAAACTCATCCAAGTAGACATCTAGTGAAATTTGTTAACAGGGTTCACCCAGGGCTTTCTCACGGGTCTCGTAGCCATTCCCTCAGGCACGCTGGAATGCCCCAATCTCCTATCAGCCTGCCTAGACCAGAGGCCACTGACGCTCTCCTTTCCACAGAAATAGCACAAGGTTTCATGATTGGCCCCTTCACCTCCTTACCCTTTTCCTCCTGACGCACTAATCCATTGGCATAACTGTGCACAAATACTCGAATAAAAAGCGCATGATTATCGATTTATCGGCACCGCACTCTTCTTTTGTTCCCAGCATTAACGCACTCATTCCCGCAGACGAATTCTCACTACAGTACATAAAAATTTACGACGCTATACAAACCATCATTTCAACTGGTAGCAACGCTTGGCTTAGCAAAACAGACATAACCAATGCATTCAAATTACTGCCCATGCACCCATCACTTTTGCACTTGCAAGGTGTTAAATGGCGAAACAGGTACTATTTTTTTCCCACGCGACTCACTTTCGGGTCCAGAAGCAGCCCTAAACTGTTTGATATTTTCGCAGAAACTCTATGCTGGCTGCTTCTGAACATTCTCAGGTGTCATGCCGTCATTCATTATTTGGATGACTTCCTCATAATAGAACCGAGCGCACGCACACCCACCGATATCCTCAGCACTTTTCTCCACTCTCGGGGTACCTTTGTCTCCCTCTAAAACGATTGGCCCCACTACTAAACTTACTTTCTTGGGGATAGAGCTGGACTCTGGTACTTTCTGCGCCAGCCTTCCCCCCGACAAACTGGTTTGCTTGAGTGGGGAGATAGACATGTTCCTGCGGAATGATGTATGCACCAGGAAAGAACTTCAGTCCTTATTGGGATCCCTGAATTTCACGATGTGCATCATTCCGCAGGGAAGGTCTTTTGTATCCAGGCTTCTTTGTCTGCTTCACGGGGTACCGGACGCCTTCCCAATTGCGTTGGACCAGCACGCCAAAGCTGACCTACTCATGTGGGGGAAGTTTTTGACTGAGTGGAACGGTATCTCCATGTTTATTCCCCCTCTCTCCGACTACTCACCCTGCATTCACACTGACGCTGCAGCCAACACGGTTTCGCAGGTATATTCGGTAATCACTGGTTTAGGGGTCACTGGCCTGCTGAGACGGATGCCTTGCCGGGTTTCAGAGAAACTTCAGCCCTTTTTGAAATTTACCCCATGTACCCCGGGTATCCACAACACAGCCACTGATGCTCTATCTCGATCTCAATTCCAGGTATTCTTCCAGGCTCTCCCGTCAGCCCACCATCAACCATCCAGAACACTGAGGTTTCACGAGTTAATCCTGGATTGAACACACTTATGCACAACGCTAGGACTCTTACGCACCAAGCACTATCACCTAACACAACTATCACCTACAGTAGGGCACTTACCGTTTTCAATAAATTCACAGCTGAATTCGGAATACAAGGTGATTTTTCTACCCAAACTATGGTGGCTTTTGTCACTTACATTTAAAACTTTCCCACAATACAATTAAACGATACCTCATGGGGGTGCAGCATCACAGCCTCACAAATTTCCCTAACACCCCCTTTTTGTCATCATACCCCATCAAGAAACTCCTAAAGGGTATCTCTAAAGTTTCGGTTCCACTTATCACCACCAGACTTCCGTCTGATAGATGGGCCTATCTTTAGATTACTTAGCAATCTCCTTGATGAATCCTCATTTGATCCCAACACAAACCTGGTGATCAAGTCTGCTATCTATTTAGCTTTTTATGGGTTCCTAAGACCTAGGGAATTTACTGTTGTTTGTCAAGGAGATATCACACAGCCTTAAAACCTCACAACTCACAAAAGTAGAGGATTACTACGTTCTCACGATCCCATCTACCAAAACTAATCATTCACTACACCCCACTATCATTCCCCTCTTTCCAACAGATAATGCTTGGTGTCCGGGTAAGGCACTAGACCACCTACTGTCAACTCATAACACGCTCTTACAACTACATGGGCACCCACTCACCACAGCAAAATTCACCATGCATGTTAGAATCTTATTGGGAAAACTGGGTTACAACCCAGCTTCATTCTCTGGCACTCCTTCAGCATAGGAGCTGCTTCATCAGCTTCTAGTACAAACACCCTGGTCCACATCATAAAGAGACTGGGTCGTTGGAAATCCTCCATATACAATACGTACATTCCAGAACCAGAAAGAGCTCCGCCAAGCCTTCAGGAATTGTTATGTAACAAATGCAATAAAGTGTGTTTTTTTTCGAACTTCTCTTTGCCCTCTTTTATTTACAAGCCCACTCGGACGTTGGTTTCAGCACACCACAACCAACTTTCATCTCAGACACTATCCATTACATATTAAATTCCGAGCACAAGTAGAAAGGCCATTAGGCCTGAATTTGTGGGAGGAGTAAGTCCCCTACTTAAACTCCCAGCCCCTACTCAACTCTGACGTTCGAGTTCAAGTGTTCCCCACCCACCAACACCCTTGGAACATACAATTCTCCTTGGTGGGCCCTCTTTTATTTACAGGCCCACTCAGACGTTGGTTTCGGCACACCACAACCAACTTTCATCTCAGACACTATACATTACATATTGAATTCCGAGCACAAATAAAGGTTAGTTAACTAAGAAAAAATCTTTCCACATAAGCAGGGGTTAAAAGCAATAGTTTTTTTTCTCTCCCCTAACTGCAATCTCTTGCAGTTGACTCCCTTTTCTTTCTCAAGCAGTAACCTTGAATAATTTAGATAAGATGTGTTAGACATGCGCAGTAGACTTACAGCAATATGTAATGTTATAGGAATACCGTTTGCACTGAAAATGCTATGATTGGTTGATTTTTGCCTTTTGTTGTACACACCCCTAAGAAAACTGTTTTTCATATATACGATGTACCCGCAAAAAAATAAAAAAAGGCTACTACTTTCTTGAACTTTATCTGACTGGTGTGTGCATTTATTATTCATTACAGTGAACATACAAAGAGACAAAGGAAAGCAAAATGGGTTACTGCATAAGTCCATGGCAGCGTAAAGGGTTACAGACCCTGTAAAATTTTGCAGCCTAATATTAACCCATCTATTAGTTAACACGGTAACAACCACTTTGGGCTTATTGAAGTGTTACGTACAGAATAAAATAATAATGACCACTCGGGGCTGGTGCTATCCAGGGCAGGGAATAAAGAGCAGCTCTGAAAAATCTTGGGGCTGCTGGGTTCACTGTGCTCTTCCTGCACAGTTCCCATCCTCAGCTTGTAGTGATACTAATGCGGGGGTTATTTCACATACCGGCTGCTAATACAATACAGGGTGAGCAAGGGAACTGTGCAGGAGGAGTACAGATCTCCCTCACTGCCCATTCATCCTCCTACCAGTATATTTGTGCACCTGCCAAGCGAAAGGCCCCCAAAGTGCGAGGCAGTGGCAGCCGCTTAATTGCCATGGGCTAAGGCTGGCCCTGCTTTAGACTGTATGCCCATGATTTTAACATCTGTATTAAGTAATGCCAATTGTAACTTTTATTCAATAAAATCTATTTTATGCATATACAGGTGATACTCGAAAAATTTGAATATCGTGCAAAACTTAATTAAATTCAGTAATGCAACGTAAAAGGGGAAACTAATATGAGACGCATTACATGCAACGCAAGATAGTTCAAGGCATGGTTTGTCAAAAGTGCGATGATTATGGCTTACAGCTCATGAAAACCCCAAATCCACAATCTCAGTAAATTAGAATATTGTGAAAAGGTGTAATATTCTAGGCTCACAGTGTCTCACTCTAATCAGCTAAGTAAGCCATAACACCTGCAAAGGGTTTCTGAGCCTTTAAATGGTCTCTGTCTGGTTTAGTAGGAATCACAATTATGAGGAAGACTGCTGACCTGACAGTTGTGCAGAAAACCATCAGTGACACCCTCCATAAGGAGGGAAAGCCTCACAAGGTAATTGCGAAGGAAGTTGGATGATCCCAAAGTGCTGTATCAAAGCACATTAATAGAAAGTTATGTGGAAGGGAAAAGTGTGGAAGAAAAAGGTGCACAAGCAGCAGGGATGACTGCAGCCTGGAGAGGATGGTCAGGAAAATACCATTCAAAAGTGTTGGGGACTTTCACAAGGAGTGGACTGAATCTATGGGGCATTGCCAAGAGAAAGATGAGACATTAGACCGAACAATGCAGAAGAGCTGAAGGCCGCTATTGAAGCATCCTGGTCTTCCATAACACCTCAGCAGTGCCACAGGCTGATAGCTTCCATGCCACGCTGCGTTGAGGCAGTAATTGCTGCAAAAAAGGGCCCAAACAAAGTACTGAGTCCATATGCATGCTTATACTTTTCAGAGGTCCAATATTGTTCTTTGTACACTCCTTGTTTTATTCATTGCATGTAATATTCTAATTTACTGAGATTGTGGATTTGGGGTTTTCATGAGCTGTAAGCCATAATCATCGCACTTTTGACAAATCACGGCTTGAACTATCTTGCATTGCATGTAATGCGTCTATCTCATATATTAGTTTCCCCTTTTACGTTGCATTACTGAAATAAATTAACTTTTGTACGATAGTCTAATTTTTCGAGTATCATCTGTATACACGTATATTAATGTATTTCTTTTATATTAATATTTGTGTATAAATGATAAGCATAACACTCATACAAATCATGCTCATGTAAATACTATTATATATGCATAATACATTCAAATATCCTGTTAACTAAGTAAAACCTTCACACTGACCCATATACACATTGACAAAAACACAGACACACACACTGGTCCATACACACATACACAGGCATATTGACCTAGCCACACATTAACACATTCAATGACCCAACACACAGACATACACTAACTTATAAATAACTGCAGACCCATAAACACACTCACACATATACACTGATGCATAAACAGACACATACATATACTGACCCATAAACACTGTCATACTCACAAACATTCACTGACCCACAAACATAGACACACTGACTAATAAACAAATACAGACACTGACACGTATACACTGGTCTATAAACACAGACACATTGACACATACATAAGCAAATTACAGATTCGCCCTCTGCACAGTACCATTACCTGCTGCTTCCCAATGGTTTCCTGGGTCATCATTAGGTCTGCAGGTCTGGAGCTGGGTAAGAGTTGTCACTAGGCTTCTCTCCTGCTTGCTGGCCACCGGGATATGACGTGACTCGGTATCCTGGTGGCTTGCTGCATGTCTGTGCCGCTCCTCGCAGCTACCCAGCAATTTAAAGAAAAAACTTTTACAGCTGCTGCAGCCCCTGGCCAGCCCAAACTTAACCTGCCCACTGGGATATTTCCCGGTCTCCTGGTGGCCAGTCCGGCCCTGGTGCAATCTTAGGGCGCACCGCCCTGGGGAGCGCAGGATTCAGGTGAACAGCAGGAGGAGAGTGTACAACACAGAGCTCCCCGCCAGCCGGTCACAGAATGTAGCGTGGCCGAGCTCAGAATGTGGGAAAGGAGCTGGTTTCCCTTTCCCTGGTCTGACAGGTGTCAGGGTATTTATATCGGCAGACATTTTGTGCTATGATAGAAATTAAAAGTGTATATTCTGAGTCACTCTGAACAGACCAGACTCCATTTTGTTATTTTCAAGCTAACAAAAAGACACAAGATTTCTATCTGTAAAACTAACCACTTTCCCAGAGCTAAAGGAATGCATAGTATAAACAAAAGTGATAAGAAGAACGGGAGTTGGATAGACTGTCTATATGTATAAGGGACCATTGTAAGTTATGGGTCAAAACTCAGATTTGAAGACACATAGTCTGGACAAAACTTAAAGAAACCCTTTGAAATTTTAAGTTATGGCACTATAAAGATAGGCCAAAATGACGTCAAAATAGCCACCAGGAAAAGTTAACTCTTTCCTGGATAGGTATGTTTAGTGGGACAAGACTGCCCTCTATAGACCAAATAACTAAATTGCGATCTGGTAGATAACCACACCTCTAGTGCTTCTATTGGGTTATCAACTGATGACGTACAGAGAGTCTGG